GGGGTGGGTAGTTGATTTTTTTTGGCTGATGACTCTCACGCGAAAAGTAGTAGAAATTCTTGGCTCGCATTGCGAGGGCGCGACGTTGTGAGATTGACTAGGGCTGAAAGACTGTGCTGTAACGATTACTTGTCAGCGCTGAGATCTGCGTGTTGGAGTGTAAAGTAACGCTCTAGGTATATCAATATAAACGCTTATGACAGTTTGGATAATGGAAAACATCGTCAATAGTGATATAAATGCTTAAAGGGCTCATTGTTTTCCTTGATAGAAGAGCTGTTGAGATTCATTTTTGGTTTACAAGTTAGGATGTGGGAATTCTTGAGAAGAAACCTGTATTTGGCTTTTATGTGTCTCGGCAGCCGATGGTATTGACAATAAACTATCAAAGTCACGTGATACGTGATGAAGACCTAAACGCTTGGGCCAGTGTGTGTGCTTTGAGTCAATTCTGAATAGTACGGTTCAGCAGATTTCACCATCCGAGTGAGACGCACGGAGGTGGAACATACATTAGTTTGTCTCACGGGAATACAGAGATGTAGAGTCGGTGATTTGAGATATGTGGAGATGTTTGTCCTTATAATTGAGGTTTCCCAAAGTGTCTAATCCTAAAGTCTTTGCTATTTTCAACTGTGGGTCTCAAAAAGAACTCCAGCTTAGCGGTATGTACTCGACTTCACTAGAATATGCGTTCCGATGTCATCTTTTATCCATAGTATCAAAACTTAAGGTCACGTTAATCATGCTTGAAGTGCCTTCCTGGGCTCAATCCATACTCTACAGCTGTTAATCGCCTAAACACTGAATTGTGGTTCATTTTCCCCGCTGCTGATACCTTGCTGACTTGCTCATCGATGGGTTGAGTAGGGAGTCTTGCCAATTCGCATTACAACAACGGTTTTGATGAGATCCGAATTGTCAGATTTCGGGCCGCTCCTACATTTCAAACAAACGCCTTTGCGGGCCCGTATGTCAGGATTTTTATCTCAAGAAGAGGGGAGATGTTTCGAACATCATAAGGCTAAAGAGTATATTTCTTCTACTAACATAGTTCAAAGATGCACAAACATATCAGAGAGACCATATGTTACAAATGGCCAATTGGAATACGAAGAACTAAGCCGCTCTGTTGAATGCCTCATTCTGGCAAATATAAGTAGCGTTTTTCGATCGCAGTAGGGTTTTGTAGTTGAAGCAAGAGTCAGAGCCTACGTATAGAAAACAATGGAATGACGGCAGCTACGATGATCCACATATTTCCACATTAAAGAGGGCCTTTGCCGTCCAAGGTGAAAAGATAGTAAGTGGAAATCACATCAGTATTCACCGTAATCTAATCGAAGTTAGTGATACATTCCCTTCACTAAGTCGTAGCATGGCATTCCATCTAATGCTCATCACCTCACAACATAAAACGAATCAGTGAACTAAATGCCCGACGAGAAACAGAAAACAGTGAAATTGGAGACCAACAGTATTGCAAAGGTGCAATCATCAGAGGACATCGAATGCACAGTGATTAACCATTCGTTTGTTGCACGATCGCACTACGATTGCCTGAAAGTTTCCACCAACTCTACAACTTCAAGTCATGCTGGCGTTTCCCGTAGTCTCGGCGGCTAATCCGATCCCTCCCGCTTCTCTTTTATACCCACACAATCTAGACAAACACTCTCTTAGCCGCGCTATTCTGTTTTTGTGGACTATTCCATAAAGTTCCAGAAAAATCAAATAAATTGGGTTACCCGGCACATACATTGCTCATATATATATAATCAAATTTTTTCTCAAAGCTGTAAAGGACGCATAGTGGAAACGATTTTTCCAAACTTGAACAGCTACACTTACCTTTGCTCACCTTCGGGACATCAAAGGTGGTATTATAAGTCGCTAAATAGCTTCCCAAGACACGTACACATCAAAAAATGCTAAGTGCGAAGTCAATTTTCCGCAACTCGGCGAACCCAGTTCGCCAGTTCGCGCGTATGAACTCCAATAAAGTGCAGGGCCAAGTTATCGGTATCGATTTGGGTACCACTAACTCTGCCGTGGCTATCATGGAGGGTAAAGTGCCCAAGATCATCGAGAACGCTGAGGGTGCCAGAACTACTCCTTCGGTTGTGGCGTTCACAAAGGATGGTGAGCGTTTGGTGGGTATTCCAGCTAAACGTCAAGCCGTGGTGAACCCAGAAAACACTCTGTTTGCCACCAAGCGTTTGATCGGACGTCGTTTCGAGGACATCGAGGTGCAAAGAGACATCAAACAGGTGCCTTACAAGATCGTCAAGCACACCAACGGTGATGCTTGGCTTGAGGCCAGAGGCGAGACTTATTCGCCTTCTCAGATCGGAGGTTTTGTCCTCAACAAGATGAAGGAGACCGCCGAGGCCTACTTGGGTAAGAACGTCAAGAACGCCGTCGTCACCGTCCCAGCTTACTTCAACGACTCTCAGAGACAAGCCACCAAGGACGCTGGTCAAATTGTGGGTCTCAACGTGCTACGTGTGGTAAACGAACCTACCGCAGCCGCTTTGGCCTACGGGTTGGAAAAATCAGACACCAAAGTGGTCGCCGTCTTCGACTTGGGTGGTGGTACTTTCGATATCTCCATCTTGGACATCGATAACGGTGTTTTCGAAGTCAAATCCACTAATGGTGACACCCACTTGGGTGGTGAAGATTTTGACATTCTTTTGCTAAGAGAAATCGTTCAAAACTTCAAGAAGGAAAGCGGTATCAACTTGGAAAACGACCGTATGGCCATTCAAAGAATCAGAGAAGCCGCTGAAAAGGCCAAGATCGAATTGTCCTCTACCGTTGCCACCGAGGTCAACCTACCTTTCATCACCGCCGACGCCTCCGGCCCTAAGCATATCAACATGAAGTTCACTAGAGCTCAATTTGAATCTCTAACCGAACCACTAATCAAGAGAACCGTTGACCCTGTCAAGAAAGCTTTGAAGGATGCCACCTTGAGCACTTCTGATGTGTCTGACGTTATCCTAGTTGGTGGTATGTCTAGAATGCCAAAGGTTGTGGAGACCGTCAAGTCTCTTTTCAACAAGGAACCTTCCAAGGCTGTTAACCCAGACGAAGCCGTTGCTATTGGTGCCGCTATCCAGGGTGCTGTTTTGGCCGGTGAAGTCACTGACGTTTTGTTGCTAGACGTTACCCCATTGTCCTTGGGTATCGAAACCTTGGGCGGTGTTTTCACCAGGTTGATTCCAAGAAATACCACCATTCCAACCAAGAAATCCCAGATCTTCTCTACCGCTGCTGCTGGTCAAACCTCGGTGGAAATCAGAGTGTTCCAAGGTGAAAGAGAATTGGTCAGAGATAACAAGTTGATTGGTAACTTCACTTTGTCTGGTATCCCACCAGCTCCAAAGGGTGTTCCTCAAATCGAGGTCTCTTTCGACCTAGACGCTGATGGAATTATCAACGTCTCTGCCAGAGACAAGGCTTCCAACAAGGATGCTTCCATTACCGTTGCCGGTTCTTCCGGTCTTTCCGAGTCTGAAATTGAACAGATGGTTAGCGACGCCGAGAAGTACAGAGAGCAAGATGAGACCAGAAAGAAGGCTATTGAAACTTCCAACAAAGCCGACCAACTTGCTAACGACACCGAATCTTCTTTGAAGGAATTCGAAGCCAAGGTTGACAAGGCCGAAGCTCAAAAGGTTAAGGACCAGATCACCGCTCTAAGAGAGGTTGTTGCCAGAGTGCAGGCTGGCGAAGAAGTCGATGCCGAGGACTTGAAGACCAAGACCGAGGAATTGCAAACCGCTTCCATGAAGTTGTTCGAGCAGATGTACAAGAACGATGCTTCCAGCAACTCTAACCCAGAGGGTGGTGAGCCTAAGCAGTAAGTGAGATAGCCAGTGCGGTGCTATGCGTGCGTGCAATAACTATCACTTAAAACATTCTCCTGTTCCTCCTTACGTTGAACACTATAGTATGGAAAACCTACTTGTATAAGCTTGTAAATAGATGTCACAATATTGTGCGAGAGGTTTACACCGTTCGCATTTCGATGAAGACATAATTGCATGGAACTGATAAAAAAAATGGGTTAAACCCAGTGCTCTTGTTAGCTAGCAAAGACGCATCACGTGATAATGTTAAATTGGATTCAACCTCTAGGAAATCGTAAAGATTTGTTATACATTATTTACTACACACAGCTGTGATCAACGATAATTTGAGCTCAAAACCAGCGCACTTAACCACTATACCATGGGAATCACCGTTTCTCCATTGACAAGGATCATCTCTTTATCAGGGTTTCTGGCCCTTGGATTTCTACTGGTAATACTGAGCTGTGCCCTTTTTCACAACTACTACCCTCTTTTCGATAGTATGCATTTTTAACCGATACAGGAGTAAAACCGCTACAAACCAAGCCTTTGAATACTAACGGGTCATTTTTTCCTTCTAGTTCTTCTATTTCTGGCAGCCCCAGTGCCTAATGCACTTTTCAGCAAGCGCAATTTCGATTCGAGCGATTTTATGAGCGATGCCAGTGGCGGCGTCGAAGATGTGGGCTACTTTTTCACCGGACTGCTTGTTACAAGCGGGCTGGCTTTGCCTACGGTGCTGTACCATTGTCAATTGATCAATCATTACAGCTGTATCATGAGCACACTTGGGGGTGTCATTATCTATCTTAGCATAGTGGTGTTTTCCTGGTTTTTCAACGCTGGTTGGGATGACGAGGAAGACGGAATGTTTGGCTACTGATGATCTGAACAAATAAGCAGTGTTAAATAATAAAAAATGTGAGTTCTATAACGACACCTGCCATTGATACTTGGAGCTCTCCGCGAGGCAAACTGAATATGGCTATTTAGATAGTTAAAAAAGGTCTTACCCGGATTCGAACCGGGGTTGTTCGGATCAAAACCGAAAGTGATAACCACTACACTATAAAACCAAACAAGTTAGGTGCGTCAACACAGATACTCAATCTAGCTATAGAGAAAAGTCATATGATCGATGGTCGGAATTGACGACGGGTGTACAATTACAAGGCTGACATTAGTGTTGTTCGGTCATTAGCTGAAGATTAGATAAAGGTGAGAACGATCTTCCCGGGTGAGGCAAAGAGTTCACGACATACCTCACTCGATGGCGCTGTGCACTGGCTTACAAGAAATAATCAATATCACTTTGTACTAAAAACCGTCATAACAAACTGACTTCCAAAAGCCACTTACGCGAAGCATGGAACCACTTTCGACCAAATACCAATAAGAAGATCGCATTGGAATTGAAGAAGTTACACACGGAATTTGGTCAAAAAAGAAAGCCCGTACAAACAAGATGCTTTAGTCACGTGATGAATGGCTACGATGACGGAAGTTTTATCAATAGTGTCAAAAGTTCGATGCAAATCGGTTTCTATTCTATATCAACGGACTCAAGATGACTTTTCCGATTACGATGACTTGTAGAAACTCAAGCAGGCCATAAATGGTGCAATGCTAGATGGAAAACTCAAAACCGGCGAAAAAGAATTCATGTGTTTGGTGCGCAGCTCAACACGCGAAATCTTTTCAAAAGGTGGTAACTCATCTCATTTCTGTGACTGGATGAAATGAAAGGAATATAACTTTGAGTCTTCGAAAGGCTCAACCCACACACCTAGTACATTAGCACACGTGACCCTTGATATCCTGCCTAATTATTATACATCGTCTCTGATCTCTACAAGGAGAAATTGTACTGAGGAACATGATCTCAACCACAATGTAGTGAAACCTTTCGTGTTTACGTATGCGAATCGAGCGGCTTGAAAGCCTCAACACAGGAGCCGAAGTTTTGGTGACTGGTGCTGTATAAATTAGCGTTGTAGCACATTTATAATATATAGACTGCAGGATAGGTGGTACATAATGTCAGAACCTGAATATGTAAATGCATTCGCAGAATGGCAAGCCGATGACCTGATGCAGAACTGCTTGCATTGCCAAACAAAATTTACTTTTCTGGTGCGAAAACATCACTGCAGATGCTGCGGAGGTATTTTCTGTGCCAGCTGCAGCGATAAGTTTCTTTGGTATAATCGACGCAGGCTAAAAGTAGTGCGTCGACAAGATGATTTTGAATCGGCAGAATTTCCGCCTCATAGAACATGCATCTCGTGCAGCGAGAATCTGGTGCAAAGGAGACTAGTTATCACGAAATGGGGCGATAGAAACGCATCGTCATCGCGGATCGCAGTGGACCGGTCAAACCCACAGTCGCGATCGGAATCTTTGATGGCAGAGAGTAGTGCAGACCGTCTGGTAAGTGCCCCAAGCTCTTCTTCGGCTTCATCTCTCCAAACCAACGAAGTGGTCAAAAACATCACCGTGGCAGAAGCTACACGGAAGGCAGATTTGGATGCCGATCGCTGCCCGATTTGTAACAGCGATTTAGCCAAATTGACAGATTTACAATCAGTCACTCATATTCAGAACTGTGTGCGGGCTGCTGAGCTAACTCAGCAGCATCATCACCACCAGCATCCGTCAATCCCGGGGAATACCGCTTCAATGAAAAGCCCGGTATTACAGAATAGAATGTTGGTTTACGTCGTCCCTAATACACCAGACGCATTGTCTAACGCCGACTTTGAGTATCCAGAATGCCCCATATGTTTTGAAGAAATGAAGGGTGGAGATAAGGTCGGACGTCTCGAGTGTTTGTGCGTATTCCACTACGATTGCATTAAAGGCTGGTTCAGGAAGAAAAGCCAGAAAACTAAAGCTAGTTCTTCCGGGCTTGTCTCCAAAAACTTTTGCCCATTACACGACGCCGTGTTTTGATATTCTGTTAGCTTATAAAAAGGTGTTTATTTGTCGGGAAATAGTGTTATTGATTGTTTGCAAGGGAGCTACACCGGTCTGGTCAACTGCTTTGCAGTTTTGTTCTATTTTACACGAACAGGTCTCTATGTGCAGCTTGTGTTGTATTTTCGCGCTTCCTTTAGCTAATATCCACATCACTATAGAGATCGCTATCCAGATCTTCAGGAACGTCGCTATAACCTTCTTCGTCACTTTCCGATGAATCGTTCCCATCACTGGCACTACCTGCGCCTTCCACACTTTCTCCTTGCTCTAGTTGTTGTTCTCTTAACTTTCTTCTTTCCATCTTCCGCTGTTTTTTGGCATCCTTAACTTCATTTTTCTTGGCTAGATTCGCCTCCTGCTCCTTGCGTCTTTCCTCCTTCAACTTCATACGTTGTGCATGTCTCTTCTCCAAATGTCTTATTTCCGAATCTGTCTTTTTAACGTAGGTGTGATGTAGGACCTTGCCCGAACATATGCCTTCTTCGATTTTTACAAGCTTCAAAGTCAAACGAGGTCCGACTTCAGTAAGCTTGATGGCCTTTTTGCGTGGTAAAGGTTGTTCAATAAGAGCTTCGCCATTGTTGTCATTGCTAACAGCTTCGGAAGACGTTGCGGTAGGTCTAACAGGAGCTTGGCCCTTATCCATAACTTTGACAATAGAGTCGTCTTCGATCTCACTTTCTGATGTGTAAGCTCCTAGGTCGTGGTCCAAAATGAGCGATGCAATATCATCTTTTCTGTGAAGATTAGGAACGGGCTTATTTAGCTTGTTTTTGGCACGATACAGCCGTTTGATGTTTGAAGAAATGTCGACTTCTCTTACGTCGACCGCGTAATGACGCATGCTGACTTCTTCCGTTACAGGATCCTTGTTTATCATGAAAACCCTGTTGATCGAGCTCAGCTGCGTCCTAGCTGGGTTCAAAGGTGGAAATATATTCTGGAACATGGAAATGATAACTTTCTCGACGTTTGCACGTTCTAAGACATCGCTGTTGCGGTCTTCTTTATCGTCGCCTTGTTCTTTAGGCTTCACACCGAACCCGTTCAGCACGAGCAATGGTGGATTCATAACGTCTTCTTTGCCCAAAGTGCGTGGCCTCTTCATGAATTTTTTCACGTCTCTCCCTAGCGAGTAATCCAGAACTTGATATGTGATGGTAGGCCCGTGTGGAGTTCTGGCCATCTTCAACGATACATTACCAGTTTTCTCGCTTTGCGTGAACATGAACAAGTGTGACACACCCAAAGGACCGCACATTACTACGAAATCTTTGAGTTTATTCGATTTACGCTCCTTCAACTTGATAGCCGTGTGCGGTTGCATTATTTGACGAAAATCTTTGACCAGTTGGTTCAAAGAATGGTTTGACATCGACGTTTGTCCCACACGGATTACCATGGACTTTGGTATTTTCTTAGCTTCCTCAACATCTGGCTTAACATGTGTTCTACTTTTTTGTCTCCGTTTCGCCATTGTGCCTTTCAGATATGTGTGTAAATACTGCTTTATTCTTTACTTCAACGATGCGATGAGGTGCCCGATGCGATGAGATGAGTCCAATTGGCTTGAATTTTTTACAATAATTTTTCACCGTCAACAATAAGACAAAACTTGAGCGTCACACTCAAGATAAAGGATAAAATCGAAGAAGAAGAGGTGAACAGACTCTTCTATAGCTGTGGAAAATGGTTGGAATGGTTTACGGAAAGTGTGGAAATTTAAGGAAAAATCAACAGTGCACGCTGAATTATTTTCCCCGATCCAATGCACAATTAAAATGCTGGAACTCATATGTTGGTCATATGTGAAGACACTTGACAAGAGCAAAAGAGCGTGAGCAATGGGCTGTTTAGGTTCGATATCCGTTATTTACGAATATTCTCGAAGGGGTTCTGCATTCTAAGCTATCATATTTAATTCGGGTGTCTTCTCAAATCTCAAATTAAAATTCAGGGCCGTAGATTTGGTTAGGGCAAAACGTGTACTAAGGAATTCATTGAAAATAATAGTTTTAGGATTTGAAGATAAAACCAGGCTTCTTTGTCAACTTTCCTGACTTATTACAATGCTGCTGCCATGCTGGATTGGTGTCATCTGGTCGATCATCTACCCGATCATCTAGTCGGGTCGCGACTAGAAGACACTCCAAGTATTAACATATTGAAAAATTTCTGGCAAGCGATGAGCTAGCTCTTCACGTTCAAGCTACAGAGGAACAGCCCAGTTATCTTCACACAAGCCCAGTAACGAAGCCCATCTTATTCTCAAACGGATAGAAAATGGTTAACAAAATAGTCAAGAAAAAGTCGTCAAATTCGGAGTTGACTAGCCTCGCAGACAAGATACGCCAGCGTGCACTGGAACGTCAATCCGCTGGCAAGACATCGCAGCACGACAGTGATAACCAGGAGAGTTCAGCAGCAGGAAGTCGAAAAGATGGAAGCGAAGACGAGGAACAGGAAAAAAAACAGGAACAGGAAGAAGAAGAAGCGGAGGAAGGACCCCAATTTGAATCTTTCAACCAGCTCAAATTGGTCCCAGAACTACTGGAAGCATGCGCCACTTTAAATTATTCCAAACCAACACCAATCCAGGCAGCCTCTATTCCGCCAGCTTTAGAAGGTAAAGACATTATCGGGTTAGCTCAAACCGGTTCCGGTAAAACAGCGGCTTTTGCAATTCCAATTCTAAATCAACTGTGGCACGACCAGCAACCCTATTATGCGTGTGTCATGGCACCTACTAGAGAATTGGCAGCACAAATCAAAGAGACGTTTGACTCCTTGGGTGGTGCTATGGGCGTCAGAACAACGTGCATTGTCGGTGGTATGAGCATGATCGACCAGGCCCGTGACCTCATGCGCAGACCGCACATCATCATCGCCACTCCAGGTAGACTCATGGACCATCTAGAAAACACCAAGGGATTTTCGTTGCGCAAACTGCGGTTTCTGGTGATGGATGAAGCTGACAGATTGCTTGATATGGAATTTGGGCCTGTCCTCGATCGGATTCTGAAGGTGATCCCCACCCATGGAAGAACCACCTACTTGTTTTCCGCGACAATGACGTCCAAGATCGACAAGCTTCAGAGAGCCAGTTTGACCAATCCTGTAAAATGTGCAGTTTCCACCAAGTACGAGACCGTGGAAACTCTAATCCAAGCTTTGATGGTTGTGCCTGGCGGTCTTAAGAACACTTTTCTGATATACCTGCTCAACGAGTTTTTGGGTAAGACTGTCATCGTTTTTACGCGAACAAAAGCAAACGCAGAAAGAATATCTACACTGTGCAATCTGCTAGAGTTTAGTTCTACTGCGTTGCATGGTGATCTAAACCAGAATCAAAGAACCGGAGCGCTTGACTTATTCAAGGCAGGAAAAAGGGCCATTTTAGTGGCAACGGATGTGGCAGCAAGAGGTCTAGACATTCCCTCTGTGGATATTGTGATCAATTATGATATACCGGTAGACTCGAAATCCTACATTCATCGTGTAGGAAGAACGGCCAGAGCTGGACGTTCAGGAAAGTCCATCTCTCTTGTTTCGCAATATGATCTGGAGTTGATTTTAAGAATTGAAGACGTTTTAGGGCTTAAGCTTCCGAAAGAAAGTGTTGATAAGGCCGCGATTATGGCTTTGCGTGATACCGTGGATAAGGCGAATGGTGAAGTGGTGATGGAGATGAACAGAAGATCAAAAGAAAAAGCATTGAGGGGCAAGGGCAGAAACCACAGAGGCAAATCAAGAGATAACATGGACAGAGAAGAGCAGTGATGCTCTGAGTATACCTACGTTTAAAAATGCATTAATTTCAATTTTTTTTATTTTATTAACAGCTATCCGCTCGTAAGAGCTAGATGGCGTTACAACCAGGGGGAACTAGGTCGTGCGTGCCGGCTATGCTATTTTTCTGGATCTCGCAACGTCCGCGTCGGCGACAGCAGCCTCGTACTTTTCGATTGCCAAATGTAAGGAATCCAAGACCGTTTTCAAATAAGCTCTACATTGATCCACTAAACCATCACGAGTATTGTTCTCCTCTTTCTCCACCTGACTCAAAAGAGTCGTAATCTTGTCCAAGCACTGTTTCAAATAATTGTAAAGCTTTTTTACGGCTGCAGCCTGTCGTGGCTCACCGCTTTGAAAGTGTATGTAAAAATGCTTCAAAAACTCACAACATGTGCTGTGAAGTACTCGACAACTTTCGAGCAAATCTGAGGGTAGCAGCGTCTTGACTTCAGGAGCATCACCCACAGAAGTAAGGCCTGTTGTGGCGCCGAGAACCGAGCCGACATTTGAGGTTTTCGCTTGCTTGGCATTGATTTTTACTGCGCGTATTACATTTTGGTTCACTTCGTTATTGATATTTCCATTGTCCTTGCTAACTTCTGTCAAATCCATAGACTTAGTTAGTGTGTTCAAAACAGTGCTTACTTGATTTTTTATTTCTTCCCCACCCAGTGCTAACCTTTCCGTACCACTATCGTTCAAATGTGAATCCCTGTCGACGGCTTTCCGTTGCTTCACCTTGATTTCTAGGTATTTCGCCTCCTCTACATCCTCAAGGTCGCTAAACAAAAGTTCATCCCTTTCCTCCTTGTCCACGTCTTCTGCCATCAAACTTATCCTCGAATACTCGTTTTCCAATGATTTTATCATTTTCTGACTCAACCGATTCATGCCCTTTAATATATCAACAACTCCATCGCTGTTTCCGTTGACATCGACACCTGGTATCATGGTGAAATCCGGTCTATTGCCTCGACGTTCTGGATCGTCTTGGTTATTACCCTCTAAGTCTAAGAGTTTCTTTACAGGATGTTGGAGTAGTTTGTCGTCCTTTCTATCAAATTCCTGGTCGAGGGTTAAATAACGATCGATAATCAAATCACCACGGTCACTCTGCATGATGCGCTCTCCACGTAGTTTCCTGAAAAGCTTGGACGAGAAAAATCTTGCCCAAAATTCCTGTTCTTTGAAGTTTTTAGGAACACTGTCGTCGTACGCCTTTTTGACGATAGGGTAGGTCTGAAATATTGTCACAATCTTTTCGCGCGAGACACTCACGTTCACCTTGTTGTCAGATGAGGCCACTGGTTTTATGGTCGATAGTACGTTGTAAGGTCCACTCCTCTGGGATGTGGTGAGTGCAAAAGCGCGAAGTTGAGGGACTCTTGTCGACCAGAATTCGTCAGGTGGTAGACCTGCATTAATGACCGCTTCTTGAAAAGTTCGCATCAAGGTTTTGTTTTCTCTTAGAAGTGACTGCTGCAGCTTCAGGTTGGCGAGTAGTTTATCCCTGGATAACGAATCGTCTAGGGTTGAAGTGTTGATTAAGGGTATTGAATCTGAAGTTGCTGCCGCCGCACTACTTTCTTTGCGCATTTTTTCCTCATGAACCTCTTCATCTTTGTAACGTGCAATGATCAGTTGTAATGTGTCCTTGATGTTTGTCATGACGGTACGGTTATTAAACGAAAACACATGGTTGGGCGCACTGGGCTTGATCTCATTGCCTTCATTATCCTTCCGTTTTTTCGATTCATCTACCTTTCCTATAAGTCGCAGCATCATCTTTTCGCTTGAAGCCGGCGTTGCCTGCAATTTGTCCACACTATTCAGCACCACCTTATGCGATTTGTCTCCATCAGTAGATCTCCATAGAAGTTCTGCAGGGGAAGCATCTTCGTTGATCGTCAAAATACCTGATGTTTTTTTGAAAACCGCTGCTCCTGAATGAGACATCTAAATCAAACTTCAAAGATGCCGGAATACAGAAAAAAACACTGGCAAAAGTCTTTTTCTTTGTGTGTTCAGCTGTAGATCGAATGTGAAGTTTCAAATTCGAAATTCAATGCTATTATCCCGAAAAGACTCACGTCTTTTGTCAATTAATAAAAAGCCGCTTGTGAACTTCACAACTGCTCTAAAGTCACGCTAGCGCAGGGTTTCCTTCCGTTGCAAACCAGGTATTTAAGTAAGCTCTTACAGGCATCGATTTTTGAAGCTTGAAATGGCCTACGAATTATTCAAATTCGATGAGTACTTCTAAATTATTCATGAGTACATTCTCGAATCGCGTTCTACGGGAAGCTTCATAAGTTTAATTAAAAATTTTCCTACTCATCGACCTAGAACTTAGCTGTCTCTACAGTCAAAATCCAACTCTTCTAGCCGAGACTCAGCGATTCCATTACGATCAATAATGTCTCCTATTGTCGGTATTGCATTTGGTAACACTACGTCTTCCATTGCGTATGTTAACCCCAAGAACGACGTCGACGTGATTGCAAACCCTGATGGTGAGCGTACTATCCCATCGGTTCTGTCGTACGTTGGCGAAGACGAATACCACGGTGGCCAAGCCCTTCAGCAACTTGTCAGAAACCCAAAGAACACGATCATCAATTTCCGTGACTATTTGGGCCTTTCGTTTGCTGACTGTGACGCTTCCAGAAGCACCACGGGCGCTCCATTGGTCGAAATAGATGGAAAAGCCGGCTTCGTAATCACTAGAGGCGATGGCAGACAGGAAAATCTGACTGTGGACGAAGTTGTGTCTAGACACTTGAACAAACTAAAGTTGGCGGCTGAAGACTACATTGGTGAAAAGCTTTCCGAAACTGTCATTAGCGTTCCAACGAACTTCACAGATGCTCAAAAAGACGCTCTTCGCGCTTCTGCCAAGAAGGTCGGCTTGGAGGTAATCCAGATCATCAACGAACCTTCGGCTGCGTTGTTGGCTCACTCTGAAGCTTTTCCTTTGAAAGATGACTGCAACGTGGTTATTGCCGACTTTGGTGGTGTAAGATCCGACAGCGCTGTAATTGCTGTGCGTAACGGCATCTACACCTTGTTGGCTACTGCTCATGACTCTAGCCTTGGTGGTGAGAACCTAGACCAAGAACTTGTGGAGTTTTACGCTAAGGACTTTCAAAAGAAGACCCAGACCAATCCAAGAAAAAATGCAAAGTCCATGGCTAAGCTTAGAGCCAACGCCGAGCTAACTAAAAAGACCTTGTCGAACGTCGCCACTGCAACAATCTCTATCGACTCTTTAGCCGATGGTTTCGATTATCACACATCCATCAACAGACTAAGATACGAATTGGTCGCCAACAAGGTTATCAGCAGGTTTACTCAGTTTATCGAGGATGTTATCAGCAAGGCGGAATTGGATCCTCTAGACATCGATGCCGTTGTCCTATGTGGCGGTACGTCTTTCACTCCTAAGTTGAGCTCAAACCTAGAGTTCGTCCTTCCAGAATCAGTGGCAATCTTGGGGCCACAAAGCAAAGAAGCCACCAACAACCCTAACGAGCTTTTGGCCTGTGGTGCTGCTCTTCAAGCCCAGCTTCTTTCAAACTACGATGCCGACGAGTTGGCTCAAGCTTTGGAACCCGTCGTCATTAACACTCAGCATCTAAAGAAAGCCATTGGTCTTGTGGATGCCAAGGGAAATTTTGTTCCAGTGTTGAAGGCTGAAACTTCTTTCCCAGCAAAGAAGAGCATCACTTTGAAGAATGCCAGCGGGGATCTATTGATCGGCGTATACGAGGGTGACCATCACATCAAGGAAACAGTAGCTGAGCCTGCTGCTAAGGGTGAGCAAGATGACGAGAGCGATTGGTCTGATGAGGACGATGAACCCGAAGTCATCAGAGAAAAACTTTACACGTTGGGCACAAAACTCATGGAACTAGGCGTCAAGGGTGTTAATGGTTTGGAGTTGTCTTTCAACCTCAACGACGCTGGTGTTTTGAGAGTCGCGGCCAGAGACCTAAAGTCTGGTAAGGTCGTGAAGGGTGAATTGTAAGATAATTTTGCCGATCTATAGAATTTTCTAAAAGACGATACAACAAAGCAGTTCTGGTAAGGCAGATCTATCTAATAGTGTCAGCAGTTCTTTGGAGTGATATCTTCTCAAAGACTCCTCTGACATCGTAGATAAGTACAAACTCTCCGATTTTCAACTTTATGCGCAGAGAGCAAGGCTTTGCAAGGATTTTTGAACTGCTTAATGAACCTCTTGAAGTCTGTCAACAGAGCACTAAGACCATTCTCACCATATACTCATGAATTGAGCAGTGATAGCGATGAGCTTGCTGGAATTACGTATATGATGACATAGGATCGAAGACGTTGATCATACGCAATAATGTTGATATCTCAACGTCGTTGTTCAATCTCACAATCGGACAGGTCTCTAACCTCTTCCTTATTCATCAAAAATGACACAAGGACAGCAAAGGGTTTTCATACTAGGTTTCGGATCTATCGGGGTTCTTTTAGCATCTCAATTGCAACGGAACGCTCAGATCTCAGTTGTCCCATTACTAAGGTCAGAGAAACGGTTATCCGATTTCGAGAATCTAAGAAATACCACCAGCGTGAAGTCACTTTTTTTAACCGGTCAACCGACTAATGAGGTCGAATTTACGGGGGCTACGTGTCCTGAGCAGTTTCCTAAAGATTGGAAAATTGACAACTTGATTATCACCACTAAGACGTATCAAACAAAAGAAGCTCTGGAGCCGTATATGAAGTTCATCCACCCACAGACCAATGTTATGCTGGTACAAAATGGTCTGGGTGTTTTGGAGGTGCTAAATAACGACATCTTTTCGGAATATAAGCCTAACTTATTCCAGGGCGTAATTTCTCATGGTATCTACCAAACATCGGGGTTTTCATTCAACCATGCCGGGTTCGGTAATCTCAAGATCTCTAGATTGCCCAGTGGTGACTCAGATGGGATTGTACAATCCAATACATTTGTGAAGAAAGATGCAGAGAACAATTCGTTGCTGCAAGTTTTAGTGCAGCCGGAGTTCGTGAAGGCATTGAATGTGATGCATTTAACGTACCAAGAATTGCTACTGGGGCAACTAGAGAAATACATGGTCAATGCTTGTATGAATCCTGTGACATCGATTGTTGACTCTATTAACGGGGATTTGAAGGATATTGCAGCACCAATTTTTGACTTGATCATAGCAGAGTGTCTGGAAGTCTTGAAAATAGCCTACAAGCCTTTGTTCGATTACAAGCCGCACGATGCAGATTATCCAAGCATCGATGTAATTGGAATTCTTGATCACAAGAGGTTACTCAACTTCGTTTTGAAAATCGGTTGCGATCTAAATCGTAACAACAGCTCGTCCATGAGGCAAGATGTGATCAACTTACGGGATACAGAGGCGGAGTATATCAACGGATACATCGTGAAGCTTTGTAAAAAATTGGGATTGGGTCCCGAGTACTATAAGACTAACCAAACCATTGAGACATTGGTGAATCTGAGATTGGGACTCAACAGAGTGCGTGCTGCAAAGGGAAGTGATGCAAAATGATACAAGGAGACAGTCGGGAGTCGCTACGTGACAATGTAGTACAAAGTGATATATATACATATTATAACATGAAGTAAGAGGGCTTCTTTGTTGGAATCAGTGATACACGACAGGAGCTGTTGCCATTGTCAGCGCATAATAAAAAAAGTTTGTAGCTTGTTTGGCTGGGTGTAAACGGGTGAAGCTGGGCATAGGTGAGAAAAAAGAATTGCATTCCGTATGATTGCATGTTTTGTGCTTGGCGTTTTGTAGTCATGAAATTTCCGGTTTCCTGCCTCGGCACATCTCGTAAAGTGGTAAATGACGGTTTTGGAGGAGGTTTTTAAAGCTTTAAGAAAATCAAGCGACATTTCAAATAGAAGTAAAGCTCAAAGGTTCAAATATACGCACATCATATATTACTGTCACGTGATATATGTCAGCGACAGGAATTACTTGTAAATGAGCAACCAACTTAAGGGCTTCCAAATCCTTTACGCTACAAGAAATTTTATTTTAACGAGAAACCTCGCTTACAAAGTTTAGACACACCTTCTCCAAAGCAACTAATATGCGGAGACACGAAAGGCAAAAGTGATTTGGGCCAACTAATTTTACAGGCCGCTTACCATACTTCAAGCCCGTTAATTACCCTAAAACTGCTAAGTAGAGCACCTTTAAAGGTAACATAGTTTCTTCTCGACTAGATCCGCTGAAAACCCTTTGATTCTCGAAGATCACTACACACGAAGAACGATTTCGAAAGTACCCGCATTTTTGTCTTCAAAAGCCCTGTAACCCGAACGATTATTCCTCTCGCCTCTACCAAAGTCAATGGCCCTAAAATAGACACAAAAATTGGCTATTTCAAAAACCTATTACGTCGTTAGTTTGTAATTCATTGTGCCCACGTGACATCGTCTCCCCTAGCCTCCAAATCAAATTTTCAAGCAAAAAAAAAAAGAGCCCAACCCATCAGGAAAACCGGGTATATATAAAGCGGACTGGATATTACCATCAACAGAGACAGCGACAGTAACACATCAAGGTGATCCCACGACACACAAATCGCAACTGTAAAACCTCACCTTTCTCTTCCACCTGGATTTCTTCTGACGGCTTCGAGTACAAACACCCACGGCCACATCATTACACATATCGAATAGTGACGCTTGACGCTGGTGATTCTACCGTTGATTTTTGGTTTTTGGTTTTTTTTTCGCTGCTCTTATTATAGTTTTCTAATAAGATTGAGATACAGGGTCTGCTAGAAATATCATGCCCGATACTGCATCCAGGGGATTTCAATTGGGAACATCACTAGACGCTGCAGAAGATTTTCGCACTCCAAGCTACCGCGACAACGACAACGACGTTAGCAACGGCAACAACATCAACATCAACATCAACAGTGGTAACGGAGACACTAACAACAGTAACGAAAACTCCAGTAACACCAATTTTGACATTGCCACTGGTGCTACCACCGCTTTAACGTCCACGACACAAAAAAATAGCGACTTTGTCACTTTCAACGCAATCGAAGACCCCACCCAGACCCCGTCCCACGTACAAAGGGACAACGACGAAGGGATCGCGTTGAACGAAGATCTGGAATTAAATTTGGGAACATCAAAAACAGAAACAACAACAACAACTACTCTAGAAACATCACCAAAATCAAGAACACCACTTGGTTTGACTCACGACAAGGATAACGAGCAGCTTACGCAGATTGTGCACGACACATCTTCCACGCAGCCCACTGTCGAACACGCTTCTACGTCCAGAACTGACGACCAGCGTCCCGAAGAACAGCTTCAATCGCAGCTCGCCATCCAATCGGACGCCATAGCGCTTCTCAACGACAAGCTTCAGCAAGTAGAAAACTCCGCGTGTACTACAGACGAGGGACTCAACGAACTTTTGGGCAACCTATCGGCTTCGACCCGCAACTTAGCGCACAACCAGAAGGTTCTTGAGAACAAGCTTGAGGACTTACTCAGAAACCAAGTCCACACCGACTCCAGTGTCAACGCATTACTGGAGAAACTGCAGAGCGTATCTCAATCGCTCGACAAGGCCGCTAGATCCAACGCTCTAGCTGCATCGGTTGGTGGAGCACAAACGATCCATCGCGGACCAGGAAGACCTCCAAAGACCAGAAACGGCTGGGTATCCGTCGCAAATTCACTTTCTATGACTAGCAAGGATTCTTTACCAGACAGCAACGTGGGCATACCCCGCAGCCGGCGCATGTTTCAAGATCCAGAATCGTCGCTAGACGTTGAATCGGGACTTGTTGGCCAAGCCAGGTCTTTAAGACAACAACCAACCAGCTCTTCATCTGCAGCGTCAGACCAAGGTTTGACAGGACCCAGAAAGAGGGGCCCCGGTAGGCCACCTAAACGGAAACATCACTGGGCTGAGAGAAGACAAAGTGGCTCATCTCGTGCACAGGGTGCTGCAGGTGACTCCGATTCGGAGCATGCCAAAGACGACGAAGACATTGATGAAGATGACGATGATGAATATCGGGCATCAGATGAACCCAAAATGGAGGACGACGATTATTTGGCCCATTCTTTGGGTGACAGTTCCGGCCTTCAAGTCGAGGATTCGTATTACGGGCAGAAAGCTCAACGTGGAAGGGGCCGTCCTAGCTCCAAATCTTCTGACAAAGCTCAACCTTTGACAACGGCACAAATAAAAATGCAGCAAGAACTTGAGAGACGCCGAGACGCTCGCGAACAAATGCTTGTGTCCATGAAGTACAGTGACCGCAACAAGGCCAAAGTGTTCATGGAATCCAATAAAGAACTCTTGCGGGCAATGCGAGAAGAAGAAAGACGCAAAAGAATGACCGCTTTCCACTACGATTCCCAAAATCAATCCGGCGGAAACACCCCTTCCAACACTGCGGGGCACAATTCGCCTTCTCCTAGTACAGCTTCTGGCTTAGGCGGTAGAAGGCTGTCACAATTTGCCTCTTTAGCGGCGGGCAGTCATGGTTTTGACACTGAAAACCAAGATCCTTCCATTGTAGCTCAGGGAGGTGCTCCTCATTCTGAGGGCAATCCGGGAACCCCACCTTCAGAATCAACACGGGAAGCTACTACAACGCCAACGTTAGCTTCAATCGCTGCTTCTTCCGATTACGCCACATCGAATGTGCCGCTGCCACGGAAAGTTGGTATTCTATCTATGCTCAACGAAGAAGAAGGAGAGGCTTCCGCAAATAAGCGAAGGCTCCCGGAACTTTACGAAAATGGTCTCTCTCCGGATTTTCCAAGTAAAAAGGAAAGACTAGAAGAAGGTCGAGATTTCCGGTCAATTATTCCAATGCTCCCGGAGAAAAAAGATAACAGAGGACGTCCAGCAAACAGTTCTAGTAGCGGAGACAATTCCACTGCTCTGTTACTAGCTTCTCCTGTTGAGCTATTATGCCGCGACGGCTACTTCTACCGCAAATCTGATCCGGAGCTACCAATCACCACCGGGGATTACCTTGAGTTTAAGTTCAAGTCCAAGGAAGACGAATTGATACGCTTGAACTTGAGTCAATCGGATTATGCCGAGCTTACAAGGCAAGACAGGATTAATGCTTATTTTTTGAAGCCGGATATTGAACGAGAGACAGATTTTGCGTGCCGACTTCTAAGTAAAACCGTGCTAACTGAAAGATACGTCAACAGTCTGGAATATTTCACTATGGAATTCCGTTGGGAAAACAGACTGGTAGGACTAGGTCTCAAACTTCGTGAGTCTAAGAGAACATGGCAAAGACGGAAAGCATTGTTTGCTTTGTTTGAGTTCTGGAGAGACAAGTCCAGAGAGAAGAGAGGATTTCCCGAGTACACAATGATGCACGCTGTAAAAGAAATGGAAAATTATCGTATTTTCATCAACCGGTCTGTGTCATGGTTTTACAACCACATCACACTACTTAAGATGATTCTGTACGACTTGTGTGACAACACCGAGACTCAGTGGAGAGAATGGATGTTCCCAAGAGAGCAACCGATTCCTATTGTTGGAGATTCTTTGACCGAGGACAAATTGAATGCATCCATAGGTCAAGTCCTAGCGTTGGACTTCTTAGAGGATGGCACCGACAACCGCGAAGTAAAGGCTTCGTCCGCTAATATTGTGGTGGAAGAGACTCCCGCTGCTGATCAACCAAAAACCGAATGAACGTTTCAGCGTTAATTCAAATCCCTGTGGTCTTCGTCATCGCGCGGTTTGAAGCTGGCAATCTGTATTATTTTTTAAACTAGTTCTTGTATACTCATGGGCGATGAATTTGACAGTTTCTTGGAACACCTTCTAAGTCTCTATCGACTACTGGATAAACCTTACAGCATGTATATCCTGATAAGATTCTTATATCAATCGAAATTTCTTTGTCAACAAGTGTCAACCGCTAACCTCTGGTTGTTCGTGTCAGGTGCCATCGCTTTGTTCGATGAGCTAGGTATTCTTACTCAATATACTGAAAATTCAAGATCAGCGAACAATGTAGAAACAAATCATCGAAGGAAGAATACAGATATGTTAGTGGATCTCAATGTCGCATGGCCACAGACTACTTTCAATGACACTGTGAACGCCCAACAGATTGCGGAGGTCACAAGGATACTAGAGACGCTTCATACACTTGGATATTCACATGTTGCACTCAACTTTACAATAAACCATACTGAAAAGTTCCCCACGTCTCTCAAAGAGCTAAATCCTATAAAAATCACCGAGTATTTTGGAGGTCTCATGCAAAGCACAGGCTTAAAACTTTACTCGAGAATAACGTTGATAATCGACGACCCTTCGAAAGGACAGTCACTCTCCAAAATATCGCAGGCTTTTGACATAGTTGCAGCAATGCCCATCAGCGAGAAAGCACTCACAATGATAACTTCGTCCTTGGATGTAGATTTGCTCACGTTCCAGTACAACCATCGGCTCCCTACGTTCTTAAAACACAAGAGCATTTGCAGCAGCGTTGCCAGAGGTGTTAAGCTCGAAATTGTCTACGGCTACGCTTTAAGAGATATGCAAAGCAGACGACAATTCATTCAAAATGTTAAAAGTGTGATTCGCAGTTCACGATCGCGCGGTATTGTGATCAGCAGCGGTGCCAAAAAGCCACTAGAATGTCGAAACGTCTTGGGCGTCACTTCTCTCGTGAAAATATTAGGTCTTCAGAGCGACAAATGCGTGAAAGCCATGACAGAACTTCCAGCTCTCGTGCTTCTGAACGGAAGGCTTCGAACCAAGAGCCATAAGCAAACAGTCGTGATCGGAGGTGGCTTCGAGACTGATATTGTCAACGAATCTGAAGTTGATCCAGGTAAACTCATAAAAGTGGTCAAGCGCAAAGCTTCCGAGCCCTTGGGCGATGAACAAAATCACCCAGCTAAAATCGCTCGTCATTGACGTACAGACTTGGCCCATGGGGTCCAGAAAGTTAGGTGGTGTTGAGAGATACATATATAAACAATCCCTACTCGTTTACAATGATTTATTAATACTGTCTCTATAAAAGAAGGGGACCTGGGCGGCTAATGAAGTTTGATTCCTTACCACCACTTTTCTTTCAAGCAAACGCTACGAATAAGTAAACAAAAGGAAAACTGAGTACTTCATATCTAGAAGAGCGACTGTTAATACACGCTAGAAAAGGTTGTGAGTTATTTCTATGGCTTTCGAGGGCGTTAGGCGGTTTGGACAGAGAGTTTCAAAACTCTCCCGATACCACAATTCGTTAGGTAGCAAGAAGAGATCCAAGAAGAAGGGGGATGCTTGTGAGACAAACAAAACTGTAATGGGACTTATTGAGCAAGCAGGTTCTGATTATGCAAAGGGTGAAACGGATCTGGCCATCTACAGACTCACACAAGTGTTGTCGAATATGGAACGTGAGTGCACTTCCTTAGAAGAAAATCAGGCGGCAGCCTGTTTTGTTTCGCCTCCGGTGAAATTGGACCGGTCAGAAAAGCCATGCGAAGTAGCTCCACAACAAGAAGACCACCATACAAGAAAGAAACTAAATCGTAAGCTTTTACTTCGGGACGAAATTGCTTATCGTAACGCTTTGCAGCGTCCTCCTTCTCTTCCGCCATGTACCGAGCTACCACCCCTTCCTGAGCCAGCCCAATCGCATGGAACTGTGATAGAAGAATGCAGAATTCACTACCCAAAAGTTGTTGTACCTGTACCTGCACGAATGGTTTCAGTGCGCTACAACGATGGTGTTTCTACGCTACGTAACGTGGAAACGGAGGTAACCGAATTCTCGGACCTCATCGAAAGATCCTTTAATACCCTTACAATTGGCGACTCCGTCGCTGCCCTAGACGATGACACGACGCGTTTTGAAGACCGCGTACTTTTCCCGAACAGCACGGGCAACGAAACCGTCTGGAGCAAGGCCATCGCAAACGAATTCCAGGCACACACCCTCGAGACTGCAACATATCGCTAGCGCATTCCAGGACGCGTTTGTTCACCTTCATTAGGCATTTTTCAGATCACTTTCCTGTTTTTTTTTTTTTTTGGGTTCATTTCACAGGAAGTGTGTGTTCCCATTTTCGTGATCTTACTTGAAATGGAAGCGATATACACTTTCAAGTCTGGCGTCTTAATTTGCCATACTCGCTATAAAAGAAAGTCTGTGAGGTTGGACGGTGAAACTCAAGATCGGACGTGTACTAGAAACTCAAACAAAAAGTGTTGGAGGAGTCTGGTCTGCTATAGTACAGATTTGGTTCGAAATTGAACGGTGGTTTCCATTAAGAGAGCGGCAAAGAATTGAGTTCAATCACAGAGTTTAAGCTGAAGTTCGCTCTTGAGAAGAAATTGATCTGTTACTCGCGAGTCTCACATAAAACGCGTAAGATGACGGTACAAATGAATCTCCCGCAAATGCGTTCTATCTGGATCGATGAAGATCAAGAGGCAGAAAAACTATACGGGCTTCAGGTCCAGCACTTGATGGACTCCGACGGTGAGGATCAAGTTGACATGATGCTGATCAATAGTGATAGACCTTGTTTGAACAACAAAGAGCGAATCGAACTACCACCTCTGATGCCTGCTGCATATAAGCCCAGTCGTGGGAAAAAGCCATTGCAACACGTATCGGAATCGATAAGCGGCTCATCGAAAAGTAAAACAAAAAAAAGTACGGGAAAATTTCTCAGGTTCTTTAGAAGCAAAGAGACGCGCTTTGACGCACCTAGTACCAAGATATCGGTTCCTTTCAATTTTCAGCACATTTCTCATGCTGACCTAAAGAATGCTTTCGAAGACGAAGAGCTACCTAATGAAGAGCCGATCTCGCCAATCGCTCTCAATAAAGCTTTTGTTACAAAAAGCCCAGAGCCAACGCCCTTTGCGGCACTTGGCAGGAGAACTTCATATAGCTCAAAGAGTCCATCGCTACGTCGGGCGTCATCGCTCGCTTCCTCACAATATTCGTCCACCACGGCAAGGATAGTGTCTACGTCAACAATGGCCACCTCTGTCAACGACTACTCTTCATCGCTGAAAAAATTAGACCAGCTTGAGAAAGTTCATCTGAAGCACAAATATAATAAATCGGATGCAAGCAGCGTCTCTGTGGAGTTTTTGAAGAGTTACAACTTCCCTACGGTTTTAGAAGATGTTCCATTGGCAGAGGTCAGAACTCCAGAAATGTCCAGAGACCAAGGCGACAGATTCACATGGGAATCCCCTGAAAACTCAGAGGCGCTGTTGGAGACCATGCTTCAAACAAAATGTCCAATGTCAGGCAACGCGTCACAGCCAAGAAGAAAGTCCGACTCGCAGTTATTAGTATCACCTATTTGCGAACAGCGTAGTTCATATTTGGACACGCCCAAAACAAGAAAATCTGTCGACGATATTCTACTTTGCTACCACCAGCCCAGCGAAACGAGCTCCGAGGCTTACTGTTCAACGGAGTTCTCTTTCAGCCCGGGCTCGGGCAAAGGACATGCTCGCACATCTTGGGGAGGATAGATGTACAACATATTGAGTTCCTCCATTCTTACAGCGGAAGAGATAGTCCCCTTTCCACCCAACAAAGCATTTTCTCTCGTTCAGCATGGGACCTTCTCTGTCATTTCATCAAATGCCGCGCTATTCATGAAAACTTTGTCATTTCAAAGTCATTTTGCATTCACCTCAGTCATTCGCTCTTTGATGCGTTGCCGGTTACATATATACACAATCCTTAATTTCTAGCCGTTGTTTTCCAGCCTCATGAAATCATATTGTCGATCTTCCTTCGGCAGTTTACCAGCTCAACCAACAACCCTATGCTGCCCTTGAAGTTTCTTTGGCATTGTCTTAGAGAAGATGGAATCGACAAAACTCCGCCAAACATATGAATTGGGTCTCGAATGGCTTTGGAAGCTCGCACGTCGGACTTTTCTTGTCCAGTTTTGCGGTTTTTTAGATGTCTTCCGTTTCCGTCTTCAACTTGTTCTTCTTGTTCGTCGTCTGATTCAAACTGGGCCAGGTACTTCGATGCTCTTTCAGACTCCATAATCGAAATAGTAGAGTCCTTGTGAGAAACAAATTGGGAGCCCTTGAACCTTTCGTCCCAGTAATCACGCCCATAGCGACCTCTTACAGCGTCTTTGTTGTGAAAGTTGGCTCTGCTTAAATGTTGAAAGCCTTCGCTAAAACTGACTTCCAACTGTTCTAAAAGGTAATCGTAGTGTGCCAGAAGCTCTAAAAGCTCAGTACAATCCTGTTCGCCAAGCATTGTGCTCTGAAGCGAGGCCACGATGTTGTTGAGGGCTAAAACGTCTGTTTGTCATATCGATCAACAGGTTGGTCAGATAAATCATACCTTACTTATATGAAATATACATGAAATTAATGAAATTTCCAAGTCATCTCCCATTAACATCTGAGTCGAGTTAAACCAACTTTCAAAGGCCTTAAACCCTTTATAAAAGTCCAGAATCCCACCAATGGCGGATAGATTGACTCAATTGCAAATATGTCTGGACCAAATGATGGAGCAGTTCTGTGCCACTCTCAATTACATCGACAAAAACCACGACTTCGAAGCATCTGCCAATGGTGAAGACAAGATGACAGATCCGCAAGCAACCATTGCACCCAAAGAAGAATTTGAAAATACCATTGACGAGCTTTCAACGGATTTGATTTTAAAAACAAGGCAAATAACTAAACTTATAGACTCACTGCCTGGTGTCGACGTTTCCGCCGGAGAACAGATGCATAGGATAGAAGCATTACAACACCAAATGGTGAAAATGGAAGACAAGAAAATTGAGGCCATAAAACAGAAGGAAGATCTGCAGAGAAAAGTGGAGGACATGATTTTCAATTTTACGGTTGGTATCGCTGACGCTCGCAAACCAGAACAGGGCCCTGGAAAAGAGACCAATGCGTGAAATAACGGCCCAAAAACAAAGACAGCAACAACTCTTTGTGCATTGTACTATAAGCATTTAAAGAAACGAAAAAGACGAGAGTCTGGTGGGTTAGGCCCATATGTATGTGGCGATAACAACTGAGCTAGCGTATACTATGAGCACAACACGGCTGGTCTTACTATGTTGCCAAAAGAAGTTGGCTGTGGCCGCAGCAAGCACCATGCTAAGCAAGTAGCTTGGAAGGTACTGTGCGGGATCGAGATTTTCGTGCTCACACCAGGTAAAAACATGGTAATGCATAAACCACCCGATCGCAAGCTCGCAACAAACGTCCAAATACAGGAACTTGACAGTGTCCAGTTCGGTAGCAGGATCAGCCCACGGGTTCCAACGTGCCCATCTGGCAATCTCAACAATTAAGTAGATGGTCAAGCACGCCAGAGGCGCAAACCACATGAGTTTCGAGCTAATGTGGGATCCCTTAGGCGACCACAACCAGCTATCCATCTTGATGTCACTGATCAGGTCATTGTTCTTCAAATAATAGTCAAACTTGTACTGCAGTTGAACATACTCTGTGGTGACCTTCCACAATTTTGTCCCAATCCAATCAGTTGGTCTCGGTAGGTACGCTCCGCGTTCCTTGTATAAATTGGATCTGTCCACGAAGAACAGAGACCGCGCCTTGTCCGCCGGATCTACGCAGAGAACTTCCTGCTGTCCAAATCCCCACTCGGGTAATCTCAAATCATGGCTTAAAAGCTTGCATTCGTGGCCCTTGTTCTCTAAGCTGAATAAAATAGTGTAAGGACATAGAAGATCATGATGTGCAGGCTTACCTCGCTCGAATCTAATTCTCCACGACTCATCCGCGTCACCTTTATACTCCCAGTCTCCAGTGCACGAGACTTCACTGTCGTAATCCTGTTCACTTATAGGTGGTTTTGCCGATGATGCTCGCAGAAGTTTGCCAGTGTTCTTATGTCTGAGCTTTATCAAAGCGCCATTTCGCACAGGTTCAAGTTGCTCTCTATAGGCTAGGTCCTCCGAATATGGCTCCACAATCCATTCGTTGTCTCCGTCATTCGAATGAAGAAATAGTGATACTTGTTGACCGCCAGACCCCGCAGGGTAAGTGTAGTTATGAGAATGTAAATAGCCACCTATCGATTGTGCATGTCTGATAAGTATGTTACTCCCGTAGTACACAACATCAGGTTGCGGCATTGGTTGTGGCAAAAACCAGTTCTCAAAATAAGGTGATACCATACTGGAATGATCTAGAGAAGGCATTCTGGAGTTGGAAAGGAAAACAAAGTACGACAGAACGAACGTCGCAAGTGGGAGCGAAATGATAGTTGCAGTTCCAAACGAAATAAATTTGAATAATCTCACGGTATCGATATTAACATCCCCAATTGTTTCCCATGCCCTTTTGAAAAGAAGCAGTAGAAACCAAGCCCAAGTGACAAGTCCCAAAAACTTTGTTCCAATGCCACCAACAATAGATCCCGCCAAAAGAAGTAAACTGAAGTACCATTTTTTGCCACCTAGTCTTGAGCGTTTGAAGATGTTCCAGCTTAAAAGTCCACACGTCAGAAACGAAAGCTGTGGGATCTCTGCAGAGAGGTGGGTACTTTCTTCCACAAATAAAGGCAGGTTCGATATCACAGCTGTAGCAGCTACTGCTACAGAGCTGACTACGCTAGAGGCACGCAAAGTCAGATAAAAAGTTGCCACGGTGATCCCAGCAACAACGAGGTTGATTTTTCTTAAGGTTTCGAGAGACAGATTCTCGGTAAATTTCAACGAAAGAGCCAAAACTTGTACAATCATAGGAGGAAATGAATTGATGTGGAAATTTCCTGAATTGTAATGTCTGGCAGCCTCCAGAAGGTCAAGCTCTGAAGAACGCGATTCTTGTTCCAGGCCGCCTTTCCTTAGCTGTCGAAGAACGAACGAGAAAGCCAAAAGTACTGCCAACGCATAATCTGAGCCTTTCAGTTTGACTGCAAAGAACTTTTCATATATTTCAATGCCTAGAAATGGTCTGTCCGGACCCCGGTTCAGGTCCACTTCTCTCTTCTGAGCGTTTTTCGACATACCTCACGAGTGGCCGTTTTTTTTTCCTTTCTGGACAGAAAAATCGGGTCAATTGCCTTTTAATTGCCCAAGTAACGGATTGTCGTGAAACTGATTCGATTGGCCTTCTGGAAAGCCAAAGGTTGCGACAGATGCGTTTGATCTTGGATGAGCCAGTTTACATTGCATCGTTTCTTCCAATTATTTCACTGTACTCGTGGATCCAGTGATGAGTACATCTACCGAAACGGAGTCATTGATGGTTGGGACTACGTTCAATGCACCTTGTTGAAATGAATTTAGAGGTCTGGCATCTTGGACTACTATGATCTTGTCGTTTGGCAGATTTTCGATCTTTGTTAATCGCCGATGGCTCGTCTAAGCACAGGAATTAAAAGGAACTTGTGGTGGAATAGATGAAATCCTAACGAGTTATCCGTTAATTAATCATACTCCTATGGATGTTGCAATGAGAAAAAAAGGTTTCGAGCTTTGTAAGCACTTCACAATGATGGTGTTGTACCTCAACTAATTATTCCGAAGGCTCGTTCTTATGACCTGGAAATATAAGAGAAATAAAGGCATTGGCACATAATCTCCAGGAGCGAGAACATATAATCTGGACCATTCAATAGCCGAATCTGATGATCATTCTCAGACATCAGACATGTTGAACCACTGGAGCGTTTCATTTGAACATTTATTCATCATTTTACACGGAATCCCTCAACCTTAATTTAAAAAGGTCAATACTAATCTCCACAAAGAAGCAGAAAACATCCCAGACCCGAAACCAACCCCGTTTGAGACTGAGGAGTACCCTTCTGGTTATCCTAATTCCTCGACTCCTCCACTTTTGTTAGTCTGATTGCGTTTCAGGGCTTTGTTTTATTTTTCAAAACCGCATTTCGGTCTTATTACCCTTCGGCGGCTAAACACCTGCCACAAAAAGGACTCGAGAAACTAAAAACAAGAAAAGACTCTTTCGCTGTGTCTTTCTTGTATCTCACAGATACCTGGCAATACAATATTACGCCCATTGATTCCACCATTGCAAGAACAGGTCAAGAAATCATTCAAAACTCTTGAATCATCTCGAGAACGTTTTACAGTCATTTGAACGTCAGTGTTCCTCAAAATCGTCCTAGATTCGATTTCAATATATACAATTAGAATGAATCCTGTCAAAGAGAATAGCCGTTTGTCTCTTGACAGCTCCATGTTGAGAGATGGAAATTGCTCTGACATGCCAGGAAGCTTTGACCCAGATTTCAAAACGCGACACTCAAGCAAAAAAAGTGATTCACTTTTCACGCGACGAGGGAGCCAATACCGTGGTATTAAAGACTCTTTGCTGTTGTACGAAGGTCAGTCTTTTGAACTGGGCCATGAGAATGCCGTCAATGTTCCACGAAGGCAGATGAGTGGCGCCAGGGATAGTTCCAATTTTGAGAGACCTGTCAACAATTTCAATCGTGGGAAACATGTTTGGTACCGAGCGAATAAAAATGATGAAAACAGTGCTGCTGAACACTTCGCAGATCCAAATTTTTCGCCTAATAGCTCTATCAATATTCGCGATGCGCTTGAAAATGCTGCACATTCGATTGCAAGAAGTCAAAAGGCTTGTTCGGGCATGAAGGAGCGACTGGCAAAATACAACTTGAACAGGTCAGTTCGTATTCCAGGCAGTTTTTCAAATCTTCAGGCCACTACCATAGATATCGACGCTGGAGATTGCGTTGACGAAGACGTAAGTTTCCAGGCAATCGAAGGAGCGAAAAGTGCAAAGGAACCTATCAGCTACATTTCGGCTTGTTTACTGGGTCCCATAATCATCAAGAGTACCTATTTCCTGCTTGCTCAATCTGCTACGCTAGAGAATAAAGATTATTCATTTTCCAACACCTGCGTCATGATTGTCAGCTCGGACTTATCCGGTTTTAGCTTGCCCCAGTTGGATAACTTGGTTCTCCAAATTACACAGATTTGGTTGCTAATACGAATCATACCTGTCCTAATCAAGATACCATGGAGTTTTCATGCAACCGTGATGAAGTACGGCCTATACCCACATTTAAATGAGGACCTTTACAGCGTTAATGATAAATTTCTATTTCATGACGCTGCTTCGTTCTTCAACCGTCACGAGAAGTTTGGCCTACGCCTTAAAAACATCAGTCTGATAGTTCTCGTAACTTCACCCTTCATTTTGACGACCGGTTTACTACTAGCGCACAATCTCACCGTTAGACTGGCCACCTATGATCTTCCAACAAGCACCCCATCGTCAGTTTATTCCTCCTTCATGGCCGTAGTATTTTCCCGATCACAGTTTGCAATGCTGATGTGGTGCATTCTGTGTCAATATTGCAAAGATGCGTTTGAACACATTGAGGACTACGTTATCGACCAACAGAAAAGGTTTCAAAAAGACGCAGAGTCCATTGCTAATCGTCTCGACAGTCCTGAATCCAGAACGACTGATGGATTAGATGCTGGCACTAAGCACTCCATCATGTCGAAGAAACCATTGCTACCTTTGAAAAAGAAAATGGCTAGTCCATCTTTCGACAACACGCACCCAGTCGATAGTCCAAGTTCGCAAGCGCCGCTTCCTCCATTTGCGGTTGCTGCCTATGAGAGCCCGCTCAAAAGCAAGCGTGCAAATGATACGCAACATTCGAGCATTAGACCAGTGTCGCCTCAAACCGGTGTACACTTCGTCGTTGATAGGTATCCCCGCCGCCCCCAGTCATGGCGAGACTACGTCAAAATAGCTCTACACATGCCGCTACATGTCTTGTCGACAAAATATAGGATATTGCGGATAGGCTTAAAATCTATCGTTTACGTTTTTTTCTTTTCCTATTGGATGGTCAAGGGATCCTGGCGCTGGCTTGGCCGTAAATCTAATGACAGTGCACCAAAATAGCTATTATTTGGAGGGCGTCAGGGAAATGAAACCCAACCCCTAGTACTCAATTTTAATCATCTATCTTCTCGAATGTCTCTTTATTCCAGGTTGAGTGCGCTCTAGGTGTTTGTTGATCTTCGCATTATTGAGATATCGCGGAAAAGACCACTGAAAAGAACCATATCAATAAAAAGCCCAAGGTTTTTAACAATAAGTTCCGATAGTGTAGTGGTTATCACGTAACCTTCACACGGTTAAGGTCCTGGGTTCGACCCCCAGTCGGAACATTTGTGTCCCAATTTTTTCGAAATTTTATTAGCTGGACAATGGATGAGCAAGCGCAACGTTCTAGTCTTGAACAGCACATTAGCTGAAGAGGTACAGTTGTCACATCCGTTCTTCTCTTTTCGCTTGTCCCATTACCTCGTATTCTCTCATACTGAGAGAGTCTTCACGTCTACGTTAACAGCAGTTCTCATTTATAAAGTCTATCTTAGCTTCATCATCAGTGAAGCAGAAGTTAAGTTTGGGATGCGCAAATACAACCTCAGATCTTCAACATGGCCAACAAAACTCGTCCTAAAAAGGTGAAGGCTCCATACCGCAAATACGTTGGCGGCCAAGGGTTTGTACGTACGCTGGGCTTCACTGCTAACTCGGCTGACGAAGAACAACGGAGCAAAACCAGTGGTGAAATCACTCATACACCGCAAGGCACCTACTACTACGACAAGGAAACCGATTCAGTAGTGCATTTGAGCGTAAATGTAGCTAATTCCGTGACTGGTGTGGAATCTGCTGAGGCAGAATTGGAAGATGGCAGTGTGGATGCAGTTCTGCCGTTAGAATTGTTCGAGCTAATACTGAATTTCTGTACAGTTATCGAACCGCAATTTTTACGAGTGTGTCGAAGTTGGTACCACATATCTGCTCCACTACTTTATGCCGCCCCACAACTTCATAGCCGCAATTTTGGCCAGTTTGTTGATACAGTGATCAACAACCGTAAAAAAAGGTTGGGAGTGTACGTCAAGGACCTGGATTTGTCTAATATCATTCAGAGTGGTAAGAATTCATATGTTTCAAAGCTTCTGCGACGCTGCAGTCCGATCTTAAGAAGTTTCACGGCACCACAAACCAGTTTCGGATACGCCCCGCTGATCAGCTTGAAATCCTGCCAGCAATTACAGTATTTGGACCTGGGACTCGTTTCAGAGACCGTCCAGCTAAGCGAATTGTTTAGCGCCATAAAGCGATTTGCACATCTAACGCATTTGTCGTTTCCCAGAAGCTCCATCGATTGTTCCGGGTTTCGTGAGTTCGAATGGCCACCTAATTTACGATATCTTAGACTTAGTGGCGGGATTACCAACGAGTTTGTGAGAGAAACCAGTTTCCCAAGAACAATCAGGACGCTGGAGTTCTCGTTTTGTCCACAAATAAATGAACATTCTGTTTACACGGTTCTTGCGAGAATTGGTGATATACTGAAGCACCTTTATTTTCACTACCCGATGCCAACTCTACACGGCAGTTCGCTGGACTTTGTATTTCGATATTGTCCCAATCTGATTACACTGCAAATGACTGTGGACTACTGTTCCAAGTGGGCCTTTTCGGAAAACATACTAACATTTTCATCCACTCCCCGCCCACTGCGTAAGTTGCTGCTCGAATGCAGTGGAAATCTGGGCCAGACCTTCAAAGTTCATCCTGACGACATCACCATAGCGTTAGCAGAAGATCGACTGCCGAACCTCAAAGTTGTGCGGGTCTCATCGAAGCTCGGCTGGGATATGAAAAGTTCAGATGTTAGCGATCTCATTTCCTACCTGGAGGATCAAGATGGCAGTTTGTATATAAACTACTAAGAAAAAGAACTAGTACGGCAATCGTTACCATAGACTTGCATCTGGTAGGCTCGCTAGCAAGAGGCGCTAAAGGTCCTCATCCTTAACGGAATTGTACCTGTAGACTGTATAACCTATTATACTATCGTTCGATTTGGATCCAGGCTCGAAAGCTTTAACAAATTTTTGAATCCCCGCATAGGTGAAACAATGAGCTCTGCTGTTTATTTCAGCAAGTTCTTGGTCACGAACCAGGTCTTCTACGTAAGTTTTGATTATCAGTACGAGAGTCACCATGTAACTAACAGAAACTGTAGAAATCGAAATACTCATTCGCACTTGTCAACTTAAAGCCCTTGGTTCCTGGTCATGTTTTGGTAGTGCCATTGAGGACCAGTGCTATTGAATTGACCGATTTGACGAATGAGGAAAGTGTAGACTTTTTCGCAACTGTAAGACTGGTCAATGACTTCATCAGATTCCATTTTAAGGCTGATTCAATGAATATCGCAATTCAGGATGGTCCAGAGGCAGGACAGACTGTCCCACATCTGCACACACATATTATTCCACGCTATCGCGCGAACAACGTCGGGGACAAAATTTACAAGTTGTTGGACAATTGGAATTTCGAAGCTTGGGCTGAAAGGCGTGATGCGTACATCAAAACTCGTGGTGAAGATAGCTTTGCCAAGCCTGATGACCAAAGGGTTGAACGTACTGTAAAAGATCTAGCACAGGAGGCTCAGCAGTTACGAGAGAGCTTGGTCAGATTTCAAGCCAGCAAAAAGAGCTAGCTAGATAGAGCTATACTCCAAAGCAGTTGCATATAGATATATATGTATGCAATATGTATGCAATATGTACAAGAGGTGCGCGCTTCGTTTTTCTTTATCGTGTCGCTGTTGTATGTCTCTGTGAATATTGTGTCTTTACGACTGAGCAGAGCCGTCTTGCGCGGCACGTTGTTCCGCTCGCATTTTGGCAACCGTTTCTTTACGCTTGCGTTCGCCGCCCAAAACCGATTTTTTGCCCTCTTTGATCTCAACGACCGGTTCGTTCTTCCGTAGACGCTCGACCTGGCTCAATATGTATTTGCGCTGTTGTGCTACCATACCCTTCTCTTTCAAAGCCTTTGAGTCCCAAGAGAACAGATTTTCCCACTTGTTTTCGTAGAGCTCGGCTTGCTCATTGCATTTCCGTCCGATCTTATTTAAAAACGCTTCTACCGAAGGTATCTGATCCGTTGGACTCGGAATTTTTCGCAGGCTGGCATTGTTTTTTCCAAGTACGGACGTACAGCTACTGAAAAGACGTATGCTGGTGGTAAAAGCTTTCATTTGCTGGACAATAGGGACTGTTCAATTGTGCACTGGTACGCTACAAGTATGGTTTCATTGAAGCTTTCACGATGAGCTTTTTCAATTTGAGATTCCGTTTATAGTGATATTATGAGTCACGTGTATTTATATGATCACGTGATATTTTATTTTCGTTATTGGTGATTGTGGTCACGTGTGATTTAAATTGATTTTCACGAAATTGAAAAGGTCATGTGATCTTGAAACTTTCCATATCCCATAGGATTATCAAGAATCACTAACTACCACTCACTACCAACTCATCGACTTCAAAGAAGTGCTAGATACAGGACTATATTGTCCTCTCAGCTAGCGTTTTACACTGTCGTTATATAGAGGTTTCAATTCCAGCAGTCATGAGTTCCAGTGATGAAGACGAGAAGTATCTGTATGGCTCCGAAGATGAAGGTGCTGCGGCATCGACAGCAAGCACGAACGACAAAAAACGGCCAGCAGAAGATGAAGCAGGACAAGCAGCGACCCAACGTACCAAGACTGCTGAATCGAGCAGTAGCAATGAAGACGAAGACGACGACGAGTCCAGCGAAGGTGAGGACTCCGAAGATGAGTCTGATGTAGAGTTCATCATCGGGGTCGGGACAGATAGCTCAAAACTGGACTCCAAGAAACCTGCAAGCTCCACAGCAAATGGGGTCCCTAAGACAGTCTCAGTGACTGCCCCAACTCTGGAAGTGGCTCCGGCGATCGGCAAACCGGTGGATGAGGACGTTGCCCAAGAAGAGCCGATGGTGGACGGAACATCACAGGCCCAACCGGGTACAGAAAGGGTTCCCATACTCGATTTAAACGCACCCGGTAAACTTGGAGATCAACTGGTAACTGATATCGATCCTGAAGTGCTGAAGGAAAAGCCATGGCGGCAGCCGGGTGCGAATCTCAGTGATTATTTCAACTATGGCTTCAACGAGCAAACCTGGATGGAGTATCTTCACAAACAAGAAAAACTGCGGGCTGAATACAATCCTCACAAAATGCTTATGGGCCTGCTGGCTCTTCAGCAGCAGGGAAAACTTAATGACTCGGGATCGGACGGTAAAGGTCAGGATACTGGTATGCAAGCTATGCAATCCAACATGGCAGCACCTGGGTTCCCCATGGGCATGCCATCTATGTTTGGAGGATTCCCATTCCCGTTCCCCGGAATGATGAATAACATGAACCAGCAACAAAAAAAATGATGGGACGAATTGGAAAATAGTCTTCGATTGTTTGTTCTAAATGTATACTATTAAAAAGATTAATTAATGTTGATGATGGTTACTTACAGGTTCAACAACCTGTTATTCAATACATGCTTGACCCACGGTTGGTGGAATTTGTTCAATCCAACAACCTGTGTTAGAAGAGCGGTCCATTTGGCTTTGAGATCGGCAGATTCGGCATCCAGGTTGATAATCTCGCCGTTCTCGAAAATGAGCTTGAAGCACTCACTGAAAAGAACCATGTCTGTGAAATTTCTCACTTTTTGAGCCGCTTCTTCAGTAAGCCCTCCCTCTCCGACAACGCTCACCACTTTTAAAAGATTTATGAGCGCTTGAGGTGCCCTGGTTATTTCATGGTGAGCGATGAGTTGAGTTCCCTTCAAGACGAAAAACCGCTTTTGTAGCAATCCGTCCACGTCACCTCCTTCTTGCCATAGAAAGCCTTCGAATTGGATCTCCTGTTGTTCGGCAAACTTGTTGACTACATCGTGAGCCAGATCAAGTGTCTTCGGAAACTTTTCGAAATTGGACGTTCGTGAAAGAAAACACATCTCTAGCTCAATTTCACCAATTTGATAAGCAGGTTGACGAGGAAGATTATAAACAGTTTCTCCGTCCTGTGACTTTCCGATCTTCCTTTTCCATTCATTAAAAAGCGGAAAGGAATATCTTTTCCTTCTAAAAGCATTTTCTTCCAGCATAGCCTTGTCAACTGGCAGTTTGCAGCGGGCAAAAGATCCATCCTGAGCAAATACGTGATCCCAAGGATCGTTTTCCACTTTCTTGTTGACAAACACTTTCCTCAAACTATACTTAGGTTTGCCGAACGGGAATTTCTTCTTGATAGGAATGCGCTCTGTCACCTCAACCAATTGCGAAGTGGGCCTCTGGTACCTGCACTTGAGAGTTATCTGCGCGCAGAGTGCTGGTTTCATGTCCCCAATGATCAGCTCGTACTCTTGATTCATTTCAATGGCATCTTTATCTAGAGGTGTCCAGGGCGTCTGAACAACGTTGATACCATTGTCAAACTCAATAGAAATTTCAGCTTTGTGACGCGAGATGTCTTCGAGCTTAATACCTTTGATCGACTTGATCAGAATATATAGTTTTCCAGTGTCCTTCAAAAATTTTTCCCGACTTTCCTGATAGATGCCACTAGGATGTTCTGTCGAAAAATGGATGCTGGGTTCACTTTCAAGCTGCTGCGTCTGATTTTCTTCTAGACCAACGGTGCGGACCGGAGATCCCGTAATAATTTTGTTTGGGTTGTCGAGATTCTTTGCCCTGACAGTCTTGAATGGGCTCTCTACATGTGTACTTTTCACTGGCGACGTCTTTGGGCTCTTTAAAGGCTCCATTGTTTCTCCGGATGCAGACCTTACAGCTTCGAATCCTTTGAAAGTTTCGCTATTGTATACAGCAACATCGCTATCAGCGCTTCTTAGTATCCCAAGACCAGTTACTTCATTTTTGTTTGGATCTTCTTCTCCATCATTCTCCGCATCGCTGAGAAGCTTTGTCAGGACCTTCTCATTGATCCCTTTCTTGGCACTTGTTGCGATCCCGTATTCATCTTCAAATGAGAGCTCAACAGCATTGTGATAGTTATCCTCACCCCATATGTGGTATACGATGGGATCGCCATTCTGTGCACTGGGCTCATTCGAGGAAGTATTTCCATGACTGAAGCTTCTTAACAGTTTGTTGAAGTCATCAGCGAGGTCAAAGTTGTCTCTACCCATGTCAGGTATCTGTAAAGAATTGTCCAGAGTATGCGTGCTTATTTTACTGGTCTCCGCTACCTCCACTGAATCTGATAATATCATATCTGGTTGTTCAGTATCGCAATCGCTATACGCCATTGGTTCATGTTGAACCGAATCTTGTTTCGAGTTCGATGCAGCTTGTATACCTAAATCTGATTGCTCATCTGCTAGTGCAATGCGCGCAATGGAAGGAATGTTCGTGTCATGAGAGTGCTTTCTGGAGATCTCGGGCTGTACACGCTGACTCCATTGAAGACGACGGGGATCGAATTTACTGGAGCTACTATTCTGGATTTGGTAGGACTTGTCTTGATTTATAGGCAAGGAAGTCCTTGTTCGCGGGTAGTGGATTTTACCCCTGCTCACTATGCGCGGCTTGAGTTTGAAGGTTGACGGTACCGAACCAGACGAATCACTGGTTATGTTGGACTGTTGTGAAAACTGCGAATGAGATGAAATGGTGGGTGATGCATTGCTCGACACGTCTTGTGAATGCCAGATTGAAAGATAGGTTGGCTTTAGTGCATAGGTAATATCAACAGAATCTTGGGAAGTATCACCAATGTCTGCGAAGATAGCGTCCTCGTCGAAGACGTTCGCAAGATTGTGGGAGATAATCCGCGTATCTTTTAGAATGCCTTCGGTGGGATGTTTCAAATCACTCGTCGCTGCCTGATCAGCGGCTACAGCCGCGTAGTCATGGGGCTTGTCATCATGAAAGCCTTCGTCAGCTTTTTCCTGAATCACCGGGACGGACGAGACCGACGTATCCGTTTCTTGGACGGCACTTGAACGTATTTCGGAATTGTCCTCAGAAGTATCAGTAGCAGCTGAATTGGCTTCCTCCCCATTTTCCATACCAGCGCCATTGTGGTTAGGACTTCCAATGGACTCTTCTATTTGGTGTTCATCTTCGCTAACATCAAGAGCTGGATCCCCTCTGTTAAGATCGTGTAAGGAAGAAAGTTGGACGGTAGATGTCGAGGGGGATTTAACCATATTGTCACCAGAAAGATCATAATCTGACGGTAGCATTCTCTCACCTTTAAGGTAAGCATTAGACCCATCGTTGTGATAGTCATCCAGCTTGACCAATTCATTGATGTTTTTCAAGGTTGCGTCTTCTCTTACCAGACCTTCTGATATTTGGAGGTCTTCAATGGCTTCAAACGCTTGGGAATCGTCAGCTGAGCTCGAACTTTCTGCACTTTCTGCACTTTCTCGAGCCGATTGGAACTCCTCAGCAGTTGTAGCCATGCTGAAGACCCTGGAAGTATTACGGGCCGCTTCAGAAGCGACCAAGCTTCTGTTTGACATTTCAAACCCAGAATGTGCAATCTCATGAATATCAGTGCCAGTCTGCGGTACAGACGTCCTAAGGAGATTGAACTTATCCTGCATCATTGTAGTTTCTAGGTCAGTTATACTTTCGTCCATAGAAGAACCTGATGAAACGCGGCTAGGCCCCTGGTTTGACGTCAAATTAGGCGAATTGGCCAGTCTGTTGATGCGAATAGTGTTTGTAGTGGGGATTTTGGACGGAGAATGTGGGCGCCGGGAGAAAAACTCTTCGTCTTCTGACGCTGAAGAATGAATTTCGTATTCTAGCAATTCGTGACGCTGAGTATTACCACCTAGCGGTGGTGTTGACTCAAAAGTAATTCTTAAAGGTTCTGTTTGGGATGCACGGTCCGTGGACGGGGCAAAAGCCAAGCTGTCCACATGATTGATCATTTCCTTCAATTTGGGAACATTTGGTGACCCCGGCTTACTCCCCAGTACAAGATCAAGCCTATCATATAAATTTGTGACAGAACTGGATTTCAATTCTTCTGTTGTGAGCAGTAATGAACTTTCTGAGCTCTCTGAACCACTGCTGGCTCTGTCATGTTGGTCCTTGGCATCATCTTCCTGTCCGTTTTCCTGTGAATATGTGGTCTTCTTCCCACTTTCACCTTGCGGGAGTGAGGAATGGTTCCAGGCTACGGTTACTGTCTTTTCGATGTGTCTCTTTAATTCCTCCTCAGCTGCTGACGTTTCTGTTCCCGGGTATTCATGAAGCTCATGCTTGTCACTGAACATCACAGACTTACGATTGCGAGGCTCCAGAAGTGGCCGTTCGGCCAGTCCATTTTGGTCTTCATCTTGAGCACCCAAGCTTAAATTGGTTTGTGTGTTATACTTGACTATTTTCTCCATGGTGTCGTCGCCTATTTCTTGCAATGGGATTTGTCTGCTGGCAGACGCTGGAATCTCCTTTTCGATTTCTGACAGTAATGTGTCAACTGTCGATAACTCTGCGTCTGAGTCCTTGTTACTGATGGTCATAACGGCTCGGGCGATCTGTTATTTGATGATTTGTTAGTTTTGACCCGGGGCTTTCCAAATGAGCTAGTTTGAATCTGACAAGACCCCAGACGGAATGAAAAATAGAGGCTGGAAGGGTAGAATTTAATGAAGACGCTAATGGTGTATTTCAACTGAGATGAAGCTCCTCATGTTGACATCTATCGAGGTGTTGAGCGAGTGTCCATGGGTCGATGAAATAGCTTGTCCCGATTGAGAAAACGGTAAATAGATCGGGCTTCGTACCGAAAAGGGAAATAAGTAGTCCGTTTTGGGAATTCCCTCGAGATGTTTGAGTCACGTGACTATCTCAGGCTTTGAGGGGAATAGCATTTTTTTCAAAGAGCGAAAAACCAAGAAGTGAAATATACAACGGGCTTTCTGTGTTTGCAATCAAGTGTTGTTCGGTGAAGTCCATTCCCTGAGAAGTACGAGACAAAGTAAATCGCTTAGACGCAAAGTTCGTATGTCCTTTTCAGTACTCTCTCTTTCCATCATTACGAGAGTTTGGCCGAGTGGTTAAGGCGTCAGATTTAGGCTTAACTTTCATAATAAGTCAGATTCTCTGATATCTTCGGATGCGCGGGTTCGAATCCCGTAGCTCTCATTGTTTTTTGGATTTTTGCTTGTGGTGTTTTTTACATGTTTATTACATGTAAAGGAATTTTAGAACCTTCCGTGTATTGAGAGCTGCCTAATTACACATGAACTGCGTTCAAGCAACTGAGTTTACGTGTGTTGAAACTCAACTTGAGTTTTCAGCTTCACAAATGTGGCTTTGAATGCCCGCTTTAAACAAGATTCACCAGGCACAGAGAGTACTTTGAACAAGGTTCAAACCGCGGAGTTTATATCCAATGGAACTTGACTTGAATTGCCTGTTTCACATACACACATGCTAATACGTTGCTTCAAAGCTGCCCCTTCTCCTGGGGAATTCCAATGACCAAAGAATTTCAACTCGCATTCGTGTCTTCTACTCATTTCCTCTAGCCAATCCTCTACCCGAAGTTTCGTATACAACGATCAAACTGCGAAAAATCAAGCCACGTCACTTGTCCAAGAGACATTCTGCGAAACTGCTCATAAGTCAAAAAGCCTACTCCGCCGTACAGCCTCATCGAACGTTATGGTCTTGACTCCCATTATTCTAGAAAGACCGCTCGAGAAACTAATAAAACTATAAATACATTTCGGAATGTTAAGCCTCTACCTCAGAAAATACACTGAAAAGGCAGCAACCTACCAATCCCCTATTACCCAGCACACATACACACCCACAAACTGACCCAAATTGTCTTTTATTACTGGAGTTTCAGATACTTTCAAAGCCAAAAGCCTTTCATTTTTGAGGGCTCGTGACCTCATCATCCCGAACGGCGCCATACAATTCACTTCTTAATTTATCTCGAAATATTAAACCGTAGTCATCCGACCTTCAAGAACTACTACCTTTACCACCTTTTGACTTCGCATTCAAAAGCGCCAAAAGCAACAGCGTAGATCAATCCGTTACCATCCATAAATAATGGAGAAGGGTAAGTCGTCGCAGAAACAGGGCTTGATGCAAATTCCAGAAGCCATAGACCCCGGAATAACGCTGCCCTTGTATGAAGAAGAACTCAACGCCAGTGACCCAAATCAGCCTCAGAAACTAGGCTCTTACCGGGTCAGAGCCGGCAAATTCTCCAACACGCTAAGCAATTTGCTGCCCAGCATCAGTGCGAAACTGCATCATTCGCGTAAAGCGTCCGGAACGCAAAAAAACTCACCCGACCAAGCTGTCAGTGGATCGTCGAGCAACAACACGTCAAGGTCACAAGTAAGCCTTTCCGGCCAAATTACGCCTCCGGCTGCGTCCCAACCAATGCCGGAAGACCCGTTTTTTGGCACTACGGTGCTACCCCGGAATTCCGGCGAGTCGTTTTCGTTCACCACCGGTGGTCAAAATCTGAACGCCACAAACTCGACCAACGTGTCACGAACCAGAAACAACACGGTATCTTCGCAGATCACCTCACTATCGGGCATGCCGCAGACCGCGGGCAGTCTGTGGTCCACAAACACTTCGCCAAATGAAGCACATGTAATTTCAGGCATCGCTAACCCACCTTTTGCGTCAGCCAGTCCGCTCAACGATTACTCTTCCAGTGCCTACTTTGATGTGGCCAAAACCGGGGGAACCGGCGCCACTCATCACAACACAAACAATTTAACGGTCCCAGGCATGGTTACAGGTATTGTCCCAAACACGGCAAATGGTAACGCCGGTAACATCTGGAACACTCGACAAAGATCTCATTCTAACGCTTCAAGTATCTACACAGATGCTCCAATTTACGACAACAAAGCTGTAAATCGTTCGAGGGCGTCCACTTTTGGACTGGGGCTGGAGCCGGCCCCGTTACCGGCACATAACACGACAGGTACAAGGCAACTCACGCCTCCTTCACCATTAGTAGCAGATGAGATTGACCCCAGATCCATCAACTGGGTGACAACCGACCCCTCTGTTCCCGCGATAAACCAAATTTCTACACTTCTTCCAACAAACACTGTGTCCATATCCAACGTCTATTCTTTGCAACAACAACAGCCACAAGTAGCCGATGCCGTCAATTTAACTAGTATGAGCTTGGCCACGCTGTGCATGAAGTTCGGTATTGTCTTGTCCGCGAGAACACTCAAAAGAATAAATATGGCGCTCGTTGAGTTCGACACTGTAGAGTCTGCAATGCGCGCAAAAGATGCGTTGCATGGCAAGGAAGTCTCTCTTGTAGGTGCACCAAGTTCTGTTTCGTTCGCTAAGGTCTTACCTATGCATCAGCAAGCGATGTCTTCTTCGCACTCCTTGGCAAGCAATTCGACCACCATGAATGGACCTCAATCGCTGCTGCAAGAACAACTTTACAGTGGAGCTTTGACTTTTCAGCAACAGGGCAATATCTCGATTCCCGTACTAAACGGACCCGCCCACCAACAGCAAGTTCAGCCTGGCGCATCGCAGCCCCACGTCCAATCACAGTCACAACAGCAGCCAAATGCAAACGCAAACCCAAATTCAAATCATCATGGTTCAGCGTCCCATGGTAGTTCCGAAAAGGAGCATTGTCCTTTTCCCTTACCACCACCAAATTTTTCACAACACATTCAAGCCATCGAAGATATTATCAACTCATTTGGCGCAAGTCACGATTCTGCTCAAACGAGACATATCATCAACAATGCACTACTGTGCAATGGAACAAGCGACACAGCGGATTTTGGTCCATTACCGGATCCCTTACCCAACAGAGAGTTTGATGCTCCTAAGCTTCGCGAAATTCGTAAAGCAATCGATTCAAACCTCATGAGCGAGCTAGAAGTGGAGCAGCTAGCCATAGCGATGCTGGACGAATTACCAGAGTTGTGCTCTGACTATTTGGGTAATACAATCGTGCAAAAACTCTTTGATTATTCTTCGTCTGTCATCAAAGACATTATGCTTAGACGAACAAATACGTTTTTGACTTCGATGGGTGTTCACAAGAATGGTACTTGGGCATGCCAAAAGATCATCACTAAAGCTAATACACCAAGACAAAAGATGCTAGTCGCAAGGGGCGTGGAAAAGTACTGTACACCACTTTTCAATGACCAATTTGGAAATTATGTCACTCAATGCGTACTAAAATTTGGGTTTCCTTGGAATAACTTTATTTTCGAACACATTATATCGAATTTTTGGACAATCGCGCAAAATAGATACGGTGCAAGAGCTGTACGGGCTTGTCTGGAGGCCCACGATCTGATTACAAGGGAGCAGCTGCTCGTACTCAGCGGCATGATCGTCTTGTACACCGAATACTTGGCCACAAACAGCAACGGCGCTTTACTTGTTACTTGGTTCTTGGATACATGCACTCTTCCTCACAGACATTCAATTCTTGCTCCACGCCTTGTTGCGAACATGGCAGAGATGTGCTGCCATAAGCTTGCATCTCTGACAGTTCTAAAGGTCCTAAACTTTAGGGGCGACGAGAGAGCCAAACGACTAATAATTGACACCATCTTCGGAAAGAAAGATACTTCGCATCCCTCCCCACTACTGTTTCAAATTCTCTGCGATACAAATTATGGGCCAACATTTCTTTACAAGGTTCTTTCGATGTCTCTACTCGAGGGCGACGTCAGAGTGCATGTCGTGCAACAGGTGCGTCGCGCACTCATGGAGATTAACCCAACTCAGCAGCATCGTCGTTTGATGGAAGAAGTGGGTCTTGGTGGAACCGCTGTTGCATCCACCATAACGCCAGCGGTGTCCGGCTCTTCCAAGCACCGCCCTAGTATCTCTCAAGTCTTCAATAGCGACGGAGCCAGTCACGCGCGCAATGTTTCGGTGGGAAGTAATATGAGCAATGGGTCTCGTCCCCGGGCGCTTTCTAACAGCGGTTTAGCGGCCGTTCCTGCCGGCACTGCTACTGCTTCGGTGTCAGCATCAAACCCGGCTTCTCTGAACCTAAATCCCCAAAAGCCACCTCCATCTGTAGCGACCGCTGGCTACTACAATTACGCCGGTGGAGTTTACCCAAATCCAGGTGTAGATAACAGGGGCATTTACGGGGATGATGTTACCTCGCAATTCGACATGCTGAGTTTGCAAAACGGCACTCAGATTTCTCTCCCACAAATAAGCATGAGCAACAGCAACACAACGAATAAATCCGCTAACAACAACAATAACGGCAATTATCTGCACCCTTCCAACAGCAACACCGGGTCACTATATGGGAACTACGGATATTGATATAAATACACACCATCCGTGAAGTTACGACAACTATTGGAAACGGATATTTACCACATCTACAACATTACAGCAAATCCAGCAAGAAATCAAGAATCAAAGCAGTTTTAACAGAGCATTATTTCGAGCTCCGCTCGATCGATGTGCCGGTATAAGTAATGAATAATGACCTTTTAGTAGCTTTCAAACATTTTCTATCGTTCCAATGAGTTTATTCACTGTTATTTTACTGACGCTGTCATCATCTACTACCCTATAGCGTATGGAGTGATCCGTCAAAAATCGATGAGGCCCACAAAAAATGGAATTGAGATGATACTGATTACACATTTATAACCGAATGTTTCCGACCTTAGTGCTTGTTTTCTGAGCCGAGCTTCAACTCAAAGTCGACAGGACCATTGAAAGTTCATTCGACGGTTCACAATTGTTAGAATTGAAGTTTGAAGCGCTGAAATTGGCTTATTTTTGGCTCATTTTCTGGAGTACGACTGTTTGCGCGGGACCCGAACATAAACGGAGCTATCGACCTGAGTTCGGGGTGCTTAGTTGAGCTAGGACAGGCTAAGAGGTTTGTGATATGAGCAGGGAGCTACCCGCAAGCTGGTTTACTGCCCAAGTTCCTATCAGGAATGGAGTAAGCTCACAGGACCGTGAAAGAATAAATCAGGAACATCGAGAACGAAACTCGCGGATCTCAAGGGTGGCACAGAGCGAAATGGCGTTGCGTAGTATATTTCCTGTCGGTAATGAACAGCAGATTAATGCCAATGGTAATGAAGAAATTAGAGCTACCGATATGAACGGTGAGAATGGCGTGGAATGTGTGGAAGAAACTCAGGATGACATAGAAAACGAAGACGAAAACGACGAAGATGATGACCAGGAAAACAGATCTAGAAGTCCGGTTTTGGAGAACACCAGCGTTCAAGTTTCTCTAAATAACGGCATAAGCACAGACGAAGACGTTGTGATGTCGGAAACCGGAGAATCAGTCAACATGGCTATAATTCAGCGATTCGAAGAGCAGGCTCACGAAAAGCTGAATGAGTGCATACGTATCATTGAGGCCAGGCGAGATGCTCTACTACAATCTTTCGAATCTGACAACGCCATGTTACAACAGATCCAGCAAAATGACAATCGCGAGTCCACAGACCCCGACTTTATTTCCAGCATAAACAGACTACAGCGCATTCGGTTACGAGCAATAGAAATGGAAACCTTACAGCTGCAGCGCGTGAAGGTCTACTTTAAAAATAAGATGTCAGAGTTTAGATCGCTGGTCAGTAACTATCTCCTGGCACAGGCCCGTGGCGAATATGTCGAAAGTCCTCTCAAAGTTTCGAGGAACATGTTCAAAGATCTGAATCCTCAATTGACGTCTGGCATGAAGCTTGCTTTGGCTGGGAAAGACGATAATGGCCATCAGCTCGATATTACGGGACTTCGGGAACGGCTTCTATATCCCTTACATCAGCCTCCCACGAAAAGGAAGTTTCCACTCAAAAGGCTTCCAGCCGAAATCTTGAGTATGGTGCTGGATCGATTATCTCAAAAATCTGAGGTTGTCAAGTTCATGACAGTATGCAAGTTTTGGGCCGAAATCATTGTCAAGGTGCTGTATTATAGGCCGCACATCAATAAAAAGTCTCAGCTCGAACATTTTATGACCACCATGCAAAGACCTGCCTATCAAACTCTTTTCAATTATCGGGCCATGGTGAAGAGACTCAATTTTTCGTTTGTTGGCGATTACATGACAGACGAGCAGCTTATACATTTCGTTGGCTGTCCCAACCTAGAGCGATTAACACTCGTATTTTGCAAACACATAACGAGCTCTTCAATATCGCTCGTGCTTCAAGGGTGCAGATTTTTACAGAGCGTCGACATTACAGGCATTAAAGAGGTCTCTGATAGCATTTTCAACACTTTGGCATACCAATGCCAGCGTGTTCAGGGATTTTATGTGCCGCAGGCAAGGGACGTTTCCTTTTCTGCACTACATACTTTCATCACTCATGCACCATTACTGAAAAGGGTTAAAATTACTGCAAATCTTAATATGAATGACGAACTAGTCACTTTGTTAGCTACGCTTTGCCCACTTTTGGTAGAGGTGGATATCACACTTTCACCAAATGTCCATGATAACAGTTTGGTTACATTGTTTTGTCAACTCACGCAGCTCAGAGAGTTCAGAATTACTCACAATCCCAACATCACTGACAAGTTCCTCAAGCAGCTTAGTCTTCAAGTAGACCACTTACCGGCGTTGAGACTAATAGATCTATGTGATTGCGAAAACATAACTGACAAGACAGTTGAGAGACTTGTATCGTTAGCCCCCAAACTGCGAAATGTATTTTTTGGAAAGTGCAGCAGAATAACGGACAACTCGTTGGTCCACTTGTCACGGCTTGGAAAGAATTTACAGACCATTCATTTTGGGCACTGTTTCAACTTAACAGATAGTGGTGTGCGCATTTTGATTCAGTCATGCCCTAGGATCCAATACGTTGATTTTGCTTGCTGCACGAATTTAACAAATCGTACCTTATATGAGCTGGCCGACCTCACCAAATTGAAGAGGATTGGATTAGTTAAATGTTCTCAAATGACAGATGAGGGCCTTCTAAACATGATGGCACTGAGAGGAAGAAACGATACTCTTGAGAGAGTGCATTTATCCTATTGTTCAAACTTAACCATTTATCCAATCTATGAGCTTCTAATGGCTTGTCCTAAGCTTTCACACCTGTCACTTACGGCAGTTCCCTCCTTTTTGCGGTCTGACATAACGGCATTTTGTCGTGCTGCTCCCTCAGACTTCAGCGACAACCAGAGACAGATTTTCTGCGTTTTTTCGGGAAAAGGTGTTCATAAGCTAAGGCATTACTTAATGAGTCTCACTGCGCCTACCAATGGCCCGCAGACTAATGTTCGAGAAGTTTTAACCAACTTCATTGTTTTGAAGAGTCTTATCAAAGAGGGTGAGGACCTGGAGGCGGGCATGCGTAGAGTGGCAAGTGAGCTGAATCAAGAAACTCCTGCAATTTTGGCGGCAACTCACAGTCTAACTCCCTTAAACGCCATGAACAACAACGATTTTGCATTCCAAAACATCAATTTTGAAAGACTTGAAGATGTCTTTTTCTCACTCCAGCGGGTACCGCAAGATCGCATACTTGATGAACATGACGTGGATCGACTATTTCCGCTCATCGACGAGGAGTTTTGTGAAGATCCTGACGCTGACCAATTTGCGGGAATAGACGGCTGCGTGGCACCAGAAGCATCCGAGGACTTGAACAGTGAACTCGCGCAAATGGTACGAAAGTTTCATGATATACAGGAACGTGTTTGTGATTTTGAAGTAAATGTCGCAAGTATGGTCAGAGTTCAATTTCAGTTCGCGGGCGCACTCTTGAATGAGATGACTCACATATATTTTCAGATGGTAGACCTTAACAGGTGTATTTCACAAATTCAGTCGCGGGTATACGACATGCGTGATGATAGGAACTTGAAAGGCCTGACTATTTGGCGCATAATATGGCAAGAGAAATTTGACCACATGTTGGAAAAGTACGAGTTGACCACTGTGGTGTTGAGGCTGTATCTAAGGGACAATGTAGCAGCGCTGACTCGGCAACGCGAGTTGTTTTTAGCGAGACAGCGAATTCCTACCGAAAACTCGAATGGGGCAGATGTAGTTCGAGACTCGGTGGCTACGGATGCCAATGGTTGGAATGCTGACCGGAGCGACAGAAACAATCCTTGGAGGAGATTTGAAATTCGTAACGAGATGCGCATGGTACAGTTTGGGCTTCAGGCACTCCCCGGTGCTCAAGACGGTTTACCCCCCATTCAGACCTTCTTTCCCACCGATTTAGGTCCGACGGATACTTCACAGGATGAAGATGAATATCTAGAAGACGCATAAGCAAGGGGCTTTTACAAATATAGCACATTTATTCTAAGTTTGACTTACAGCAGTACTCAATGTGCTCTGTTCGCTTGGTCCAGAGCTCCATAATGTTTTGCCAGTCTCAAAAGTGTCTCGTCATTGTCTATGTTCTCTATAAGACGTTTGGCCAATTCAAACTGCTTCTTTAGCTTAGCAACCTTGATTTTGTAGTCTCTTTCAAACTCCTTATTGAGCTCTGACTGTTTCGTATCAACCCATGCAGTGAAGGTCAATTGCTTCTCCCGCAGTGGCATGTGTAGAACAAAGAAGTTCAAGTCTCCATCCACCTCACTTGACAGAGATAAGTCTTTAACGTTTATGTATCGCAGAAGCTGGCGGAAATAGTCCGCCAGAAGAGCCCGTTCCTCGTCCACCTTGTTGAAGGAATTTCGCAATTCTGCAGCAGACGAAGAGACGTTCACAGATCCTGAATCAACCGAAAATTTATCTCGAGTAGGCGTTCCTTGTTGTGAGGATGTGTCCTCTGGAAGTCTGGATGTAAGAGATCCCCTCTTAGAGTTTTCTCTTGTTGTAACAGCCGAGTTTGCTGATAGTGGCCGGGCGCTTTCGTTTCCTATCGTCAGGAGGTTAGGTGCCGGGGTTGGAAACGACATATTGACACGCTCTTCAACGCGTGATGGATACCCCGCGGTTTCTAATACGGGTTCAGACTCATGACTACCGACATTTCCGCCGCTAGGAAAAGATTTGAGATTGTCAATTTTTCCGGCTATCGGCGAGCTGTTGTCTTCATCGATGTTTGATCCTATTCTCGCACTGGAGATCGAATTTCTTTCTGTTTTATCAACTTGAGTGTCAGGTCTCGCTTCGACCACTGGTTTGCCACGCGGTGACAGCGATCGGGCTGGTGAGCCGATGGGGGTTGAAGCTTTCGAAAGAGGAAAACTCTCCGAAGAGTCGTCGCTCATTTCGACATTCATGTCTATGTCGTCTAGAGCGTTATCTTTAGAAGTAGGCTTTGGACATAAAGAGCTCTCTTTGGTATATTCATCGTCGCTGTGCTGCAAGGTCGCGACACCAAAGCTTTTCTCAGCTAGAGGCTGCAGTATGCTCGTTTTCTTTGTTTGAAAAGCGCTCTCTGGAATCACAAATTCACTATTCCCATGAGCGCTAAAGCTAAAAGCGTCAAAACTGTCGTCAATTATCGGATTTCTGGCTTCCGCCTTGCTCTTAGGTGAGGAATTATTGAAATTGAACACTATGCTTTTCGTTGAATTGTCGTCACTGTCAATTTCTTGATCTTCCGTGGAGGTTAGCCGCTGATTTTGACGCAAGCGGATTCTGCGCTTTGGTGAATTATCTATTTCCATTGCAGCAGACGGCTGTTGCACCTGTTGCAGCCCACCTTTAACATCTGGCTCACCTATAAGCGCAGAAACACCGGTGGTAGGCAAATTCAAGGGTGGGAGTGAATTGACGTCACCTGCAGATGAGGTGTTGGCCAAAACTGTTCCATCAGACGCAAGTAACTTCAAGCTACCAGTAGAAGGAGGTGACATGCTCGTTGGCACATGATCTCCCATACCCGAAGAAGTGGTTTCTTTACGGGGCCTGCCTCTAGGACGCTTCTGCTTCATTTCCGTCGATACACTGTTAGCAGCTTTACGTGGCCTTCCCCTCTTGCGCTTCACCATCGGTGTTCCGTCAAAATCTAAAGAAGTCGTGCCCTCCTCGAGGGCTAATTGTTCAGCCGGTTTCTCTTTTCGAGGGCGCCCTCTTTTTTTTACTTCCCTAGTTACTGTCTCTCCACTTCCACGAGACCGCGGTCTACCACGTTTATGCTCTGATTCATCAGCAGTTGCTTCTTGCTCATACTTGAGTAATTGAGATCCAAAAGTCTCGTAGTAGTCCAAAGATGGCATCAATTTATCATTGCTACCGTAACCTTCTTCATCGTACCGCCTCTTCATTTGCACCACCGCCGCTCTATTCGACATGGTCTCAAAAAAAAGGCATTGACCACCATTGGAGCAAACAAAATGTTCCCAAAGAGGATCGTCGTCTGCTTCCCAAGAACCTATAATTTTACTGCAATATATGCAATACGTGGCATCTGGGTGTTCTTCTTGAAGTTCCGGCGACGACAGCCCCAAATCGTAGCGATAAAGACCCGCTTCAGCCATTGCTGCCGAAGAAATCGGTGGCTCACTTTCATGTATCCATCCTTCTTTGAACGTCCACTGTCGCAGCCGCATGATTTCCGCACTGTGGGGCATTCCCAATGTTTGTTGCTCAGACCAATCGATGACCTCATTCTTCCAAAAAGATCGTATCAGCACAAACTTTAGCCTGGTATACAAACAGGAATCCTGAGTTCTCAACAAATGATTTTCAAGTACTTTGGTCAGCGTCGCGGTCAATGGTTTGCTTCTACAATCGTGAAAGTCATAGCTATCTGTCCCACAAAAAGAGCATCTCACGCAGTCTCTAACCAGTGCTTTTCCTTTGAATTTAGGAGTGAACTCAAATCCCATTTGAGCCATAGCTTTCGTTGGGATCACTCGATATGGCCATGAGCATCTTTTTCCTTGGATATGATACGTCTGAAGATACGATCCATATCTTTCCTGGTATGGATGGAATTCTAAAAACATGCTGAACAAGCTACTAGTCTTGAAATCTTGCAATGGCCATCGATGCTGCCAATGAATAAGGTTGTTTTTTTGGATCTTCTCAAGTTCGTCAAAACTTAGATATTGTTATTAAGTATTTATTACATCAAAGTTCATCCAGAGTTGAAGAGTCGCTTTTGGCTGATCAAGAAAGCTGAACTTCTCTCTAGTTCGACAAGAATTAGAAAAGCAGATCAACAGTTTTAATTAGAGTTTTGGTGTCTTGTCTTCGAAGTTTTCGTCCTCGTAGGACCTGTTTTCATTGCGCAAAAATTCGATGTATTTATGCTGGTAGCAATGGTATAATTGACGACAGCAAGAGAAACTTGGCTGTAAAAGAAGACCTTTGACTAGAAATTGTTTTCCACTCTCGAGGACCTCTAATGGACCGCCTATCTATCGTCATCTTGGATTCTTTTCGCTGGTTTTTCCAACACTTCGACGATTGATCGAGGTGCGTCGAGTGCTGGTTGACGATAGCAGCTTGTGAGAAATGAGTAGAAAACTATGAACATATCTAAGGCAAAAAGTGCATCCATAAAAGCCAGGCTGGTGTTGTTTTGGAAAGCAATGTCAGTGAGACGACAGTTTTTTAGGTTTTCGATGACATATTAGTACACAATGATACCGGAGTTTCGTTGGCTAACTGAAGCCTTTCGAAAACTCGACAATAACATTGCCGCTCCGATTCCGGTCAATTCCAGTGAGCTCCGACACTCTCTCCATAAGGACGCGAATACTCACTATATACAGACTGTTTGCGAAATCAAGAGCTTTGCGAAGTTGCACAGATTGTATATATACAGTTAAATTCTTCTGACTCGTTTGCAATATGGAGGTTATTGAAGTCCCGATAATCCTAAATTGTTTTCTGAGCACTGCTGAGAATTTTACTCCGAGTCTTCTTCGTCGTCGTCGTCGGATTCAGCGGTCTGCAACCAAGTGATGAATGGCTTTGCGGCTCTACGAACCTTCTTGGAGACTTCCTTTGGCACGAATTTCTTGGAACATTTGGTACCAAACTTGACGATAACTTCCTCGGAAATGATATCGTTGTTGTAAAGTTGCACCAAGATCTTGGGTAGTGCTGGTATCAGAGACTTGTGTTCCAGACCGAGAAATCTTTCAATACCACCCAAGAACTGGTTTTCGAATTCCTCTGTCACGAAAAGCTTCTTGAAGAAAGCAGAGTGTTCAGAAACCTCCTCTACAATATCTTCATCGAAGAGGGCCTGGGCAAGGACACACGCAACTTTTGGTTCTTGCAGCAGGTCCAACTCAGAAGCTTTCTTATACAGATCAACATCAGAAGGTATCTCATCTTGTTGCAGGATCCATTCTCCAAATTGCTCTAGGGTTGAGTGCTCTATGTCTTCACCTTCAGCTGCACGCAACTCCTTTGCACGAGCTCTGATGGCCTCTTCAGACATGTCAACGGCCCACTCGTCGTCGTCCACATCAATTTCTTCCAAACGAGAAGCAGCAGCGTTGATTTGACGAGCTAGCTCATCGTCGTCCGAGTCGCCACCATGGTCTTCTTCTGTTTTTTCAGCACTTTGAGCTGAAAACTGAGACTTACCTTGAGCAATGTCACTGATAGAAACACCACCACCACGAATATTGGCGGATGCAGTTGCAGCCTTTTTCTTGTTCTTCCCCTCCATGGACTCAGGTGGGTTCTTCAGAATGAATGATGACAATTTGTGTCTAAGGTCCATTGGAGTTCTTTTACCGCATGCTTTACAGTTTCTGATCAAATCCCCGTTTTTGGTAATCACAATCTCGGTTTCAGGGTTTTTACAGCTTCCACACAAAACAAAACTGCTGATAAACTTGTCCAAGACGTCTTGTAGCTTTGCAGGTTCGTGAGAACCGTTCACCAAATATCTATCTTTATCGACAGAAATACTGGTCTGGGCACCCAATTCAAAACCGAAGTACTTGACGATGTATGGCGAGGGCCTGTTTAAAGCACGAGCAACGTCTGCAACGTTCAAAACTGCCGTTTTGATACCGTTACCTCTACCTTCTACTTTGGCCTGTAGAGGAGGCATTTTGTAACGGTAAAAAGGATCATTATTGTCTCTGCAGATGTTGATGGACATATTGAGAAGGTCACTGGAGAGTCAGAACGTTACACTGTTCTAAACAAGTGGTGTTTGAGTAGCGATTCTCTAGATGTAAGGCCAGTTATTTTGAAAATTTTATGCGATGAGGTGTGTAGTACAGAGTGATATTAACGAGTACGATACTAGAAAGCCAACATGGAAGAAGATGCTAAGCCTGCTGACACCATTAGAACATGGTTGAACTAAACATAAAGTTTCAGTGAGCTACTTGTATAGTTTATTCTCGTTTTTTTATCAATTTGGTACGTCTTCAGTCCTGAACCGGCTCTCCTCCTGCATATGGAATTTGTCATTTTGGAAGTGACCAAGAGAGAACAACGTTCGTATGTAATATGTAAGCAGGTTTTGACAATCATGTCATAGGAACTTTTGGATTCTTTTGACAGAAAGTTTAGGTCTAGATGTGTCTGGAATTTTTATGAATTTAACGGTGGGTGTTAGAATTGAACGACATCGGTTGAGAAGGACACGGTAGTTTACCAGTCGCTGTTCTACTTATCCGAGCTTTTCCTAATGCTTTTTTCGATGACCTCAACATGTACAATGACCGTCAGTCTTGTATGGTCTAGTTTGTCAGTTTAATTAATCTGTCATCGATGTCAGTGAATGGCAAGACGGTTTTTGAACCATCGATGCACACGCAATTTTCGAACTGTCAAAAGCCCAAAATGTAACCCCAACTGGTTGATCTAATACCCTGAAGACTGTACTTTCACCTTGGTGAGAACCGCTCATCATAGAATGAATGTCTTCCACCTCAAGACGTCGTTCGAGAATTCGGCTGGCAACCAGGAAGCATCAGCAAGTACATAAAATAAGAGCGATCTAAGATGTACTAACCTCTGAAATACTGCTCGAAGACGTAAACGTACCTTTTATAGATTTTCTCTACACGACTACCAGATTGTCCGTTTATCATCTTATACCCTTCTGTCGTCGTCAACACAAGAGATCCTCAATTTTTCAACCAGGCATCCCACATTGATAAAACACCATCTCAACGGCGCAGAATGCTTATTTCCTGCTACTGACAATCAGCTATTCAAGTTTACATTTTATATCACTCCAACGACTGGCTTCTCGTGTTCTGTCACCAAAGTACGTTCAACGACACATTATGTGAAGCTACCTCGGGTTCCAATTTGAACATAGCCTTTTTGTAAAGCTGAATACTCGAATCAGTGCTTTAAAGTGCTACTGCTTTACTCTTTTAAACTGTGAGCCTTTTCGTGACGTTCTAATTCAGCTTCGTAAGGTCAGTAAGAACGAATTTAAGAATCAATATTCCAAGCACCATCAGAACCCGTTACAACTTATCTTTCGAAGGGATCCAACTATCGCGATAGACCATGGATATCATCAAACAGCGTTATTTAGCCATTCAATCTACCCGGCATTATACCCAGATTTCTGCTGAGGAAATTGTTACGCTATGGACTCAGTTAAAAGCCTTCCTTGGAGCAGGTAACTGCCCCATGAGTGAGATCGAATTATTGTCACTTACGCACATGCTGTTCGATCTTTCAATCTACGTGGACAAAGATGTTGAGGCTGAGACGATATATAAGACGTTCAAGGACCGTTTTGGGCCAAATTCACCTTACCTTTTCGTCATGAGAGCTACTATAATGCAGGTCAATGAAGGTGATCAGAGGGCTGAGGATTATTTGAAAAGGCTTCTAGACGAATATCTGGTCGACGATACGGATATAGTCGGCTATCCTTTGATCAATAAAAAACTACTAGCAGTGCAGCGTAAATCACTGTCCACTGAACAGTATATCTCGAGGCTTCTAGACCTGGTGGAAAAGTTTCCCGTCGATAGTGAAGCTTGGTACGCTCTTGCACAAGGCTACATTCAATTGGGCCAGCTGAAACAAGCCGCATACTGTTTGGAAGAGATACTTTGCATTTCTCCGTTCAATTACGTCGTCTTTGCGGACCTTAGCGAGATATTGTATTACAGCTCAGGAAAAGATAACAAAAACAAGAAGAATCTTCTGCAACAGTCTCTCAACAATGCCCTCAGAAGTGTAGAGCTATCAGAACTTTATGTGAAGGGATGGGCTTTTGCAGCGATGGCGTCCAAACTCTTAGACAATTCCAAAATACTGCATCTATCGAACAAGAAACTGAAAGAGATCACAGAGAAGGGTAACGCAACCGATGTGGCCACCGCAAAGAAGATTCTTGAACATATATAGCACTCATTTGCGCAAGGATGTTTTCCAGTCAGTAAAGCCAAAAAAAAAAAAACACAAGAACCAAAACCTACTCAAGTAATTCAAATGTACTTAATCTCCCTGTTATAGTTGTAAAACTTCGCATTCTCGCTTTACTAGCGATAATTGTTGAACGACCCAATTACTGTCCCTCAAAATCGCTTTTGGATCCCGCGATTGACCAGCTTTTTGTTTGTTAAGAACGGTTTTGTAGTCGCCCTCATGTTCCTTATGTTCTATCACCACTTTGTTTTCGTCAAATTCAACGTACACCCGCGTGTCGTAGACTCGAAACAAAACACCATCTACTCTGAGGAAAAACCTGCTTAGAATAAGTGCTCGTTCGCTCATGACACGCACTTTCACGCTTACCACGCTTATACCATTATCTGCCAGCTCGTCTTCGAACAGAATCATTTCGTCATAAAACAAGATGGGATCGGGCCGTGTTAGCTTCTCGAGTGGTAAAACCTCAGAATCATCCTCAGAAGGCGTATGATGTGTGTTTTGAGCATTTACAGTCCCTTTGTAAGATGTAGTGTAGGTCCAGTCGTAATGTTGCCCTATTTGCAAAGACGAATCGTCTAAATCCGAGGTTCTTTGCTGTTTCTTCTTAGAGTCGATCCACTTGTTTGCATACGAAACGCGGATCCCAGAATCTTCGAGCTTGACGGCTTTCAGTGCATCAAGAGCATTGAATTCTAAACTCCAGTTGTGTTTTGCATTTTCGATCCTTACAAAACTGTTTCCAAAGATCATTTCTGGAAGTGCAAGTGGGCCTAGAATCTGTTCCCACTGTTCCAGTTCCTGTGAGTTGAGTATTGGTTTTTTGCGTGTAGTGATTACCCAGTCTTCCACGGATATCGATGGTGTGTCTTCTGCTGGTAGAGATGCAACGGGTGCTGGAATTATCACCGCTGCGCAATGTGCACAGCTGGGATTCTTGGGGTTCATACATTTATGACGCGGTTTGGCCATTACTGTTGACTCTACGGTTCTATGGGTATCCCAAACAGCCGATGCATTGGCATTGGCATTGGCATTGGCGTTTGGATTGGGCTGTGAACTATTGCGTGGGTTTCTGGCCCTTACCGTTTGAGCAAACGCCTCTCGCGCCTGGTTGATCTGAACCACATTTATACCAGGCCCTGTTGATCTCTTGGAGTCCATGACAGAATGGTATCCGCGAATACTTGGAGTTGGAGAGCCGGTGTAACTGACTATCTCTGGATAATAACCTTGGATAGAAGAGTAGTTGAAAGGTTATTTGAGAAGAGGTCATTTTAAACTAGATCACCTGACCGTAATTTCAAAAACACAATATTCGTATATAATTATCTCTGCGATTTATCACGTGATCTTTATTCTATTACATAAGCCAACTGGGCCCATTTTAACGATCTACCACGGTGATTTGTAGTCATCGAGGTGAAATATAAAGATGTCAGTTTAAAACTAAGAAACGAGACCCTCTACCCTTCAGCATTCTTTTTGTACCAGTCGTCGCAGTTGTTTTGAACCATCCCACCTCATGATTTATCGACAACGTCTGATAAGCGTGCTCGCTGCGATATCAATCATTGGACTCTGGGTATTTTTCTCCTCCCAGAATCTTTCTTACACTACCTACAATGACATTGGCGAGACAGCCAAAACTGATGATGCGAGTAACAAGAGAGCAGCACCTTTAAAGGACACTACGTCAAGACTGCAATCGTCGATTATGCCGTCGATGCCCGACCAGAAAGCGAAGGAAGCACTCGGAAGAGCATCGTGGAAGTACTTTCACACGGTTCTAGCACGGTTCCCGGACGAGCCAACACCAGCAGAACGGGAAAAGCTGGATCAGTTTTTGAGACTCTACGCAGAGCTATATCCGTGTGGCGAATGCTCTGAGCATTTTGTCAAAATGCTGGCGAAATGGCCACCACAGACGTCCAGTAGGAAGGCAGCAGCACTTTGGGGCTGTCACATCCACAACCGTGTTAACGAGCATCTTGGGAAAGACGAATATGACTGCTCTGACGTTTTGGAAGGCTACGATTGCGGCTGTGGGGGCGAAGACGGCAAGATCAGGCCTGATCTGAAACTCAACAAGGTTTCTTTGCAGAAAGAGGCGAAACAAGGTGGTTGATGACTGTTGCTAGCGATGAGGTAACGACCAGAAGGGAAATGAAACGAACAAGAATCAACTATAAAAAACGACGGTGTTATCAACATAGAGAAAACTAATAGGAGCAATTGCAAATGTGGGATGCGATTTACTGCTACATCAGCGTACAGCAGGTATTATCAGCAGAGCCTGCTTCGCGATGCGCACGTCTATGTAAACCAGAAGCGTTGGTTCGGTGAGGGTTTGAGCCTGCCATTGGGTACCCCCAAACTTCCGGTATTGCGTAGTCTTTGTGGGACGTAGCATAATCTATAATTGACAGGCATGCATTGGAAGCGGTGATTCTTTCTCTTGCCAGCTCTTCCTTCAGCTTGCGGTTGAGCTCATTGATTCGCTTCAATTTCAGGCTTTGAATTTTCAGCTGAACGTCGTTGTCTTCCATGTGATGGTGAAGAGGCTGAAGAAGATGCTGATGATTATGATCGTGATGGCAAGTTTATCTGGAGAAATCGAAGAGCCGGACTGGCTTGCGCTCTATACGATGTGTTAGAAAGCCTATATTTCACGCTATGTTGTAGTGTCAAGAGTTGCCAATGCAGTGGTACTTCGGGTTAGTTATGGTCATCTTGTTGCCTGGTCATCGATATAACACTGCCTACGAATTTTAAGGTAAGAACAGGAGACCATTGTTTGACTGAAACCTCAAAACTCTCAAGTCTTTATGTAATCCACCACAAGAGTTACAATTAGGTTGCAGGGAAGACACGAGGGCCTATTTTGCTTCTTCTAATCGTAGGTGTAGCCGGGATAATTCATTATCAATGTATGTTGTCTTTGAGTGATGTGGGTGTTTCGAAGTGAGACCGGTGGTGTAGACACGGCTGAGTCGAGATAACAACCCGGAATATTGAGGTGTTTTTGAGAGGACTATTCAGACCTATCGTTTCCTGACGTTCTACGAAAAGCTTGTGGTTAGTTTCTCACTCGGAGTTTTTGTCCAGCGAACGCTGATGACAGAAGCGTCTGAAACGAGGAAGACAAGTTGATTTCAGAGTGAGGCTAGACAGAATCAAAAACTGAACAAACTGATTGAGATGGGGGTATGCATGAATTATAAGAGGAATCAAGAAATCTTCTAAACCGATAGTGGCAAAATGTTTCACACAACCTTCATCTTTTTACAGGTCTTGTTCATATTCTGTTGATAGTTGTAGTGGGTGTATAGCCAGCACCCTCTCTGTACCAGGAGCGTTCGTTTAAAATGATCACCAAACTAAAGCGTACGTAAAATGACAGATTTTTGAGTTAAACTGAGAGTCTGGCAACGAATTGGTCTGGTTGATCGTTTTGCTGACAATGTCTTGTTTCCATTCCAATAGATAGCTTCCACATACAGCCCTAAAAGATTGAGAAAGGCATATCACGTGACGACGATATCCAGTGTATACGTACCGGACTTCTCTCATCGTGCACAGCACTCTCCTTAGATGTCATTTGACTATCGTTATGTCCGACACCTATTTCCGTTATGTAAAAAGTGTAATGCCGCTTACTAACAAATATCTACCATTATTGGAATAGACTGCCTCGAATTCCATCACCTTTCTTGATCTCTTCATTTCATTACCACGATTCTGCTTCGTGAATTCCTTCAACTCAAAACTAATATCCGTCTTGTCCGCGTTTCATCATTACGAACGACGGATATATGATCGTCTCTCTTTCTCTGTCTCTGTCCCTCCAGTACCGATCCCAGATTTCAAACTCTCTTCTCTCCAGAACCTACTCTGGTTCACCACATTTCGACACCACGACTCATCACAATCACAATGGAACACCCAGCATATACACTAGCTGCTTTGACCGCTTTTGGCGGTGCTATGGGGTTTGCCCGTAAGGGTTCCAAGCCTTCATTGTTAGCAGGACTGGCGTTTGGGGGAATCTACGGATACGCCGGATACCTACTAAGCAAGAACGCAGACGGCGGGTTGGAAATTGCGCTTGGTGCCAGCACACTGATGTTGGTGACAGGTGTTGCCAGAGGCATTCCATCTCGGTTCAGAAAGCCCGTTCCATTGGTTCTGACCGTTTTGGGTGGTTTGGGCACTGCGTACTACACCAAGAAGTACAAAGAGTTCTACTGAAAAATCAATCAATGACCGAAGAAAGTAGTAGTTAAAGAAAAGAATTAAACATCAAATATGGTAGTTTTTGCCTATACTTATTTGTAGTATTATGTACATACACGGGGTCTTTTCGCCCTATGCTTCCTAAGTGTTAATATCCAAGTGTGAACACCGCCTGCGATGAGAAGAAGTGAAGAGAGCGGGAGCTTTCTAGTTCTTTCTGGCAGCCTCCAGGCTGGCAGCACTGTTCTTTCTGCTGGCAGCTGGGGAAACTGGTGAAACGGATGGAATAACGAATGGAGCTGAGATTTCAGAGGTCAATACTAGAAAAGCCATTTTTTGAATGTTTGTGTGTGGGGTGTGTTGGGGTGTGTTTGTGAGTGTTTGTTGGTCTTTGGAAGACTGTATTTGTTGATGATCTTATAACAAGAGAGAACTGAATCTACCTTCAAATTCTTTCCCTCTCACAGCCATTGTTCATTTGCTTTTATAGCTTTACTTTACTGTGGATCGCTAGTTTACCAGCGATCGTGACCAAGCCTAAGCACTATTCCGCCTCCCAAAGCCATACGAAACTAAGAAACTGGGGTCATGCCGTCGTGACCCATATTCACCCAGGTCTAGCAATGGAAATCAATGGACGTTAACATTAATCATACACTGTGGGACCCATACGCATGCCATGACCAAACAATAGACCCATGATAAGCCTCCCGGTTCCCTTGGAAATCACAGGTTCCGCCATACATTCGTGATCACACAGAATATTGGTGACTACCGACAATGAAGTCACCATTAATCATCGTAATCACTGTTCATCGTGTCCAGCTTCTTCGAGGACAACTAGTGCGACTGAGTCATATGCATGATGATTGTTAGTCTTGGAACGGATATAGGTGGAAAAAAAAAGGATTTTAGAACGAGACACTCGAGTCCCGCGCGCTGTTTAATGTGCGCGGTGGAAAAGTACTCATCAGAGGTACTCACGGAAGATACTCGAGTAAATCACTCACGACGATTAATCAATATTTCACAGACTCACAGTCACCTAGAACGAGCTTGGGAAATGCATTGGTCTTGCTGAGAACAAGTGCACGATTGGAATGCGACAAATAACCTTTGATGTAGCCCTTGGCAATCAGGTTTGCCAGGCTACATTCGGTGCGGTCTAGGAAAGTGGGATCGTCAGACGTCACATCGGACGTGTTGTCGTTCCGGGGACCACGATGGGTATCACTGTACACGAGTGCAGCGGCCATCAAGTGTAACGGGACAATTGGACCCGCTCCCGTCAGCTCCACGGTTCGTTTCACTAGTTTTAGCACAACCAGCTCTCGCATCGCGACCATGGCCACATACAAATTGCGTTGCAGCAGCGTGGGCTCGTTTGCAGTAAGCCATGTCTCGTATTTCAGCAGATCGCCGTTCCGCAAGCATTCCACCACGGGACGGTAAAACTCCGCAACGGCAGGCCTGATCAAATCTAGCGCTGCAAGGTCTGGGTACCATCTGCGCGCCAGCACCGCAAATGGTATCAACAACCCACAAATGGCATTTTCTTGCGGTCCAGGGTGCGTTTTCCTGGACGCCAGCCACGCTTTTTGCGCAAATACAAACCCACGCTCGTAGTCCATTTCGTAGCACCCGTAGTACCGGGCCATATAGTGGTGGTATGTGACCAGCTGAGCCTTGTGCGCCCACAATGCCTGCTCAGGCGTGGGCAGCTCTGTAGTCCGGCTCTCGATCACTTTCACCAAGTTTCTGATCATGTCAGCGTTGTGCAGCTGTTGGTAAATGGCCAGCTCCAGGTTTGTAAAGAAATAAACACCCCATTTTTTGTTTTCCTGCGCATTAGGGTTGCGGTCGTTAAGACACAACTTGAAGCTTGTGTGGATTGCCCTAACGCATTTCTCCAGAAACTTCTCGTCCTCCAGATCCCCCTTGGATCTTTGTTTTGCCCGCTGCTTGCCATGTGCACCTTTAAAAGATGACTGTTGTTTGTCAAGGTACCTGCTTATCTTTAGCAGTTGTCTGGCGCTAATCCACAGCGGTCCTGTAATCCAAGCCGCTTCTCCATCTGAAAGTCTGTTTAAGACTTTTAGCTGTTCGTTACACAGCTCAAATAGACGCGGGCTAAAGTTCCCGGATGTACAATGACTGGCGTATTCCGCTTTCAAATCTAAAGTGCATTTTACCAGCTGAACCAGTTTATCGTCCGCGATAGATTTCAGTTGTAAATTTCCACCTAAAGGCGCTGAATCAAACCGCAGGAACTCGGCCAAATAAAAATCAAAATAGCCGTTTTGAAAACATCTTAAAACTGCATCCATTGAGGTATATCGGTTAGCTATTCAAGGCCAAGTTTGTTCATCTTGAACTCTTCGCTTGTTGATCTGGTAATTGGACCATAAATTTACCTTTAATATGAGATGCCCGATGGCCGTGTATCGTGACTTGGTGGAGTATCGCGCGACTGTGTCGTCGCATTCAAAACCGTTCAGACAACGGAAAAATAGGAAAGTTAAAAACTTAATACCTGTGGTAAATACGTCAGCCTCACCAGTTTAACCAAATGTGACCCTACCGTAAATTATGGCCTTTTGTATAATTTTATTGCCCCAAAAAACTATTACTAAAAATGTAACGCTCGAAAAGGGTGCACATCCACATCCCAGTCTCTATTGGAATGTTGCGAAGTTTACCAACCGAATCTTTTATCTTTATATGCTTACGTCCTAGTGATTTAACTAACATTTACATTATCATCACGTGACTCCGCGCCAGCTAGTTTGTTTGTTTACTTCTCCAGTTTATTAATTGATCTGAATTTCCAAGATCTCAGAGTAAGAGCCAGTAAAGAAAGTTGAACAGGAAGACTCATCGCGAGAGTTTTAGAAAGGGTTAGCGTTGTTTTGAGTCTAGAAACTGGTTAGCATAATTCAATTTTATGTATACTTGTATAGTTTCCATTTTTTTTCCTGAAGTTCGTTTGATGTAATAATGTCGAAACAACGAGTCATAAGCGAATCGACAGGCTTATACAGGCTGTCCATCGTGAATAAGCAAAAAGATCTGGACGCCGACTCAGAAAATGAGCACACTGCCAGGCCTGCACCGGAAACTCCCAGAAAGGGACTTTCTATCTCATCTCCAGTAAAATCACCTGCGAAATGTGCTTCTCCGGTTCACGAGAACCCTTCAAGAGGCACAGCGTCATTTGAGAATTCCCGTGAAAAACTGTTTTTCGAACTGGCATCAAAAAGAAGACACGTTATCGAACTGAAACAGCAATTGATGAGAGCTGAGCAAGAGTTGGAATCGTTGGAGCTACAATGCAGAGACATAGGTGAACCAGAACGGGCCACAGGCTCACAAGATAAATTTCACAAGCTTACATCGCGATTACAACAGACTTTGGATGAAGTGAATAGCAGTTCTAGGGTTATCAAAAGCAAGCAGAGTATCGGAAACTTTTTCCAATCTCGAAAATTGGGCAATGAACGCGAGTTACCGCCCATCATACAAGAAAAGATCAACCAATCGCCCTTCGTAAACAAGTCTCGAGATATGCGAAAGTCAGAAACTCCTCCTGCATTTTTCGATAAACTTATCAACAAATGGCAAAACTTTGCAGTGAACGAACAAGATGAGGACACATTCGATAAAGAGCGACCCACCGACAAGTTTTATATCAAGACTAAGCTAGATTACGACGACGATGAAGAGATTACTTCTGAATCTGATGATGCTTCTAATTTGAGTAATTTAGGTGAGGATCCGGTAGTATCAACGTATAAAAGAGACCGACAAGTAAATGATTTCATAAAGTAACTCAATTCAGAAAGATTTATCATAGCTTCAATTATTTATATTTTTTGTTACGTTTGCACGGATCGTTTCTATTCAATGCTTGCCGCACAGCTCATTTGCTGAAAGTATGGGCAACAAAGGCCTGAGTAGCTTTTAAGGCTTCATATTTGACCTTCGAGTCGGGGTGGTTTAGCAGCTCCATGATCAACACTTTGCCGTTCAACTTAGACAAGACCTCCACACTTTCCGGTAACAACTCTACAACGTGGGTAATATCGCTCAAAGCTACTTGCAAGGCGATCTTAGTCGATGGTTCATTATTTGGAACGGTCAAAATGGCTACGAGTTTCTTGAACAATTTCCAATTATCGTCCTTGAACTTGTCGATGTTTTCAGACCAGAAGCCATTGTCAACATGAGGTGGAGACCACACCAGTAACTTGGAGTTGACTTCTGCTTCGTACTCATCAAAAGAGGTCAATTCTTGATAAGTCTTCTCCAACAATTCCTTCAAAGTAGACAAATCTTGGCGTAATTCATCGTCCGAATATTTCCTTTCGCTGAGAGACTGTAGGATTGGTAAAGCGTTTCCCAACAATAAAAGCTGACGAATTGTCGCCTTGTGGCCCTTGACATGGGGAGCCACACAGTTGAGAACAATGGCAATACTTAGTCTCGAAAGTTTTTCCTTGATCGTGATTTTGACGAGTTTCAACAAGTTGAGAAAATCGCTGAGATATTTAGAGGCAAATTCCGAAGAGATCTGATGATCAAAAGTGAGTAGCCAAAGTGTCAATAAGGAATAGTATTGGACCTGGATGCTCAAATTATTACTGTTAGTGGGAGCCACTCTCGTAGATGAGTTGTTGTCGAGAGCGTTATGAATAACGCCGAGAAGGGTGGGCATGAAGGAGCTCTGTGCAGACCAAACGATGCTCCTGTATTCTTGGAGCGCTGATAATTCCTGCAATAGTCTGATGCACACGTAGCTTGTGTCCATATGGTCTGTATTCTGAAGTACAGCGACGAAACGCTCGTTTCCGAGCAATGACGCCACCAAATCTGGATTGTGGAAACCGGGTTGAATCAACAAGGACACCACATTGAAGCTCGAAAGCAGAATGGACTGGTCATCACCAGAAACGGACGCTTCGAAAAGGTCCACCAAGGCCCGAGGATTGTTTGTGAAATAGTCAAAAGTCGCATCCGCATACTCTTCAGAAGATAGAAGCTCGGCAAGCAAGTTGTACACGAATTTTTTCACTTCTGCATTTTGAACCGTCTGTATGATATGGATAGCAGCTGGTATGCTTTCTGCAGGCGTGATAGCGATTTTGGAATGCTTGATCAAAGCGCTTTCGAGTTTCTTGGCAGAGGTAGCATCTGCTTCGCTAATCTCTGCGGTTCTAGCCAATGCATCCCATGCGATAGACCGGGACCTCACAGTGCTGCGAATGTCACTGAAATGTGTGCTATCCAGTAGCAACTTAGCATGTTTGGAAACCGTCATGAACTCTCAAAATGTTTTCAATGGCTCGAGAAATGTCTCAAACGTTAGGATTCTGATGAGTTCAAACAACCTAACTTACCCTTTGAGTGCTTAACTTTGGATTTTTGGCCAAGGTACAATGAACATCTGAATATCGTATCGCTTAAATAAAGAATCTCCCTTACTATTGGAAAAATTAGACCGAGATAAGAGAGGGTAACACCTAGCGAAATATTGATGGAATCACGAGTATAAAATGACGAGGTGTCGGGAAGTGAAGGTGGAACAAATGCGCTGAGTTTAGGGTGTGCAACGTGTAGGGGTAGCGGTCCTGCTAAAATGGGTGTTGGAGATTTTCGTGGGGCCGGGTCTATAGTAAAGTTCGAGACGTTGTGTCGTTTTGTACGAAATGTATTTTGATAGTAAGTCAGTACTAATAGCCTCCGGATACATCACCAGAGTGACTGAAGAGAGTGAAAAATGTGTAGTAAGAGCCAGCATTTTTTTCGGGCTCAGGAAACGGCTTCAAGTAGGGTGTTTTTTCAGCTGAGACAGTGTAGTACAGAGTGATCTGGGCTTCTAATCTTGCATTCGAACAGATCTTGTGAAAAAAGTTGGATATGCATTCCCACTAATTGTTGGTCTCTTTTAAATCATCATTTGGCTGAGTCCAACGACGGCGTTCCCAAAATGACCTTACTCTTCACTACTTGATGCGTCACTGGGTACCCAATTTATTGAAATCAGCGTGGCACGTGACCCTTGAACTTTATCAAGACAGGTCTCAGCGATGTTGCTTAGAACGTGATAAATCGTTTTACCAATGCTTCAAGATCCATAGTTTACGAATTGAATCTAGGATACTCCATCATATGCAATCCTTGTTGTCTTCTTGCCGAAGCACCCTTCCAAAGAAGTGAAATCCTCCAATTACACCCCGTTCGCATTCATAAACCATCTTAGGCCAAATTTGGCCTCCAGGGGAACCTTTTAGTGAACTAAACCATTCGATTGTACAAGACGCAAACTGATCACTTTTCACCATAGCGTCGTCCAGATTTCTAATCATGCCGTACGTTTCGATTCTATCTTCCCGCGACATCCTTCACATTGCCTGGTTAAAGAATCCATACCTCGATTTGGTGATGTAAGACTGTGCCGATGACACGCATTAGTCAAAAACTAGCCGCGAGTCGATTACTGTGACTGTCAAAGTCGTTTGATATCTGTCGAAGTCCCCCCACACCTTTTGTACCCTCAAGTCTACATCATGTCTATAATATTTCGTATTCATATCTATACCTGGCGTTCCTGGACACCACGGCACGGATAGTTGTTTATTTATTGTCTTTTAAATAAAAGCGATCGCCAGGATCCTATTGTACAGTTGCGGAGTAAATACTCCGATTTGATGGACTCACAGAGCTGAGGTGAGAATTTAAGAACTTTCTCTTTCATACTCCTTGGTCATGTCAGCGTTGTCGATAGCACCGCAAACGGTTTCACTAATGATACCGGTGACCAAGTAAGGGTCGATGTTAGAAGCAGGTCTTCTGTCTTCAAAGTAACCATAACCTTCCTTAGCCACAGATCTGGGGATTCTGATTGAGGCACCACGGTTGGCAACACCAGAAGAGAAGCTGGTCACCGAGGCGGTTTCGTGACGGCCGGTTAGACGCATGTCGTTGTCGGCACCATAAAGCTTGATGTGCTCAATGTGTCTTTTGCTGAGCTTTTCGATAGCATCCTCGATGTGCTTCATACCACCTGGAACACGCATTTCCTTGGTGGAGACGTTGGTGTGGCAGCCAGCACCATTCCAGTCGCCGGCCAAAGGCTTAGGGTGGAGCGAGATCTTGACACCGAATTCTTCAGCCACCCGAGACAATAGGTAACGAGCAATCCATAGCTGGTCACCCATTTCGATACCGGTGCAAGGACCAACTTGGAATTCCCATTGGGAAGGCATGACTTCGGCGTTGATACCGGCGATCTTGATGCCAGCATATAGACACGCACGGTAGTGGGCTTCGATCATGTCACGGGCGTACACTTTGCCAGCACCTACACCACAGTAGTAAGGACCTTGAGGAGCTGGGAACCCGTTGGTGGGCCATCCGTAGACCTTGTCGGCGGCGTCAAAGAGCGTGTACTCCTGTTCTAGACCAAACCAGATTTCGGAGGAGCGGTGGGCTTCGAAAAGCTTGGCAGCCTCGTGACGATGGTTGAACTTGTTTGGGGTGCCGTCGTTGTTCCAGCACTCGGCTAGAACCAAGACGTTGTCACCGCGACGGAAGGGGTCTGGGTAGAAAGCCACGGGCTTCAAGTACACGTCAGAGTCGTGGCCTGGAGCTTGGCCGGTCGAGGAACCGTCGAAATTCCACTCGGGAAGCTCGTCGACGCTGGTGACGGGTTTAGACAAAGTGCGACCCTTGGAACGCGCGTTTCCGGACCCGTCGATCCACACATATTCGGCAATCACAGCGCCACGTTGGTCAAGGTCCAAATACTTGGCCAAGATTGCGGTTTTTTCAATAGTAGGGTCGTTATAAGACATCGTGGTGATGACGAAATTAACAAAAAGGGGAGGGGGAGGGTTAAAATTATGGCTTACTAGAAGCTATTAATGATGAGCAACAATGAGAAGGAGAAATCGCTTGGTTCAACAAAAGCATTACTTATCAATCCCATACTTTTCTACCCTGGATTCTTGTGCCTTTTATACTCTGTACTGGAGAACTACAGGTTTCGGTCGCTGACGTAAGCGTACACTGTTCTCCACGATAACGAATTGTTTACGTGCGTGATACAAACGAAAAACAAAATAAAAGTCACGCGCTCAAAGAGATAACGCTCGAGAAAAAAGAAAAGCGAGGCACGAGTACGCGAGGCGCGCAAAAACCGCACGAGTACTGTGTAGCAAAATTTAAAAAAGATGGCCAGACCGAGAAAAAAGGGCTATACTACGACAATATAAGTGGTAGGAACTGAACATAGATAGAGTTGGTGAATGGAATTTGGTGGTGGTAATGCCAGATGGTTGGTAATGGAGAGATCTTGTTGTGAATTGGGTTTTTTGTGTGCGGGAGGAAAGTAGAAATGTGGTAACAAAGAAGTACTCGTGGGTCACGTGACATGTTTGAGGACGAGTACATTTGGCACTATGAGTTGTTCAAGGCTCTAAACACACGGCAGTTCTGAGCGACGTTAAGAGATTTGGCGGTACTCGGGAGGGTACTCCTGGATACATACCACCGCGAATAACAAGAATAACGCCATAACAAGCTAAAGAGCCCAACAAACACGTAAGCGTAAGGTCGAAAATAGATACCACAATAAACATGAGCGATAAGCTTTGACAACAGACAACACATACCCACGCTCTCACTCAGTGACAATTTTTTCCCGATACAGGATCTGTAATATTACTCTGGCCAGTGGTGTTTCATTCGTTATGTACATTATTAGCATTTCCAGATGTACTCGCCAGTACTCGTGAGATAGCATGTCCGGCCCTACTCGTATAAAGGAGTCAAGACGGGAAGAGTCAGAATATAGAGGCGGAAGCCAAATGTAGCATTAATCACTCATAAACGAGATGAAAAATGAACGGTGGAAACGCAAGGGAGAGAGAAGAGAGGCTTTAGGGTAGGTTGACTGAGGCGTCGGGCACTGGGCACTGTCAATCGAATGAGAGGCGTTGGGGTGAGGTTTAGCGGGCGGCGTTCACAGAGGCTTCACTGCACGTTGGCCTTCACAGAGGCTTCACACGTTGGCGTTCACAGAGGCTCCATTGCACGTTGGCGGACGGTAAAAAGTATCAAATGGAGCTACCAGGTGAAAAAGATATCTAAAGGACGTCTCGTACACCATCGAAGAGGGCAAAAAGACAGACATGCTTCGCTCTTTCCTCAGGGAGAATCGGTGTTCCAACGTCCAGGCTTCATAACACCCATTGGTCTTGCGCTCTTGACCAGGTGGTATCTCATGCAAGCCATATGCAGGGATCTACCGTTGCTGTAGTATTGGAATTAAAGGGAATTCTGTTGTCGTTTTGTACGTGAGAGGCAAGAGCTTACGTTTGATGGAGAATAGAGCTCTTTCGAGCTTCACAAGGCAATGACTTGAACATTGATTCAAAGTGCTGCTTCAGTGTAATGTAGTAAACTCCTACGTGGAACGCTCTATTTCGTAACTTCGCCTTCGGAAGTGTATCCTCAGAGTTTCTCAGCACAAGTTTTGAACCATGACCCATCATTTCGTAGCTCGACCTCCGGAGGTGTACTTGCTGAAACGCATTCGTCCATCTCTAGCCATGAGCGAAAGTTGAAAAAGATTTGAAATCAAGAATGGTCAAGCCTTGAAGACCTACATGGCATTAGTTTCCCGTTAGTCCTCTAAATTCGCATTTGACTGTACGCTTGGTCAAAGACCGACTTCATCGTAGATTCTGACTTCTCGTAGCAATTAGGAGTGGCATCCTGTTACATCGCAAGAAATCTTTCCCATACCACTCTGGAAATCATGATGAATGTTCCAAACCGCTACATAGGCTCTCTACAACAAGGAGTGTTGGAACTTTTTCTATGCAAATTGTCCATCCGATCTGCTAACATCCATTCCAATCGCAAGAACCATTGTAGTTCTATTTTGTTCTCCAATGCGGGGCTAGGCTTGGGACGTGGAAAGACGAACAAGGGAGTGGAGATATAGTCAACAGTTCGAGTTTGACGCGTATGGTGGAAACACAGCCACTACTCGATTTCTGGCGTCCCCATAACGCCCACGACCGGGCTGATTGCATATATGCTTTATGATGCTTCGTTACTATTATTCAAGGAAAAGCAATGGACAAACCCAGTTTCGTAAAGTCCAATTTCCCAAGATTTGCCTTGTTTGAAGATTTGAAAGACATCTGGTCGGGACATGTTTTGTAGCGATCACGAAAATTTGAAAATTGCACTCATCGTGACTCTAGAAACATTTCGTCTAGGCACTTGCCCTCCCGTCCTGACAACTGAAGGCGATGAGATGGATCAAAAACGTCGTCGGTGGTACAAACTCGGGCAAATTTGACTTTACAACAATTGTAACTCCACTCAACCCTAACAAGAGAGTTCCTCTTCTAATAGCCTATCGTACACGATCGGACTTTTTCTCGCCTTGTGTGTTTCCCTATAGAGCAGATCTACCCAAAACCAAAAAAACCTTGCTGACGTAAGCTACACCGGCTGCTCGATGGTGTCACAAACGTACTAAATGATCATTGCCGATTCCTTTCTCGCTTACTGCAAACTACATCTTCAGAGTATCTCACGTTACGTTCTAGTTCATAAGCTAACGTGACGCCAAGTACTACTGTTCTCGAATAGTATGCAATTGCCTTCGGTGTTTTGTTGCCTGAATCACGGCCTTGCTACACACTCACAAGACTACCATTATTCGTGTTACGTGGTGTGGTGTGTATCTTGACACTATTGCAAATAGTTGTGCATCATGGCTGGGTTGTCTATTATAATGACATCAAAGGCCCTTGGAAACCAACACCCATCCACCGCGCCCAATTTCTGCACTCGAATTCCCACGACCTCTTCTAGCCTAAACAACCGCAATCACAAGACCTCGAAAAACAACTGAGCGGTCCAGTCCACGTGACCATCTCTTATTCTGCGTCTTGTTCTAGGTTGCTTTCCCTCGATCAGCTTCCACGCTTCCCCTTTTTTTTTGGTTTTTTTTTTTGCGGTCAAAAGGGCTTAGAAACACCCGCACAATGGCCCGTTGCAATGGCACAAACAGTATTGCTAACGAGAATTAGGGGCGGGGCGCCGCCCCGCCCCTAAAAAATCGTCATTGACGCGAGAAAATTATGACTATAAAAGGCGAGGGTCCTGGCGGTTTAGGACTTACCCTTCTGAACGTATGTTTTGATTTTGGGGTTTGCGTTACTAAGACCAGATCGTTCAGTTCTAGACTTCTAGAATAACTTTGTATTGCATCGATACACACTCCCTTTCCGTTCCGGCGTCCGATACAGCTTGATTTCCATTCAGTTCAGTTTGTTGTTATTATTACCCCCCTTGTTTTAATTTTCCCCCCCACATTTCAATCTATACCTCCAATGTCCGATAAGATTACCGAAAAACTTAAGGCGTTTTCCAATAAGGTTATGTCCAACGAACATGACGACAAGACCAGCTCGTCGTCCCCATCTGCAGTGGAGCCAGAAGTGGACCCTCTCCAGAGCACCGGAAACGACCATCATGCCCATGAAGTAACAGAGGACCAGAAGGCTCATGCCCCAGGCTCTCATGTCCAGGAACAAGAGGGTAAGCCCCGTACCAAGTCGTTCCTGGAAAGTGACGGCATCGACCAATTGAAACCCACAACCCGCAAACATCGTGTGTCGTCGATCTCGCTAAGTGACCAATGGCGCATCAACCAGGATTTGCATCCAATGACCGCCCTGGACAATGGAACGCCATCTTCCAGGTCTGTGTCGAGAAAAGCATCCGTGGTATCTCGCGGCAGCATTTCGCGTCGTCCATCCAACGCGGTGCGCTACCGCAAGCAAGTCATCGACCACGAACGTGTTGCGTCCTATGCGTTTGCATTCGATATCGACGGTGTCATTGTCCGCGGTCCAGAAACTATTCCTGAAGCGAGAGAAGCCCTACGCATGCTAAACGGTGAAAACAAGTACAACATCAAAGTTCCCTACATTTTCATTACCAACGGTGGTGGCCGTTCCGAAAAGGCTCGTTGTAAAGACTTGTCAAAGAGACTAGGTATCACTGTCACTGAGGACCAGGTCATTCAAGGCCACACTCCAATGAAGGATTTGGTTCCTGCTTACAAAAACGTTTTAGTTGTTGGTGGTGTGCTAGACTCGTGCCGTAAAGTTGCGCAAGAATATGGTTTCGATAACGTGTATATCCCATTGGACGTTATGAAATGGAATCCAAGTGTCACCCCTTACTATCAGCTATCAGACGAAGAAAAAGAAGTTGCCCGCGACGTGGACTTTTCCAAGATTTCTATTGACGCCATTCTTGTTTTTGCAGACTCTAGAAACTGGGCTGCTGATCAGCAAATCATCCTGGAGATTTTGTTGTCAAAGAATGGTGTTATGGGCACTGTTGCACATGATCCTTCTGAAAACCACGTTGGTCTATACTTTGCTCACTCGGACTTTGTTTGGGCCACCGACTACGGCTTGTCTCGTTACGGTATGGGCGCTTTGCAAGTTTCCATTGCCGCTTTGTACCAAGAACACACTGGTCGTGAATTACAAGTCACCAGGTTTGGTAAACCTCAACGTGGTACTTTCAGATTCGCCGAAAAGGTTCTGTCGAACTGGAGAAGAAATACTCTCTCGGAACATGTGGAAAACCTAAGTTTGGAAGATGCGGATGCAGATGCCGACCTATCTGAGTCAGAAGACGACGGAAATGAGGCCGAAGGCGTCGTTTTGCAAAAAGACTCCAAACTCTCTCTAGAACTACCACCTGCTTCCACGGTCTACTTTGTGGGTGACACTCCCGAATCTGATATCAGATTTGCCAACTCCCATGATTCCTCTTGGTTCTCCATTTTGGTTAAGACTGGTGTTTTCCAAGACAACAAATTACCAAAATACCAACCCAAACAGATTTGTGACGACGTTCTCGAAGCAGTCAAGTTCGCCATTGAAAGGGAACACCAGAAGGAGGTTGAGGAATGGAATGAAACTGCGGTTGAAGCTCCCGTGGTGGAAGAAAGTACCACTCAAGCCAGAAAACCATAGTTTTTACAAAGTATTAAAGTCACTCGGTCCATGGGCTCCCGGTAGTCTTTTCCATTCTTTCATTGCATTGCAGTCCATGCACCTGAACAACGGCAAGCATCTGTGATAGCTTGCCGACGTTTGAACATTATTTGCATTTTGATATATGAGTTTTGTTTGTAGTTTAAGATTACAGTGTTATATGTATCACACTGCCTTCGCGGAAATTATAGAAGAAACATTGTGTTATGCAGGGAGGCGAAGCGTTGATGGGATGATGGAGATGGAGTTGGTCATTTTAACCCATTGTATAAGCTTCCTGATAAGCAGATTTTGAATTTAAATCTTACTCGTGAGTTGTTGAAGCACGATTTCTGAGGCATAATTCGTAATGGCCATTACATTATAAAATGACATAACTATACATCGAGCTAGAATGTTTCTTACAAGGAAATTCACGAGTTAGCTGTGTTGAGTTGCCTCCTTTTGTTGATCATGATTCACACTTCCAACTTATAGGACGGCACCGAAACCGAAGGTCAACTTGATGCTTCTGACGTAGTAATCCAAGAAATTTCCCCTAGCCTTGTCTTCTTCACCTACGGGCACGCCGCTCCATGTAACTTGCAATTTCGTTTCGTGATATTCTTGGGACTCATGAAAGTCCATGGCTAGGGTACTCCAGTGACCAGAGCGCCAGTCATTGAGACGCCATTGGAATACCAAACGTTTACCGATGTCAGTCTCAATCAGCTTGCTCGACACATTTCCCCCGAAAAAGGTGAACTCGTCGCCCTTCTCGAATGTGTTTTTTGACGACTCACAAACCAACTGTGATCTTGACCAGGCTTGTACACGTTGCTTGTCGAGGAATGTTTGGTAAAGCTCGATGGCAGGTACGTTGAAAGTGGGTTCCAAATGCAAAGTTGTGGTATTGTAGAGCGGCCCTTTTGAGGATCCTGGAACAGAGCTACTGGACTTCACGTCGCTGCTACTTGTTTTGGTTACGGATGGTTTTGAAGATGCAGGCGTGCTTGTTGTCTGTGTTGACTGTGCGTTAGCCCTTGTGAACTCCGATTTCACCTGCTCTTCAGGCACCTGGATGTCGTTTGCATGTGTTTGAAGCAGCTCCGGTCCAAACTTTGAGAAAGTATCCCTCAATTGTGGAATCAGCTTCTCCCTTATTATCGGTCTTGCTTCGCTGAGCTTGCTGGTTTCCTTGTAAATCGATAACTCAAACTGATAGTCGTCGGGCTCAGAGTCGAATGCAATTTCTGGAACCGTGATGCTGCCCTCGAATTCTTCATCCCCAACATGGCCCTTGATCATCACAACCAGTTTGAGGTCGAAAAGAGAGATTACTTTTCCTTTACGCTGGCTGACCTCGCAATCACCTTCCATGGACGAAATTGACGTCACTTCCACTTCTTTCGTCTCGTCTTCAACACTGTTCAGACCCACAACACGATTATCAAAATAGTTGCGAGCCCAGTTCACACAGTTCTTATCGACCCAATGCCAGTTGTTAGGATTGTGAACTACCATTTTCCCTGTATTGAAATTTTCTAAATTGGTGAATTAACTAGTCGGTGATCTGTGCTACGTTAAGAACAATCAATGTGAATTCAAAGATTGAATCAATCGCCGTTTTTCGACTGTTTCTTGCCAAATCACTACTTATATATTTGGGCATCGAGGTAGCCCTTCAAGTTCACCTTCGGTTCTCGAATATTCCGTCAAAAAAAAGTGTTGATGTCATCATCGACGAGTGCGTCGCTACAATAGAATTCCGGCTCGAGCTTGCGTTACGGTGACAATATACTACATAAAATCGGTCAGACCAGGCTGCAGATTCGTTGTGGTCATGGATGGCAAGCCTCCACCCAAAAAGTCCAACATCATGTGCATGCCACCACCGCTGTAGTCGTCGACGTCCTGAGGCAACACCTGAGTGACACCTTCGAGGAACCAAACTTTGTCCTTGACTTCTGTGGCAAAACCACGAAGTAGTTGGTAGTAACATCTCATAATGCGCATGGCGCCCATGTCGCCTGTCATTAATAATGCCAGAAAGGTTTTGTCCAATAATGCGGGAAATGCGAAAACTCGCAGAACGAAATCTGACTGGTTTTTCTCGCGATGCAGTTTGTCCAGGTATGCTAAAGTAATCAGGTAGGGGGAGTCGATCTCGACCGGGTATAGGTCTGAAATGCTTTCATCGAAACATACGAGCTCAGAGACGGTTCCGCTGTCCTGATTTATAACGTCACCAAGATCGCTGAGATCGACAGATATGAGATTGTGGAATCGGGACTTTTCAGTCAGGGGCCACACCGCAGTTAGAATGGTAGCAGCACCTTTGACGTGGAAAATCCATGCAGACGGAGATATTGATGCAGTGAGAGAGTCGGGAGCGGTTGGGCCGGGAGACGCGGCGTTCGCCAGCGAGTCCATAATCAATATCAGAGCACTAGCGACTAAAGCGTCTGTGTTATCTTCCGAAATTTCTAACACAGCTTTCCGCAACAGCCGCAAAGCGTCCAAGCGATGTGCAGCTACATGCTGTTCCAGGCCTGGCTCCTTCCGTGAGAGGTGTGTGGCACTGAACGCTAACAGTGCATGCATGAGAAAAGGATAGTCGAACGCCAGCTTCGGAATCTCATCGCTCCAAATCTGTTTACCGCTTATTCCTGCAGATGTGATAGTGGGCCATGTCTCGGTACAGTAGTGGTGGAATAGTTTGAGGTCCACCAAGTTGAGACTTCCTTGGTTTGACAACTGCATTAATCGTGCGATCGACCCAGGTATTGCTTGCTTTTCGTCCTTTTGATTGCCCTCTTGCCCTAGTGGTTTATCTGAAAGCTTGGTATCTAGATCAAGTCCATCGCCCGAAGACGATTTTTGCCGATAAAATTGGGGACCCTCGGAAGTACCGTTTTTACCCATAGGGGACATCGGTGCCGCTGGTGATATAGTGGGGTTATTTGCAGGATTTGGCGTTGCCTGGTTGAGAGCCGACAAATTTTCGCCATCATCGCCGTTGATCTCGATTTCATTTCCCTTCTGAGATGCATTGTGTTGAAAGTTTTGTTGTTGTCGCTGAAGCGTAGCTAAGACCTCTTCAGCAGTAGTATTAGTATTTTTTACTTGTCCATCAGCGCTTTCTTGCGATTTCAAACCCATCAACTCTTGGAAGTCGTATGTTACACCTCCTATACCCGCAGTCGAAAACATTGCCATGTGTTTGAAATTGATTCCAGCCCGACTCAAAGTTTGCACCATCTCTTGCGATTGCAGTATGGACGAAAGAGGTGAGGCCTGACCTTGTTGCTGCTGTTGCTGCTGTTGCTGCTGTTGTTGACTCTGATTGTTCTGATGGCTTGTAAGATTGTTCAAAACATTGGAAGGAATCTTGTTCGCCGCGAAAAAACTGCCTATGCTGTTGGTAATGTTCATTGCGGTGGATTGAAAGGGCGGACTATTCGGAAAATCGAATCCTGCGAATTTCTCAGAATTGCTGAGGGTCATGAGCTGCGGAAGCAATTGGGGTTGCTGTTGAATCTGCTGCTGTAGTTGCATGTTTGCACCTGGGAAAAGAGGCGGAAGCAGCAGATTATCTGGAGAACCGAGTTGGCCAGCAACGGGGTTCGAAGATTGAGAATGCCTTTGAAAACTACTTGCGGGAGTCTTTCCCAGTTTCACTTCGTTTTGAGGCGATCCAGAGTTAGCAGATTCTTGCTTCAGGTCTCCTGCTACAGTGGTGGGCGTTTCAAGGCTTTCATTGGGGTCTCCCTGTGTTGTGAGAGAAGCTACTTTAACCCCATCTGCAGTAGTGGCTGTGTTTTTAGATTTTCGGACCACCACGGGCGTGTAGACGCACTCCAGCTTCATTGAAAGACATTTTTGACAGGCCGGCTTCCCCTCATCGCATTTGACACGCCTACGCTTGCAGTTGTCGCAGCCATTTTTGGATTTTTTATGAAACTTCCGTTTACCGGTCGAGGTTTTGCTAACTCTTTTTCCGTCCACTTCGATGAGGTCTACTGACTTGTCTTTCCGCTTCAAGGACCTTGTAGCAGTTTCGTCTTCGCTGAGTTCGCTGCTCATTTTCTAAAACGACACTTTTTTTCTAGAATTGAGAGAAAGGTACGCCAAACCAGACAAAAAAGCCGCTGAATTTGAAGATACAAGGTAATCTTAGTCTTGATTACAATTGCAACGACCTGCTGTCTTTCTTCCTCTTACTGTGACTCCAATTCTTATTTTCCACCACTTTTTCAGTCCAGTGTTTAAATTGAGCGTTGAGCGTACCACCTACAGGTCTGAAGTTTTTCGAAGCACTTAAACCGATGGAAACGATACCTCAAGTGTCGACTAGGCTATTATTGCCAAGATTTTCGCCAATTTCCAGATCACAGTACAACTGACACTCTTCAAAAAAACACTTTATGGTTTACAACTGTTGACAATTCAAACACACACTGTGTACGTTCCCTTTAAACCCGCCACTGCTTTGAGTTTCACGCTTTCAATTCTCACTTTCTCACCTGTGTCGTCTCTAGTTTATCGCTTAACCTGTTAAAGCTCCGAAAATTCCAAGAATATACGAAATTTCGACGCTCTAAGCCAAAAACTCACCGTCAAGACACCAAACACTCGATACCTGTTGTCTCAACTCGCCACAGCTCTTTCCAAAATTGCTGCAAGCTCTTTACGGTCTTACAGCGTTCGTCTACTGAGTTGAAAGATCTGGAGATGAGTTCTGTTCTTTTACGAGATGATCGTTTTTTAACAACCTGATCGTCCGTATAAGCCCGTTTACGAAATAAAAAAAAAATAGTGGTATAACCTGAGAAATGGGCCGATTTCACGTCATCCGACGACAGCGTGATAGATTCAAAAATTGGTTGTGGCCAGGATTTCGGTCGACAAGATTTTTTGCCCTATCTGCAGTATATACAATTTTTTTGGGATTTTGGTTGGCGACAGAGTTAGAAAGTAGTCAAACGGTTGATAACGGCGAGAGTTGTTGATAATTAAAAGTTTGGCAGAAAACAAAACCTTCTTGGTGGAAGAGAAGACTCACATGCCATAAGAAAAAAAGGTTCCCGTTCAAGATCCTCACACACTCGAACCTTAAGCATGGTGCAATGCGGGCCGGCTTCTCACAGTAAGTTTTCCGTACTATGTGACATCGTCGTAGAGATGGTCTATCGGACAATCCAATCTCCATCCAATCTCCATCCAATCTCAGTCCCTTCAATGGTGGCCGTGAGGATCCTCCTTGGGTGGCTCAGGGTCCACTGTGATCATGGTGTCGATTCTCAAAATCGCAATGCACGCCTCGAGCGCGGATTTTAACGATTTCACTTTGCTGATGGTGGGCTCCAAAACACCAGATTGCACCTCGTCCACAACTTTGCCACGAATCAAATCCAGCCCGTAGTTGCGGTAGTTTCTTCTCTTGACATGTTCCAGCTGTGCCTGCTGGCTTGCTGCATGGTAGGACCGCAGCTTGGCAATCAATTCGCTCGAGTCCTTCGCGGCGTTGACGGCCAGTGTCTTTGGAATAACAAGCAAAGCTGCTGCAAACTCGGCAATAGCCAGCTGCTCGCGCGATCCGACGGTTGTGGCGAAATTGTCGAGATATATATTCAGCGCAGCTTCCACGCAACCACCACCAGGAACGACATTTCCACTCTCCAGGGTTCTCTTCACAACAGACAGGGAGTCGTGAATGGAACGCTCCATTTCGTCCAAAGAGTAGTCATTAGCACCACGCAGCACAATAGAAGACGAAGAGTGCTTGGACGTGCCCTTCACCAAAATACATTCGTCATCAGAAAATCTCACCTGGGATACTTCTTGGCACGAACCCAGAGAGGCGGCTTCAAAGATCTCATCACCTTCCAAATTCGACATGGAACTAATCAACGTAGCACCAGTAGCTCTAGCGATTCTTCTAAGATCCTCTTTCTTGCACCGTCTGACTGCCATCACGTTGGCCTCCACAAACTCTTTCAAGCAAAGATCGTCGATTCCCTTCGTGGTGAGCACCACATTGGCGCCTGCAGCTATAATCTTTTTCACTTTTTCCAAAACAATGCCAGCTTCACGTTTGCGAATTTCTTCGAGTTGGTCAGGGTCTGTTATGTTGATCTGAACGCCCATGGCCATCCTAGCTTTTTGCAAGTTAATGTCCAGACACGCAATCTTCACGTTGCCTCCAGCAAGACGTTTTGGCATGGCCTGAGACGCAACCGTACAGTTGAGTGCGTAGCCCTGCACTAGGACCGATTCACGGGCTGATTTCCCGTGAGCCTTAAGAATATTGACTGCCTTGACTGGATATTTGATTTCACCTTTGGAATTCTGAGTCTTGACGGCTAGAAGGGCGTCCACGACCATGTTACCGAAAAAATCCGAGTCGGATCCTATGATCTTAGACGACATACTGGTTTTCGCGATGTTCACGAGGGACTCTTTACCCAAAGATTCTACGCTCATCGACAAGACCTCGTTGATGTATCTGATAGCCTCTCTGAGAGCCACACGGAAACCTGTGATGATAGTTGTTGGATGAATTTTGTTTTTCACCAGAGAATTGGCTCTTTTTAGCAATTCAGATGCGATGATGACCACACTTGTGGTTCCATCTCCGATTTCACGGTCTTGCTGCTGGGCCAGTTCTACCAAAATTTTACCTGCTGGATGTTGGACGTCTAGTAGAGACAAAATTGTAGCCCCATCATTAGTCACTGTAAAGTCACCAATATCGTCAACCAACATTTTATCTAATCCCACAGGTCCTAGCGATGTCTTCACCACATTTGCAACTGCTAGAGCTGCCAGAACATTCTGGTTTCTGATATCATCCCCGCTGACTTTCTCGCCACCGAGAAATAGCGTATCTGAGCGTGAATTGTTCAGTACAGAAGCCATTTTTTAAGCTGAAAATTGAAGCCAAACGAGTAAACACGAATGAGTTCAGTTTCAATCGTAACTCGGCTTTTCAAATGCGCGAATGGATCGATTCCTGTTCGTGATTGTCTTTTTTAAGTTGATAATGATACTTGATCCATTGAAAAGTTGGTGAAAAATCGCTATAATACATATCCCATCACAGGAAACGAGGTTCGACGACAGCACGATATGAAAAGCTCTGAGAACATCCACAAAGCGTTGAAGACTGTCTTGGTTCGTGATGTCGTTCTACACATCGAATTGAGATCGATTTCTCGACTTTGGCTGACTTTCTTGTATCCTTCTGGTCAGGAGCTCTTTACAGGACATAACTGCGTATTACAACATGAAATAGATAGTCAACGGGGCGGAGAAGCAGACGAAAGGTCGGCCTAGGCCGTCAAGAAGTGGGGGGCGATCTCTAGTTCACGTAAGTTTTCTCTGGTGCCAAGTTAGGCTTTGAACCTTTCAAAAAGAGAAGAGAGAAAGAAAAGAGAAAAAAAAAAAAGATGCATGAACTCCAGGTTTGTGAGAATTTCTTTGAAAAACTCCAGAAACTGACAATGGGCTACGATCCATCCCTCCCGCCAATACGTTCAGATTCAGCTGCTTCCAGTTTTTCATCTTTTTATCGCCTCGATTCCAGCTTTAAAATTTCCATCACCTTATAAAATAGTACATTTTTTGCTCTTTTTGATCACTGGAGGCTCCAGAGCCGCGACAATGGCCTCGTCAAAAACGTTTTTGAGTCCGCGTTGGGTCAACGCAGAACATTCCACATACTTTATGGCCCGAAGCTCGCGAGCCAGTCTTTCACCCTGTTCGGGCAGTATTGGCCGCAAACGCTGTCTCTGCAGCTTCTCGATGATAACTTTATCGTCCCGCAAATCCACCTGCGTCCCTACGATCAGACAGGGAACGCCGGGACAGTGGTGATGCACTTCTGGAAACCACTTTTCCTTCACGTTCTCGAACGACGGTGGGGAGATCACACTGAAACACACCAAAAATACGTCTGTGGACGGATACGACAGCGGTCTCAAACGATCGTAGTCCTCCTGTCCTGCAGTGTCGAACAGCCCCAGTGTGTATGGCTCGTCCCCGATCATCACCGTCACCGCATAGTTGTCAAAAACTGTGGGTACATAATCCGCTGGAAATTGGTTCGTGGTGTAAGAAATCAACAGACACGTCTTTCCTACAGCACCGTCTCCCACTACTACACATTTCAGGGTCTGCATCTTGCTATTCTTCTTGTTTCAAGTGAAATGTAAAAAATCGGTCTTTTAATCGAAATAAATGTCCTGTGACTTTGACTAACTTTGGCTCTGAAAACGCGAATTTGAAGCGAATTTTTTTACAGCAAATCGAATCGACTAAACACCCTTGATTATTGGAACTTCCAGTAACGGAACTAAGGGTCTCTTTACGCCTCACAGTCGTTCAGCTTTCTCTCGGGGGTTCTCAGCTTATTTACTTACCTTTCTCCTTGATATACAATTTTTCATCGGGAACCGTCCTAACTGATGTTCGACGATAGAGATGAGCCCAAAAATTAAATCGGTCACGTGTGACCGGGTAATGTTTTGGACTTTTATTTTTTGAGATAAAAGTGAATCGCAGGAGGTTCGAACGGCTGCCGGTTTTTTTTTTCGAGAGAGAAATCATCTGTCTATCTATCGTTGGTAGTTGACTGTGGGGTGCATGTAGCGGAGCCTGTGGAGCTTGTGGAATTTACGCTTTGTATTATAGTACGTGCGTGTGCGTGTGTGTGTTTGTGGAGGTTGTTATTGTCGAAAAAGACCGGGGTTGTGGTTTTTTTTTTGGAAATAGCACTCCGGTTGCGTTCGAGGTGTCTAAACGTTCAACGCAGAGTTTGGAAAAGATTCATAGAGATGGATGGGCGGTGGACTGGAGAAAAAATGACCCTACGGTTTCAACGGCCATGAGTGAAAAAGAATATGCGTCACTTTGTACGTGTGTGACACGGCACGATACGGCTTTCACTCGCTATCGCTTTCCTCAGACCCTTCTTCAGAACTGGATTGTTCGTCAGCGGTTCTGAGCCATTCGATCCACTTCGCAATCAGGACTTTCGCTTGGTCGTATTTCGGATCTTGTGACACCTGGCTCCACCAAGCATCAACGGCGTCTTCGTCTAGAATGTCTTGGTCGTACAGGAACGTCAATGCTGTGAAAACGATAAACTCTGGTTTTTCGAACCGTTGGGCCACGGTTTTCTCCAAAATGAGGTTCGCTAGGTCCACGTATTCGTCTTGGTCAAATGCCTGTCGCTTGAACAAGGGTCCCCATTGACCAAACACCTTCAGAAGAGCATCTTTTGCACCCAAGGTCTGCGTGGCAATGAAATGGTACACTCTTCTCAGCAAGGCGACCACGGTAGCCGATCTCACCTCTTGGTATGTGACGTTAATGCTCATGCGCAATGTATTGAGCTCCAGCAGAGCTGTGTCAATATCATGGTTGTTCTCCATGGCTCTCTCTACAGTTGCAATAGCCTCTGCAGCAAAATCTTCTTCGTCTTCATCCTCGTCCATGTCCTCTTCGTAGTATTCGTCGTCGCGGCCATTGGCTGCTGCAGTGCTGTTCGTTGAAGACCGACGCTTTTTCTTGTGCTTAGCCGACATGGATGAGATCGAGTTGTCACTCAAATACAAGTCATCGAAACGGTGCGTCAGTGCGTTCGTGCCGTTGAACACCACACTACTGTCTTCGTCGTCGTCGTGGGCGTCGTCGCTTTCATAGACATATCCAACGCCATTTGCGCCGACCAGTGCCAATGCAGGTAGAGCGTTATCAGGATTTGCTTCGGACTCTTCAACTTCGTCATCGCTATATGGCTCGCTGTCCAAAAATTGAGAAACGGGCTTGTGAACATACGTGTCCGAAAGTCTTGTGCCCACTGGTATTGTCATGTTATCGTCGATCGAAACATTGAAACCAATAACACATCCATCCATTAAAACAACGCCCGAGCCAATGCTAACGTTCGATGCAACCAGAGCATGTTCCACCACGGAATCGCTTCCAATTGTAACGTTGTCCCATATGAAACTGTTCTTTATCACAATGTTTTCTTTGATATGACAGTTTCTCCCAATAACAGAGTTTTCAATGCTGGTACCTTCCCCAATCTTTGATCCAGATCCAATTCCCGTGCACTTGCCAATCTTGCACGATTGTGCTAATACCACGTCTTTCTCCTTATATATATGTTCGGACTCGTAAGAGTACGTTTGGTCGTCAAGCAGATTCGAGTTCAAAACCATAGGGTAGCACCATCTGGCGATAAAGTCCTGCGAAATGGCATCGTACGTCTGCCAGCTTTCGACACGAGCAGCATAATCGTCTGTGATGAATGCGTATATGCTCTTTTTTAGCAGATCACTGGTTAAAACACCCTTGACAAAATCTCTTCTCAAGAATTGGTAGTCAAAGTTCTCTTGGAAGATGGCTGGTACATGAGGAGAGCAGATGTCAACGTGACAGTCGACCAGATCATTACGGATCTTAAATTCGTCCACGTCTTCCAGAAGCTCAGGATCGATTGCAATAGCATTTTTGAGCTTGGAATTCTCCAATGGGATATCTTGGTAGTATAAGCATTTATCATTGGACTTGTCCAGAATGAAAGCCGCGGGTTCGTGGCATCTCGATCTGAAAAGCTGGCTTGCTCTGCTCAGACACATGGTAACTATATGGTCTTTATCCTCGGCCTTCCTCTTGCGATGAAAGTCCAGTGCCTTGTCAAACTCCATATTCGTGACGAGGTCTCCGCTCACCAGTATGAAGTCGCCGGTGACAATGCCTCTATTATCCAAGTCACGCATGGCATCGCCTACAGACCGCGATTCAAGCGACATGATGGTCGAAACACGGAAGGGCGACCACGGCTGGTTCCATTTAGACTGTTCGATATATTCGCTCATTTGTTCAGCGTGCGATGCACACATTAAGTAAACCTCACTGGCACCTGCCTTAGCAAGAAATTCCAAAGTATACTCTATCAACGGAACATTAGCCAAAGGCAGCAAACATCTGGGCTTCACCGCTGTTAAGGGCATGAAACGGGTCTCGAACGAGTCCGTCAGCACGATGGCTTGCAAACGCTCATCCGGTACAACATCATTTTTCAACTTGTTGTTTCCAGCTTTGTCGCTGGACTTGCCCTTTTTTCCAGCCATTTTTTTCCAGTTTGGGGTTGATGGATAGTAAAACTTGAACAACTAAAGGTTCTGGATTGAGAGAACGGTGTTGAAAGAAGTGTAAGGTGAATTGTAAGTTGACCTTTACAGCTCATCGATCTCAACATGGACATTGAGTATTTGAAAATTAGAGACTTGAAAAAATGAGCGTCACAGACGTATAGTATGACTCGAAACCGTCTCGGTGCCAGGAACAAGACTTAAGGAAGGAAAGCTCACGATTGAGAGGCTTTAGATGGGGATCTCCAGATAATGGAGAATACAGATCTCTTTGAAAGACGTTTTCGTTGCAGTTACTCAGTAACGAAAAAAGGAAAAGTGGGTAAAGTCTATTGATTCCTGACGCAGTCGGTTTTGAGGGTCTCGCAGATGTAGAAAAGTTGAAATTCGCTTATCGCTGCTGCTTAGGACATCCGCGTTAGCACAAGCTTCATGGCTTGAATTCAAGTTCAAGGCTTTAAAAAAATAAAAAATGATGGAAAGTGCTCGAGGTGGGGTTCGAACCCACGACGGTCGCGTTGCTTTAAAGGCCGTTTTTAGCGGCCGTACTTTCACAGAAGACTTCGGAGAACCGAATGTATCTATAAGCACGAAGCTCTAACCACTGAGCTACACGAGCATTTTCGAAAGTAGTGGCTGGACAAACAGGTATAAGTGCCAACCAGAATGGCTACATTCATCTAATAGAAGCATTGTGGGTTGAGTGGTTCGTCTAAAAGAAGCATTGCGAGAGTGTGCAATCCCTACAGGTACCTACAGGTGTGTCTTCTCCATAGACCACAGAAATCGATTCGATTTTTCTTCGTTTCGTCGCCCACCGAAGTGACGTTTTCTTAGAGTACATACTAATGACTCTACAGAGTGCTAACCTAAAGAGCAGTCCGAAATCGCTTCTACACGTTAGAAGTCATTTTTCCTTTAGTGCCTTATTTCACATAGCAAGTGTGTGCCTATTTAATTGCAACACAACTCCAGCAGACAGCAACAACACAGTGCTCCCATACACCACTGACAGCAGCCTGCCTCTTCTTTTTGAGGGGCCTGTTGCTGGTACATGGGCTGCTGTTGCTGGTAATACCCACCTTGTGGGGGACCCTGCTGCTGATAGTAGCCCTGCTGTGGAGGACCCTGCTGCTGGTAGTAGCCTTGTTGTGGTGGGCCTTGTTGGTAATAGCCTTGCTGGTTGTTCATGGTGGTAGAGGCCGCTGCTAGCTGGTGGTTGAGCTAGGAATACTGTCGCTGTCAAGTCAATTGATGGTTTCTTCAAAATAGAAACATGCTTTTATTTCATTGCATACGGTTGATTCTTCCAAACTTTGTTCTTGGCGTTACCCTAATCAAGAGGGTTCGAGGCTGATATCTGGCGCAGCAAACGACAATTTGAGCTATTCATAGCTGACAATGGCCATTGCACCATAATGGGACACAAGTCTCGATCATTTGAGGTTGGATCGTCAAGCGGGGAGGAATAGACGAAAAAGCAGCTAACCAAGGCTCCTTCCAATCACAACTTTCAACTATCGTGTAAAAAACTGGATCACTTTATCCAAATTATGTATCACTTTTCTCCAATGCGTCGTTTAAGTTTCCAGTCCAACTTCATAAGGGCCCCCTCCACAAGGCGCGATTCTAGTTTCTGTAAGCGAAATCTAATTCTGCGATTCTATTAATTATGTTATGAATTTTGGGTTAATGCGGGACAACGACCCTAGAGATCCTGAGTTTGTCTACACCCTTCGCGGTTTGTTCCGCTTTTTTTTTGGATCCACAGTGTCAATTTTCAACTCTGTCATTCATCACCTCAATTGCAGGGTTGTCACTGAAGTTCATGGCATCAGGATTGTCCTTGTATCTCTTTTGAGGAACCCTATTGACCGACGCTTCCATGAAGTCATAAAATCGGTCACCATAGTCTCGTGGAGGTACAGCGCTAATCACCTTCAAATCGTGGCTCAAACCGCGCCAAAAAGTTTCCAATTTCTTTAGCAAAGAATAATTCGTCAAACAATCGATGATTCCCACATAGTAGATAGTGTTCAGGTCGTTGTTGAATTGGTCCGACGCACGAATCCCCCCTTCGTCCTGCTGGAAAAAATGCCGTACCGCAACGGTCGATTTTTGGCGCACTTGTTGGTCTGCCATTGATTTACGCTTCACCTCCTGGAGCTCGCTTTGATAGGGGCTGAATTTGGCCAAAACATTGCGTTCGTCAATGAGGTCATTGCCCTTCTCCATATCGTGGATGCCCAGCAGAAGTGAGTAATCCATGATATTCAAGCGCGTAAGTAGATCCACATCTTTTTCGAGCTGTTGTAGAAACTTTTTCTTTTTCAGAGGACCAAAGCGTATGTTGCGCTGCTCTTGTAACCAATTCAGATCCTTTAATACCGGCCTATGGGTTTCATCTTGGTCTGAAGACTCCGAATCATTTACTTTTGTGTACCGCCCCCAAGTAGAGCCTTTCAAATCAAAAGTTGTGTGTATTTCCAAATGAGGCGGGAACAAATTGTTCATCACCAGGAAATAGATTTTTCGATGTTTGATTTTACTTTTGAAAGAGATTGGCATTTTGACTCGATGCAGACCGTAAAATTGAGAAACTAGGGTATCTGGATTTTCCTTTATATGGGTGTAATACTCCCTCAAAGTTCTCCTTAGATGCAAATGCTCTGCATGATGAATGGTCTTGATGATGTATTTGTAGTCTCTGCTGAAGTAGAAGAACGACCCGCTTTTCCCCGGCGAGTTAAGTTCGCTAAGAATGTACTTGGACGTTAGAGACATCAAGTAATCGGCAGGGTCGAGACCAAACAGCGCCCGCAATTCCCTGAATACCTCGGGACAGTAGTCCTTGAACTTGAATGCGTATTGAGAGCTCGGGGTGAGCTCATTTCTGTGAAAGTCAAATGCCAATTTTTTGGTTTGGCGAAAATCGCGTGGGGTGAGTGGTTTCATGATGCCAGAACATCGAGATACTGCTACCCTGATTCCCGTAAGCATATTGTAAGCGATGGTGAAATTAACGTGTCCTTCGCTGACTTTATTCCCTATCAGTACTCTGTCGTCGTCCAAAAAATTTTGCTGTTTCTTGCGCATTTCTCGTTTTTGCAACAACGCTTCGCGCATTTTCTTAATTTCAGCCGTAGCAGATTCTGAGCGTTTCAAAGAGCCATCATTCACAGGGCCCGGTCTGTGACTAACGTTAAAAGAGTGAACGGAGGTGGCACGTGAATGCGAATCCCGCAAAAGGGTGGCTATCTCTTCTATTTCAGCGTCTTCATGCTCTGCATTAACCGCTTGATTCGCCTGTGCCGTGACAACGCCTGATTCCGGTGATTCTTCCGTGGGAGAAGGAGCAGGCACGATTTTGGCATGCTTGCCCGAATCGAATGGGAATTGACGGAGCGAGTGGTTTGAGTCCTGAGTTGATCTTCTGGAAGGTTTTCTACGCGACGTCACGCCGTTAAGTAGCACTTTTTCATCGTCTAGACCCTGAATGAAAGATCCGTTTTCTATTACACTGTTACGATCCAGCACGCTTTCACGCTCTTGAGTATCGTGTAGGTCGTGTGGGTCGTGTGGGTCGTGCGCCACATCTGCGGAGCCTGCCGCAGCTACTTTTTTCTCATTATCCAGCTTGAATTTGTGCCACGTCTCGCCCAGCAATGACGAAGCATTGGACGGGCCGATACTTCCTTTGGGCAATGGATGTAATCTTGGCGGTACAGACCCGTCCAGCGGATCTACGGCATGTTCCAGCATTTCCCGCCCTGCCTGCTTCTTGTTGTAGCTTTCCACGGACGTTGGCGATGAGTAGCACCGTTGCTCCTGTGACGATCTTGGTGAGTCTGAACTCGTGTCTCGACCCGGTACAAGCTCCTCTTGCAACGCCAGCGACATGGTCTCTCAGCTTCTTGTGTACACTTTGCTAGCACGCTCAGCCTTCTCGTAGACCGCGTTGTGGGTCCAATAAAGCGTTGGTTTTGTTCTTGTATTTTGTGTGAAATCGAATGGAATGTTGGTTAAAATAGAGTAATTTATTTCTAATTCATCATTTTAGCCTACGGGTAGAAAAAAAATATATAATTATATAATGCAAAGGGAGTATTTTGATGGTCACGTGATAAGCTCTGCGAGGTGAAATTTCAGTTTAAAGGCTATGGTGGAAGAATGGATACTGTTTTAAAAGCATTGTAGTTAATCTGATGATTATTTTATCGACAATGTTTGTGTGCTTGGCTCTTGGTATCTGTTGAGAACAATTGAAGTGTATTTCACAAACCGGAAGATTTGTGAAGGTCTTTTCAAAAGTTGGAAATGGGGCGTTGGGGTTTAGAAATTTATCAACAATAGGAACAGCTAGTAAAGCGCTCTTAATGGTAATGGTATCGTACGAAGAAGCCTTTGACATATCTCATCAATGGTGTTTTGTATCGCTCTACACGAGTGTGTCGTTGTCTTGTGAAGTTAATGTTTCGAATTCAACCGTTACATTCAGCTAAGGTTGCTGAGTTGGGAGCAGCAGAGGGTTCAAATACATGGGTCTTTACATACAAAAATATCACCCAGTTGTATGAAGGAATTAGGGTTTTAAAGTTGAAAAAGCTTTGTACCGCATGAAATGGGAAATCAACGTTGGCGCATATCGAGATATTCCAGGGCTTTTGACACTACCGGGGGAGAATCAATGATCGTAGTCTTGGTCTTTATTACGGGCACAATCGTATGAGCTCATTTTCCTTTGGTCTACTAGTACAAAATATTATGTATTACTTGTGAGACTCAGAGTGGGTTTGAGGAGAGTCTTGTTACGAAAGCCGTTCCCATCTTGATAATGCTTTTTTTTTGTAGGTGTACTTCAACTCTCTTTTTACCTAGTTGAATGGCACACCTTTTTGTGCTATATTGAGCTGTATAGATGAAAGGTAGATTGGTTATACCATACCCTTTTGTGCAATTCTGAGATCGTCTCACCCGGTGAAGTTGACAAAACTGAATTTGAGTAGAATGATAACAAAGCAGACTGCTTTAGAAAAAAACCGAATTCTGTGCTCTTGACGCTATGTTCATTAGAATTTCAGCATCTTGTAGTTGAACGACTTCCTTACTTGTTTTGTCGCTGTCATCACATCACGTGCCGGAGAGCACTTGGTGACGAATCTGACATGACTGAGCGCATAGAGCCTTTTCTGTTAAGTAAAAACGATCAAGATGACTTTGAAATAGTTTCATGAGAATGAATCTTGCTCGCTGTATTTAGCGTGAAGTCCTAAATTAAGCCAAGCTATTACGTTAAGCATTCAACTCTGCTTCGTTGATGACGCATAATAATTCGAATGATTCAATCGTGCAAACGTTAAGAAGCCCATTGGTTTTGTACGAGTGTCCTTAGTAAAAACACCATTCTTCTTTGCATCTGTAATAGCCTCGACATTGACAGCGTTTGTACTCAGGCCACGTCCAGGCATAGTAATACTGCATCATTTTTACTCTTTTCCAGGTGAGTCCTTGAAAACGACTCTAGTCTCAGATTGTGACCTAGTTCTTCACCATTAAAGACCCTTTAAAGCTCATTCTGGTGCTTATGCGTCTCCGTTACCTATTTTGATTATCACTCTCCACCGTATCCGTCGCTGGACTCTGGTAAAAAAATCACAATTACGCAGCCAATCATCCCATAGTCCTACAAAACTCTAAGAATGTAGCATGGAAGCAGAGAAAAACTTTTGTACACAAGGTTCGAAATTACGTTGATTTCCAGCATAGAATTTTGAGAATACATTCACGGATGGGCTGTCAAGAACGCAGTGCATTGTCAAAAGAACACGTCACGTGATGATCTTCCGAATCAATTAACTCAGACGTTAAGAATACGAATGGACAGTCCCAGAACCGTTCCTTCTTTAATGTATAGAAAACCCCGATCTCTACAATGTCAAAGCTTCCTAATACTATTTAGTGACTTTCCTTCGCAAACTTTCTGTTTTAGTCTCGATAACGGCTCTGTTATTGCATCTCAATATGCCATTATCGTACCGTGATTATCATTCTATGTCTATAAAATGCAGCTATGTCTTCGTTGCATGGTCTCAAAAATAATAAATAAACGAGGGACCCTGAATCTTACGCATACTTTTCAGACATGTCTAGACACTCTAAACTTGGTAACAGCTCAGCAATCGAACCACCGGTTACTCAACAGTTGACCAAAAAAAGCTATCCACAATGTCGTGGCAATCATCGCTATAGATTCCCCAACGGCTCTACGCAAGATGCGTAGCTCGAAAGCCAGTTGCAACCACCGAAGCCGAAGATGTGAAGGGAAGCGGTTTATTTTGAACTCCGATCCATTACCCGCACTTGCCGAATGAAGTTAAGCTTATCGAGAAAGCTTATCTTTACAATTCGAGACGACGACTATCTCGACAACTACTACTACTGCTACCACTACTACATCGTTGAACCAAAAATCTGGTGGCTCTGCAATAACGCTTACCTCAATTTCTCGAAGTTCATCATGAAATTCAAAACCCTCAGTAATTCGCAAGTTCGAGAGCTCCTTCTAGGAGCGTCTCGCACCCAATGGACCAAATATATTGGTCAATTGCACACTGCGCTAAAACGATACTCTCAAAACCCAGGTATTGTGCCTCCTAGGATTGTAGAACCTATCCCGGATGGCAGCACCATTCATTTCGTGATGCCAGTTCTGGACGACATCTACTGTGGTGTGAAGACCATGGGTTACAATGCAGCAGCGGGCACTGGATTTGAAGGTTCAGTGATAGTCACGGATCCCAAATCGGGCATCTTGAAAGGCGTGGCGGAGGTGAAGGAACTGACCGGTGTCAGGACGGCGATGACCAGCTGCATCGGTCTCGTGCGTCAACTGCCTCTTTTTGGACAAACTGTGATAGTTACGGTCTTCGGGACTGGACTGCAAGCGTTTTGGCATGCATATATATGCTCCAAGCTTCTAGAAGGCAAAAACATTACTGTCAATTTTGCACATAGAAAGACGCCCATGGATACTTCTTTGCTGCAAAAATGGATTGCAGGCTTGACTGTAAACCAGATCCCGCTCAGCGACAACACTGAGATTTCCAAGGCGGTGTCGCAGAGCGACATTATTTTCGGATGTGTGCCCTCCACATCGCCTGCTATCCTGAAAAAGGACCTCGAGTCGCCCTTGGGCCCCAGCTACACCTACATTTCTCTGATTGGCAGTTACAAAAGCCACATGCACGAATGTGACACTGCACTTGTCGAAGAGTTCAAGGCCCAGGACGCTAAGATTCTGGTGGATTCCGCGGAGCACACACTTGCAGAGGCGGGCGAGTTGATAGACGCCCAAGTAGTGCCAGAACAGCTATTGGAGCTGGGCAAGTTAGAAGACTCGACCCAGGTTCCTACCGTTCAGATCAACGAGAAAAGACAGGTCACCCTGTGCAAGATAGTAGGGTTGGCCGTGATGGACGTGAGCACTGCTATGTCTCTACTGAACGAAGTGGGAACCTAGAGAGAGAGGAGCAACTACCGAGAAGAAGACATACCTCGAGACACATGGTGTGTCTGAAGATGCCACAACTGCTGTTTTAGACACTATACGCATCAAGCACTAGGACGTATAGAAACTGTGTGTACAATTCTCTGTTCCATTAGCATCGGATAAAGACACAATGTATTAGATCAGTAGATCTTCGTTATAACGTTCGGCGTTTGAGATTACTTTTACAGAGTGCTTACATAATACCTAATTTATGCAATGCATTGTCCACGAAGAATTCTAAGGACCCTTATCAATTATTCCAGAACCCCGTTGTCACGACAACAGCTCAGCCTCATCTACGGCTTCTATTCGGGGTGTAAATATGATACGGCGTGCCACGTGGAGTGGAGGAGCTAATTACACCACGAAACACCCGACCACAACGGTCTCTGAAACACGCAGTGTATACCGTCTGGCAAACTTAACAACCCTCGATGTTCAAAACTTCATTACATGCCACTCTTCTTCGTCTCCCCACTTCTCCCCCCACCTCCTCTGCTCCGAACATTGCGATCCCGAAACTTATCCCCGCAAATTACCCCTCGAGCCCCTTCCGTTATCATGCAAAAGAAGTTCACGATTACGTCATATTGTTCTTTGGACGCATATAAAAAAGATCCTATTACGTGACCCTTTCAGGCGCCTACTTACATAAGCGTGCATATGTAAGCCATCTATTCGTAGAAAGATGCGCAGCGGGAAATGCTACGCCCCCGCTGGCACTTATATCTCAGAAACAGCCGCATCAGTGTCTATGGGACCCTACTTCATATTGTGTGGCCCGCGGAGCTCTCTCGGGCGATGTCTTCCGAAGGGTCCACCCCTAATTTCTACCGCCAAAAAACGTATATAAGGAAGGAGGATTTGGCAGTTGGGAAAAGGATCTCATGTGTAACCCAGTATAAAAATACATCTTTTGTAGTGGTTATTCTTGCTCTCTATTCAAACAGAACTCCAGATAACAATAGGAGATATATTGCCAGGTTCAGTTCGTCCACCTATTCCAGTTACCCGTTCGTTTTCCCTGGCTATTATAAATTATACAGTTATCATTTTATTGTTTTTCAGTTTTCGAATATATCATCGCATAGGCATCCTGGCGTATTTAGAAAGACAATGTTGGCTGCCACCTCTTCACAGCAGGAAACCCAGCAACCGTTTCACACACTTTCAGTTCACGATGTGGCCGCAGCGCTGACCACAAACGTGAATTCAGGACTACACAGCGACGCCCAAGTTCCCGAAATTCGAGCGCGATACGGAGAAAATTCGTTGGGCGATGACTCCAAAATAGACTTCAAAGCGATCTTGTTGCACCAAATCTGTAACGCCATGATTCTGGTGCTGTTCATCTGCATGGTGATCACTCTTGCGGTTCGAGATTGGATTTCCGGAGGTGTCATTGCCTTTGTTGTCTTCATCAACGTTGCAATCGGCACTTACCAAGAATACAAGGCGTCCAAGACCATGAACTCACTAAAAAGTCTCAGCACTCCATCTGCCCACATAATACGCGACGGCAATGACGAAATAATTCCCAGCAAAGAATTGGTTCCAGGCGATATCTGTATCATCAAAGCCGGTGATACCATCCCTGCTGATCTGAGGCTCGTGGAATGTGTAAATTTCGAGACTGACGAAGCTTTACTTACTGGCGAATCATTGCCTATCGCCAAAGACGCCACACAGGTCTACCCTGCAACACAAGACACTCCTGTCGGAGATCGTCTGAACTTGGCATTCGCCAGCTCCACGGTCTCCAAAGGTAGAGCTACCGGTATAGTTGTACAAACCGGTCTCAACACCGAGATCGGTAAAATCGCAAAGAGTCTACAGGGTGATAACTCGCTAGTTTCCAAAGATGAGAACAAATCTTTTGCGCAGAACACCCTAATCACCTTTAAAACCACTGTCGGTTCCTTCCTCGGAACGACCACCGGTACGCCTCTGCATCGCAAACTTTCGAAATTGGCTGTCATACTTTTCTTCGTGGCAGTTCTTTTCGCCATTGTTGTTATGGCCACTCAAAAGTACCATGTCAACAAAGAGGTTGCCATTTACGCCATTTGTGTTGCACTTTCTATGATTCCTTCGTCTTTGGTGGTAGTATTGACCATCACCATGTCGGTTGGCGCGAAAATTATGGCAACCAGAAATGTGGTGGTCCGCAAACTGGACTCACTCGAAGCTTTAGGCTCTGTCAACGACGTCTGCTCTGACAAGACTGGTACTTTGACTCAAGGCCGTATGATCGTCAAACAGGTTTGGGTACCTTCTTTTGGTACAGTTTTGGTCACAAATTCTAATGAGCCTTTCAATCCTTTATCTGGTGCTACTCAACTGATCCCCAGATTCTCACCTAATGAGTACCGCCACAACAGCAGCGAAGACGTGGGTATAATTCAAGGCTTCAAAGATAACTACTTAAAGGAAACGCTTCCTAATGAAATAAATCCAAGACTTTTTGCTAATTGGCTCAAAACAGCGACCCTGGCAAACATCGCCCAGGTTTATCAGGATTCCGAAACTCGAGAATGGAAAGCTCACGGGGATCCTACTGAAATAGCCATCCAGGTATTCGCTCACAGATTGGATCTTCCCAGGCCATTGCTTACGTTAGAAGGGCAATCGAATGAGATAGAAAATGAAAAGGCTGACTTCAATGCGGATGCTGACTACAAGCATATCGCTGAATACCCCTTTGACTCCTCGGTCAAGAGAATGTCGGCCATTTATTCAAGCACTAGAGAAAATAACGAATATCGTGTTTTCACCAAAGGTGCCTTTGAACGCGTTCTGAACTGTTGCACACACTGGCTTCCTTCCCACGATAGCGTTGAGAGCAATCCAATGACCATGACCGAAGCTGATAAAGAAGAAGTTTATAAGAATGTTGAAATATTGTCTTCTGAAGGGTTGAGAGTACTTGCATTTGCAACAAAAAGCTTCACCGAAAAGGAAGCTCTAGAGCTCGGGTCCAAGTTAACCAAGGACCGGGACTTTGTGGAAAGCGACTTGATTTTCCAGGGTCTAGTCGGTATTTATGATCCACCAAGAGAAGAGACTGCTGGCGCGGTCAAAAAGTTCCATAAAGCAGGAATCAACGTGCATATGCTCACGGGTGACTTCCCAGGAACTGCCAAGGCAATTGCCCAAGAAGTTGGAATCTTACCCCGTAATATGTACCACTACCCAAAAGAGGTGGTGGATGCGATGATCATGACTGCTACTCAATTTGACCAGCTTGCGGACGATGAAATTGACGCCTTACCTGTTTTACCACTGGTTATTGCCCGTTGCAGTCCAGCCACTAAAGTGAAAATGATCGATAGTCTCCACCGCCGCGAAAAGTTCTGTGCGATGACCGGTGACGGTGTCAATGACTCACCAAGTTTGAAGATCGCCAATGTTGGAATCGCGATGGGTATCAACGGATCTGACGTTGCGAAAGATGCCTCTGACATAGTCTTGAGTGACGACAATTTCGCATCAATTCTTAACGCTGTCGAGGAGGGCCGTAGAATGACTGACAATATTCAAAAGTTCGTCCTACAACTGCTAGCAGAGAATGTAGCTCAGGCCCTTTATCTGATGATCGGTCTCGCTTTCTTAGACCAGCATCATTTATCAGTATTTCCCCTCTCGCCTGTGGAAGTGTTGTGGATTATTGTAGTGACGTCATGCTTCCCAGCCATGGGTCTTGGTTTGGAAAAGCCTTTGCCTGATATCATGGAAAAACCACCAAAAGATTCTAAAGCAGGTATCTTCACCTGGGAAATAATTTCTGACATGTTTGTCTATGGTGTGTGGATGGCCGCTTGCTGTCTAGCTTGCTTCGTGAGTGTTGTTTATGGTAAGGGCGAAGGAGAATTGGGTATCAATTGCAACAACAAATTTACTGAAAGCTGTCATTTTGTTTTTCGCGGCCGTGCTGCAGCATTTGCCACAATGACATGGTGCGCTTTAGTCCTTGCCTGGGAAGTTATCGACTTGAGAAGATCATTTTTCAAAATGCAACCGGAAACAGATACACCTTATACACAATGGATGAGAGATGTTTGGTCTAACCAATTCTTGTTCTGGTCGGTGGTTCTTGGCTTCGTCTCAGTATTCCCTGTAGTGTACATTCCTGTGATCAATCATGATGTCTTCAAGCACTCTGGAATCGGCTATGAATGGGGAGTTGCTGTTGCATTTACAATCCTATTTTGGGCTGGCGCTGAACTTTACAAGTACTTCAAGAGAGTTTATTACAACAACCAAGACCGTGCCAGCAACCCCGAGAAGGATTTGGAGAGCAAACGTGTCCATGATCCGTTCGAGAAATACAACAGTTCATATTCAACTTCGACATCCGTTAACACTACGAATGTGCTGATGAAGTCGTAAGATAGAATTTCACTTATATAATTACCGAGATCCGGTTAAGCACACTTCACTAATCACAACGTTTAGATCAATAATTCATTTTGATATCACACTAGCTTTTAGATTTAAGTTATGCAATCGATTTTATAGCTTCGTTGAGCAGCGTCACGGCCCTCCAAACGTCTTGGAAAGTGTTGTAGAGGGGCACAGGTGCAATCCTTATCACGTCTGGACGGCGCTCATCGACTATCACACCTCGTTCGTTCAAGTAATCAAAGACTCTTTCCATTGTGTCGAGTTTACGATCGTCATGATGTGGGAAAAACAATAAAGATAATTGAGCGCCTCGTTCTTTCTCCGCCAATGGGGTGAGGATGGTAAAACCTGCGGTTGAGGTATTCTTTGGCAATTTTTGGTGATAATTTGGCAATGCCGTTAGAAGTTCGACAAGGTAGTTCGTTAGTAGCAACGATCTTTCTCTCAACGCATTAATTCCACCGAAATCTTGAATAATCTCGAGTGATGACTTCAATGCAACAACGTCGATCACGCTGGGGTTAGATTGACGAAATCCTAAAGCTCCTGAAATCGGTTCAAAAACTTCCTTCATTTGGAATCTTCTCTCTCTGTTGTTGCCCCACCATCCGGCCATACGTGGTAAATAACGACCATTATCCGATGACCCAACCTGGCTATGCTTCTCATGCACAAATATACCTGCTATTGCCCCAGGACCGGAATTGAGGTACTTGTAAGAGCACCAACATGCGAAATCTACGCCCCAGTCATGTAACGCTAATGGAACGTTACCTACCGCATGTGCCAGATCCCATCCAACCACAACGTCTTTGAACTGGTGGGCGAACTTGGTAATTTTCTCCATGTCGAACCACTGGCCTGAGTAGTATTGGACGCCCGGCAAGCAAACCAGAGCGAGTTCTTCATGATTATCGCTAATCGCTCTGATAATATCGTCCGTACGTAAATAGGATTCTCCTTCACGAACCTCCAACCTTATGAGAGCTTCTTCTGGATCAACTTTGTGCAGTGCACATTGATTGTACAAAGCATAAAAGTCCGATGGGAATGCACCTTTTTCGCACAGAATTTTGAATTTTGAAGAAGTGGGACGGTAAAACGATGCCATCAGAGAGTTCAAATTTGCCGTAAGCGATCCCATTACGGCTACTTCGGACTCCAAGCCACCTACTAATGAGGGAAGCAGATTGGATAACGGCAAATCGATGTCCATCCAAGAAGTGAGTCCTTGTTGTTCTCCAGAATGCCGGAAATGGGATTCCACTGCACGATCGGCCCATGCATCCAGTTCTTTGTTAATCGCATTTCTTGTTGATTTAGGCATGCATCCTAAAGAGTTTCCACAGAGGTAAGTGACAGTTGAGTAATCCGATTGATTCGCTCCATCGCTTTTCAAGCCCATTGATCCATAGCTGGGAATACAGAAAGCATCACGGTGAGTGGCAGGGTATCGATGGTCCAGAGAAATAGCTCTTTCCATGTTTACTGATCTGAATTGACTGTGATTTCAGTAAGATTTGAGGCGATGAGCATGAACAATTTCAATATATATCGTTTAATAACCTATGTATTCTTGAAATACAACCAAGAATGATTAAACGGGTATATAAAAGGTACCACAACTTCGAGTTCTAGGTTCGGTTTGAATCGCTATATATGGAATGATGTACCATCTTTGTTAGAAACCTCTCCGGGAGCTGGAATCCTCCTTTATGTATGGTTGTAGTTTTAGTTGAAATACTCAAATGTCATCGAGGTGACAGCGAAAACGAAATCTTATTCTGCACGCTAATGGCATCGACTAGGCTCAAAACTGCAATGAGATTGGGACAAAAGATTTATCAGCCCAATGATTAGAGAATAGGTATAACGTTGGGTCCTACTGGTGCCGTGAGCGATTAGAATGGCAGCAGGCACAATACGATGTTTAGTCGTCTCTTCGTCATAAGTAAGCAAGGCAGCATGGTATGTTTATAATGGAATATGTTCTATCTTTATCATCTGACGAGTCTTCTTAAGTGAAGGTATTGTCTGATTGCGGATCAGCAAGGTTATTGAATCCTGGAATCCTCTCACAGTCAGACCTATTCATTACATTTCATTGAGCAAACCTAGATTTGCTCCGTAAGTGGGCACCATATCTGTATAGAACGAATGGGACAAGTGCAAGCGCCAAACATAAAAATCCCACCAGAGACGACCCCCAGGCCACAGGATATCCTTTGATGGCCAAATTGTCGTACATCGCTTTTCCAAACAGAGGGAATACACATGCGAAGATTGCACGACACACATTATTACCAGCAAATACCGAAGCCGTGTATTTCGGATAAGACATGGCCATGTAGGAGAAGACCGATTGGAAAACATTGAACTGGCCGACAATGAAAATCACTTCTGTGATGACGGGTATAATCCAATGAACGGATGCAGCCCATCCAAATAGAAACAGCGAGCAAGGTAGTGTCCAACACACCCATATTGTCAAGATCAAGTGCGTTTCCGGTACGAAAGTGTTGTTGGCGACTCGCTTGGAAGCATAAAACCTGAAAAATAGCATGGCAACCCCATAAGCGGTGACGCATCCAACACAGAACCCAAGATATGCCAACCCCAATTGCACCGGTGTGAAATGATACACTTGGTTAAAAACGATGGGAAACGCTTCGAAAAACAAGTAAAATACACCGTATTCTACCGCGTGGTACAAGTTTAAAGCCACCACGATCGGCTCTCGGGCAATGATTTCGAACGGCCGGTACAACGTCGTGACCATGATATCTCTCCAGGAAAGTTTCTCCTCTTCCTTGGACTTTAAAGTGTAGTAATTGTTATTACCGGTAGCCTTTCTGATTCTTCGGCATCTCCGATACAAGATTGTATCTTCATTTGTCTCTGGGAAGAAGAAGACCATTGATAGCAACGTAGCAGCACTAATCCACATCATCAGCCAGAACATGTATCGCCAATTTTTGGCAACAAGCATTGCGGCTCCAAGCAAAGGGCCCGTAGCAGGGCCTGCTAGTGCACCAATCGACCACAAACCAAGTACTATGGGAACATGCTGCGGCTTTACAACGTCCGCAACAGACGCAGCACCGTTAGTCAATGAAGGAGAGCAAAAAACTCCGGCTAGAAACCGAAGAATCAACAGACCGGTTATGTTTTTCACCAAAGCACACCCCATGTGCAGTAGCATGTAGATGAACAAAGTTCCGATGAACAGCGGTTGACGTCCAAACGCAACAAGTTCGGAAAGTGGTCCGAACACCAGTGGGCCTAGTCCAAATCCCAAAATGTATAACGACAAGTTCAGTGTCCCGAGTTCATGTCCTACATGGAATTCGTCTTGTATCAATGCTTGTCCCGGGGTGTAAAATGACGTCCCCATGTATGTGACGCAGGTTAGAAGCATCACATTGCATACGACGACAAATCGTTTGATGGTGGGCCAATTGTGTGGATGTTCCGGATCGAGTCTGCCACTAAATTCGACCAAATACTGATCTGTTTGGTCTTGAGCCTCCAATTTTTTACCCGAAGCGCAATCCTCGGGTTCATCTTCTAAATCCATATTTTCCACTGACGCTGGCACGCCATAATTTTCTAATTTGACCAACCCAAGAGACTCCAGAACGTCAACTGCAAAAGTATTTTGGTATGAATCAAAGTACATTCTCGAATTGTATTCCGAATGGATTACCAGCTAGGAGTCTCTCGACATTGCTTTCTATTACGGCTGAACGTTGTAAATTGTTCTTTTATAGCAAGTAATCTTAGTCAAAGAGCGCTTCGATGATGACTCGTACAGCTTGATGCCTTGATGTAGGTGTAGTTTGCTTAACAGTGAATACTCGAACAAACCACGAACAAAGGAGCGATGATAAACGGCTTGTAAGTGCGGTGGAACTGCGGGAATGAGCGGGGAGAAACCTTGGAAGAAGACCGAGACTACCGAGACTGGGCTTGAGAATTTATTTCACGTCATTCGCAACTATAGTTCATTATCTCCTTAATCTCCGGGTGCGGAAAAGTTGCCTTTTAGGTACGAAAAAACGTGTAGGGAACATAAGTCTCGTATTCAGCATTTCCACAGTTTTGTAGGTTGTTCCTGGATTGTTGAAAGGTCAGCTTTCGGAAGTTTGTAGCTACTAAGCAAGGTGGTCCTAAATATTTATGTATATGTTATTCTTGGGCGCAAATTGCGGAGATGCATCCATGATTGTGAATGACAAGGCTATTGCGTGTTTTTCCAGATCCACCAATCCGTAACTCTTCGCTTGGATAATGTTCTTGTCGTGGTGGTGACGGTGATCTATTCTTGTGATATTTATTCAACTCCACCGTATAACGTGATTTGATGGACAACTAGCGAAGCGTTGATCGCATTGGAAATGGGTTCGCTATGTGATTCGATTAATGATCGGGCTTGTTTATTTCGCCCAGGCTCTTTTCAACGAGTGTGTGTTTGTCTTCAAAGTTGCCATCCCGTGTGATGAATACAGTTTGATATAAGAATTGAGCATATTCATTCGAATCGAACATATTCATTCGAATTGCGCATATTCACACATGTCCGTATTCTTTCAACGCCTTTCAACGCCTTTCAACGCCTTTCAACGCCTTTACGCCTTTACGCCGCCCCACCACGCTGCTTTCCATCTTTCTCGAAAAGTCACATGATCGCTTGTCCCAACATCTTATTCTCTTCCTCTTCTTTCCCATAACCATGGCCATAAAGGTAAGTCTTCTCTTCCTCTTTGGCAAGCTACGCTCTTCTCTTCCTCCCTGGCCACCAAGGCATGTCTTTCCAATAGAAAGACCCCAGATAAACCCACACACCACACCACAAAACCATATTTCTTCCACAAACTTCCGAATTGCAAATATCTCCTATTGTAACCCCAGGTACTTAGCTACTCTCAAATACTAGTCCCACGAGCAAACTCCGACTTTTGCTTGTAAGCTGTTACGCACAAAACTGGGAAAGCACCAGGGTCATAGTATACGAAATTATCGCATACAAATTTACTCTATATGCCATTCTCCTCCCACATCGAGTCTTAGAGAGTGAGAACTACTAAAACTACTACAACTACAAGCATCGGAACCTATATCGACCTGCACTTCAAGCTTTTGAAGTGTCGAAACAGTGTAACCTTAACTTCGTCTACGTCACGTGACACGAGCTATTGTGACACCTTCTCCTGTTTTGTGTCTCTGATTCACTGGCCCTCACTATCCTCTCACACCAAGGAGCGCGAGCTCACACTCACAACGTTTCTTCATCTTGAAGTTTTGGGTAACTTGAGGTCTTTCCACCCATCACGTCGTACGAAACATTTTTTTATTGTGTCACTTTTCTTCTTCCCACTCCGTTTCTTTACACACACTCCCCGTAGCACGCTGGTGCTTCAGATGATAGCCACCATCTCATCGTATCACTACAATCCACATATCTCTCTACTGCTGTGTTCCTATATCACTCCATACGAGGTGACACCAGGGGCTCATAATTAATGCCCAGTTTAAAATAAATACCACTTTTCCCAAAAACTATAATAATCTAAAACCATTATTATATATCTGCTTTTGCCGCACACGCCATTTTTAACACAAAAAACCGCACGTTAACACACTTCACACCACCAAATATGCCGGTTGGAACCGAGCTACACACGCGTCACGACGTGGCCGACACGTCTGAGCATTTGAACGCGCAAAATGCGCGTTCAAACGCTCCCGTTACGTCCACTGTTGCCGCTGACACTACGCGAACCACGGTTCAGCAATTAGCGCATGAAAACGACGATTTGGAGACTGCAAAGCCAACTTCTGCACCGCAAAACACCCCCGAACCGGACGAACCGGCGGTCTCTGCCGCCAAGCCGCCACTGATCCACGACGACAAAGACCCCAATATTGCACCGTTATCGTCGTCGACAATAACCACAACAACACCGGGAGTCCCGTCAATGACCGGAACAACTCCACGACTAGACCACGCTTACAGTACTGAAAGCACAGTGGCTACCCATCCTGCGGAATACTCTGGATTTGGTGGTTCTGTTGTTTCTAACCCAGGTCAGGAGTCGTCAGTGTCCTCCACATCACCAAAACCGCATGTCAGAAAGATCACTGTGGACGGTACTAGTAGTGCGGCGGCAATAGGAGCCGCGGTCATTGTGGACGGCACTGACAGCGGGTCAAACCCGCGTCCGGACACCCAGACACCACGCGATGTCAATGACAATACTAACAAGAATCATACAGGTTCTACACCATCTACAACGGAAACTTCTGTACAACTACCGCATATCACCACGCTCCTAACCCTGCCGAAAATTCCCAATGAACCTCGTCATCGTAGTCATGCCGCTTCGCCCAATTCGATCTTAACCGGACGCAACGTTTTTGCTACTTCTGCGTCCCGCAACTCACTTCCTAGCGGCGGTGCTGGTGCGGGTAAATTCGATAAATTACCGCTACGTGGTGCCAGCAGTTTTAGTGGTGTCAGTAGCAGTAGTCGCAGTGGTGTTGGCACTCCGCTGCTGCCGGTCACCAACAACAATAGGACATTTTTGACACCACATCGGCTGAGCTTCAATACACACCAAATGGCAACTGATCCGCATGTATCATTGGTGGATCATAACAAGATCGACATTTCGTCATTACTGAACTCCCGAGGTGAAGACGTTTACACTTTACGGTCCCGCGAGCAATTAAGTTCATCTCCGGCATTCCAGGGACTAGGAAATGATGAAAACGAGAGTGGGGCCTTCAGCAATGACAACAACAATAATGGGAACGGAAGTGACAATGGCAACAATAACAACAATGGCGTAAACGACAATGAACTCCACAATCATGGTAATGACCAGAAATTAGACCATCGCCACGGAAAAGACTTACACAATCGTGGTGGGAATAATGGTCGCTCAAGGGCGAGCAACCCACTTCATCCACCGTCTGCGTCAACTGTCGTGGTGCCACCGCCCAGAACACAACCAGGACGCATCAAATCCAAGTTCGACGATGTACGTTCACGTCTGTTACTCGATCCTAATGCAATCCCACCGCGTTCGGACCATTTTGGGTCGTCGTCATCCGCTCGATCCGATGATGAGTTTGCAGCTGCAGGTGCCGCAGCAGCTATTATGACCAAGATGCGGTCGTCACCTTACGAACATCATGACGAACCAAACGTCTCTAGTCGCCCTGGATCTGCTAGCTTTAGACACCATATGCGGCCAATAATTCGCATTCATCAACGCGAATACGAACCCAATGAAAGCGATGAAAGTGCAGTAATAGAGGATGATACTGAAGACGAATCCTACGAAGAAGGATCTGGACCCGCTACGGATAAAATCAGCTGGAACAAAAGTGGGATGAGGAAACGGGTCACTCGACGTCAATCTGCACCATCCTCAAATTTTAAGCGTCGCCATTCCACCAAAGTAGAAGATTTGAATCCGAGCACGCGTACTTCACGTCATTCTTCGACTTCTTCTGCATCCACAGTCACGTCTTTACTTTCAGCTGCAAAACTTTTGGGCAAAAAACGAGGCGATAAGACCGTCAAAGAAGAAACAAAAGACCTTCATTGGGATGGTAAAGATCCAACGTTGTCCCCACCCACCTCGCCAAAAACTAGCAAAGTACGGAGGAAAAACGCAGCGGGTTCGAGATCGAGAAGCGGATGCTGGATTTGCAGGTTGCGTAAGAAAAAATGTACCGAGGAAAAACCAAGTTGCCATAATTGCATGCGTCTCAATCTGCAATGTTTCTACGACCACACCAAACCAGAGTTCATATCAGATCCCGTCAAGAAAAATGAAAAGTTAGAAGAAATAAAGAAGAAGACCAAAGAGGCAAAGCGCATGGCAATGAGAAGGAGGCCCTGAACATTTCTTCAATTTCACACATCCTTGACGATATATACTAGACTTCGGTTCTAATGACAATATACAAACACACGAAATTGCGTGAGACAAAAGTAAAATCAAGCTTATAGGATTCACAAAATACCAGGCAAAATAAAATTAGCTTCAACAAAGGCCTATTCTGTATTGAACTGAGATCTTGAATGCTAATACCCAGGATGCCCTGATTGCAGAAGTAATCACTTAATGCCTTTCACCTGGCCAGCAGTTGCAGGTTCCTTGTAAACATACAACTGGAAGCTTTCTTCTTGATGAACTTATTCGCTGACTGAGCAAGGAGCGCCGCAAATTTGGAAAGACAGTAAAGTAAAATTCAATTTGATGTAAGGTTTTCGGGTTGCGGTAAAACAAAACTGCAATGCAGTGTTTAGAAAACTGTGCATGAAAAAGCTGCAATTTCTCCATGGTGCTCTACCAATCATAGACAGGAAGTTTACTCCTTTTATTGAGCTTCGGAGCTCTCTTGGAATCTTGCGTGTCATGATGCCGGTATCATTTAGAAACAATGCTGGCACCATCACTTCCCAAATAAGCTCAACATATATCCTTACCCTAGATCGACTTGGGTAAGATATGGCCTCTGAGCACGAGAAACCTAATTTCGCAACGTGAACGTCTGGTAGTCTTCAACAAGTATTAATACTGTGGACAAGCATAGTTCCCTGGATATGCTTGGTTCTGTGGTCCCGCTTGTGGCACGTAGGCTGCTTGCTGAGCGAGAGGCATACCTTGACCTGGCTGACGAAGATTATAGGCCACTGGTTGGTAAGCAGGGGGCCAATACTGCATGTAAGGGTTGTTCATCATTGGTTGCGGTCCATTGACGTAATATGGAACCTCGTAGGTCTGACGAGTATCATGTGTAGGTGCAGCAACCATTGGTGCTGATGGATGAGCGCGCGGGCCCAATTGAACTTGAGGTGAGTTCGATGGGGACATTTGAAAAGCAGGATTGCTGTGTTGACTCATCACATGAGAATCTAGCATCGGGTTCACCACTGGAATCCCCGGGGGAGCACGAATGGAAGGAGCGGAGACCATACCGTTGATCATGCTTCCAGAAGGCATATGGGGCATTTCGTGAGAGGGTGTAGGTGCGATTTTTAGATTCGATTCACCAACGGAAGGGGAGGGAGAGCTTGAATGTAAGCTTGTAGAGGCATCGGATTTACCGGTCAAAACTTGCAAAGGCTTCATAGCGGAGACGGAAGATGAACTTTTGACCTCTGCTGAGTTGCGGTTGGTGAATTCCATACTTGGTCTCACCTCCAAAGTTGCAGGCGCAAGGGGTACCGAAGAACCGCTGTATCCACCTAATTTCGCAGACGAAGCCACCGAAGTCTCGGATTCGTTGTTGCGCGAAAATAAAACAGGGCCACTTAAGGCCTTTAGTGCACCATCGGATCTATGATTCAAGCGTTGCGCTGCACCCGTCCTAATGGCCGATCTGACAAACTTCTTGTCCATAAGTTGGATCCCGCAAGAATTCTTCAACAAGAATTTCTTACCCGAAACCGCGATAGCACTGAGTCGCAACGCGTGTTCTTCTTTTTTAGAAAGCTTTTTGTCTACCATTCCGATTAAAGCCTTTGAGGCATCGTCCGCGTTGAAAAGGTCAGAATCCTTGAAATCGGATAAGGAGTATTTCAGCGGTTTGAATTCTCTCAAAGTGACGTCCTCTTCAAAATAGTAAGGGCGGTGAGGTCTATGATTTGAACCGCTTTCCAGTTCACGACAACCGGTTCTCTCTTGAATGGCGTTCATTAAGTGCATCATTGCCTCACAGAAGTTGATGTTTCTATGAGCAAAATGGAGTACAGTCTTGTTTGCCATTAGCCAACACTCGGTAACACGAACAAATGCGAGGTACATCCATTCTTTCTCATTTGTTAATTCTGCGGTAACAGCACTGCTGATAAAATTGCTGATGTAGTCCATGGCAAACTCAAGGTACTTGGCTTCATTCGCTTGTGCTTGGGGCAAGTCCGGGCTCTTACGATTGAGCGTTTTGAGAATGTCGAAACCAGCTATAATCAAAATTAAATTCTGGAAAATCAACTGCAGGTTTTTCGAGTACCTCGTTGCAGTCTTATGCATAACTTCCTGTTGTACATGAGAGAGCATGACTTCACTGATGAGGTTTTTTTGATCGTTACCGATCCACAACGCTGGTGAGAATTTTGAACCGAACAAAACCAAGAAATAAATTTCAATGATTTCACGATTGACGATTTGACCCCTCGTGGCCTGTTTGTGAACAGCGTGGAAACTTTCCACTATCTCATTGAAGATCTTGCTATTGCGTTCGCACACAGAATTCATGAAATTTCCAAAACCTGCACTACTTGGAAGGCGCGAAAGAGCACTTCTTGCGAAAGAATAGGTTGAGGAACCGTAGTTCTTTAAATGAACGTAGACCAAGCCTTCTTGCAAATAAAGTTCTCCTACCGAGGGAAGTACCAAAGTTGCTAGATCAAAGTACCGCATTGATTTTTTGAAGTGGGCTACATTTGGCGCTCCGTTAGTAGTATGCTGGGGCTTTTCGCACATGCTTTTATAGCGGTGGCAGGATCCCAAATTGAGCAGACACCCGTGGATCAGAAACATCATCGAAACGGCCCTAGGGTCGTCTTTGTGCAAAACAGGCCTCTCTGTAGCGGCGACAGCAGCTGCCGCGGGCTTGGCTTGCGGCTGCACGTTTAACTGCCGCAGGAGAGGCTCCGGGATGATGGCATGGAGGTCAAACTCAGCCGTGAGCTTTTCCAAAAGCCCATAGTAGAACTTATGGATAATTTTGAAGAATTTCGTGAGCTTTGCGTTCATTTTGCGCAATTCCACAATCCGCGGTTTTTGGTCCACTTTGACTGTCAGCAAATGCTGTCGCCACAATTGGAACCATTTCAGGACCGGATAGTGCACATTTTTCCAGCAGCAGTCCATTACACGCTGTGCCAGTTCTGGTTCCACGTTATTTTGAGCCGTTGCTGCTGCTTCGTCCACATACTTGATGCACTTTGAGTGCGCAAATGTCAAAAACCCGCTCAAAAGAGCATCGTCCTGAACCGTGGCGTACGTCTGTAGAATCCCACTGACTTGCTCTTGATATTTTTTGAAATGCATCGCCATCTGCGGCACTTCTCCGGCTTCAGCGTTCGACATAGGCTTCGTCGTGATTCTTTATAGTTTTTCGCTTATAGATCGAAGTTGGTAGCGTTAAAACCGGATTTTTTTACATATGTACACACTTCGATGTTGAAGCTACCCCTGCTGACTCACAGTCGACAAAAAGTGGTTTTGTTAACCTGTTTACGCAGCTTTTTAAAACATTTCGTATGAGTTACGTTACCTCATCGCTTTCTTGACGCTTTTATACTTGATTCATAAATTTTTCACTGTTTATGTCACGATAACATTTTAGTGACACTTGCATACAATAAATGAAAAATGTATAAATACAGCAAGCTCATCGCCTGTTCTTTGAAAGAAGATAGAAAGAAAGATCGTGGGGGGATTTACTTGGTTTGTATAGTGTATATAGTGTATTTGGCGGCTAATGCCGCGGGTGCTGTGTGTTGCAGAAAAAAACTCCATTGCAAAAGCTGTCGCTGGGATTTTGAGCGGTGGAAATTCATCTAGACGTGATAGTCCCAGCAAGTATATAAAAAACTATGATTTTAGCTTTGATTTTGCGTTTGCAGGGTCGAGCGAGGTGACAATGACGTCGGTGGCCGGCCACCTGACGGGGTTGGACCTGGATCAGGCGCATGGATGGGGCAAATGCCCCATTCCACAGGTCTTCGATGCTCCCATCGTGGATATACGCACAAAGGACCAGGAGAAAATGGCCAGCAATATCAAGCGGGAAAGTCGCAATGCAGACTTTTTGATGATTTGGACGGATTGCGATCGGGAGGGAGAATATATCGGGTGGGAGATCGTCCAAACAGCATTACAAGCGAACGGCGCGCTTCGCAACAATGTGTATCGGGCCACATTTTCGCATTTAGAAAGTCGCCACATTCTGAATGCAGCTCGAAACCCAAACCGACTGGACCAGCGTGCTGTAGACGCGGTTCGGACCCGGATGGAGGTCGATTTGAGATCCGGGGTGGCTTTTACGCGGTTCTTGACAGAACTGTTAGGATCCAAGATCGAACGTGATTTGGGGGGGCCCAAGCCTAACCAACAGCGGCCAATTATTTCGTACGGTACGTGCCAATTTCCCACGCTCGGATTCGTCGTCGACCGGTTTGAAAGAATCCGGAAGTTCGTATCTGAAGAATTTTGGTATCTTGTTCTCACGCTCTCCACCGGTTCCAATAAGACCACATTTCAGTGGGAAAGAGGCCATCTTTTTGATCGTCTTGCCGTAGCAGTGATCTACGAACTGTGCATCGAAAGCTCGCGAAACCTTGCCAAGGTGGTTAACCTAAAATCGAAACCAACCTCGAAATATCGGCCCTTCCCGCTAACGACAGTGGAGCTACAAAAAAATTGCTCCCGGTATTTCAAAATGAGCGCCAAAGTCTCGCTAGAAGCAGCCGAGAAACTGTACCAGAAGGGTTACATATCATACCCCAGGACCGAAACTGACAATTTCCCACAAGCGATGGATCTGCGAGCGCTGGTACAGCAACAAACATCAGATAATCGCTGGGGTACATATGCTGGAAATTTGCTCAATGACGAAGGCCCGAATCGATTCCAATGGCCTAGGTCCGGAAAACATGATGATAAAGCCCACCCTCCTATTCACCCGATTGTAAGCGCAGGTGCTGGATTAGACGACGAAAACCAAAAGAAGGTATATGAATATGTCACCCGACATTTTTTGGCGTGTTGCTCCGAAGATGGTAAGGGACATTCCACCACAATGACATTACAATGGGGCCCTGAGTTTTTCAACGCCAACGGCATTGTTGTACTCGAGAGAAACTTTCTTGACGTTTACGTTTACATGAAGTGGGATTCCACTCAGGAGCTTCCGAATTTGAATGTTGGGCAAAGCGTTGAATTGTCATCCTATCTGATGAAAGATGGTCAAACTTCTCCACCCAACCAGATGACTGAAAGTGAGTTAATTTTGCTAATGGATGCAAATGGAATAGGTACTGATGCTACGATTGCCGAACATATTGAGAAAATACAGCAAAGAGATTATATCAAGAAGAAAAAACTTAACAAACAAACGTATCTTATTCCAACAACGTTAGGAGTCTCTTTAGTTCATGGGTTCGAGGCTATCGGTTTAGAAGATTCTTTTGCCAAACCATTTCTTCGACGCCAAATGGAGATTGACCTGAAATTGATATGTGACGGTCTTAAAAACAGGAACGAGGTCGTGAATGATTTTATCACCAAGTACCAAGACTACTATGGCTTGACCAATACAAGGCAGAACAAGCTTATCGAAACATATACCGATATCAAGTCGATAATGTAATTTTTATATGCTAAACAGATATTGAACTAGATATGTGCAGGAAATGAACAAGTCTGCGGTAGGCTCGTGCTTGGAAGAAATCAGGGAAGAGCGGGCGCGTCAGAAACAGCAAAAGATCGGCACCAGCATACAGATTCTTTTGGTTCTACCTGCACCCAAGCTTTGATGCTCGCGTCACTGAGGATTTTCTCCACTCGTTTCTTTATTATCGCGGAGTTCTCCCCATCCACGTACTGGACGTGAATGTAGCCGATGAGAGTTTGTAAATTTTCGCTTTCGCATCCATGGTCACTGCCTGACTTTTCACTACTTTCCGAATGAGAATGACTATGGGAATGCGAGTGTCCTCCGTGCGAAGCAGATGACGTTAAGGGCCAAAACCGTGGAGTGGTATAGCCAGTGATGCCCGGGGTCATGGAAATTTGATTCAGTGCGCTTTTGAGGTTACTCGCTTGCTTGTCATTCAGCTTGAGTAGTATGCTTGCTGTGGTAGACTTGATTAGAGGTATGGAGCTCAAAAGGATCAAAACAGCAATGAATATCGAAGCTATGGGGTCGAAAATCTGAGAACCAAATAATTTGGTCAACAAGGTAGATATGACGACACCTACGGAACCAAGTGTATCAGCCATGATATGCAGAAAGATACCTCGCATATTTTCATTGCTACCATCGTGACCATGTCCACCATGATCGAACGCGAAAAGCCCTACAAGATTCACCAGCAGTCCCAGGAATGATACTACCAGAAGCTCAGTTGTTTCCAGCAAAGTAGTGGGGTTGGAAATTCTATCAATGGCCTCAACTAAAATACCAGAGACGATGCCAATCAACAGCACGCCATTAGTGAAACCCGCTAAAGTTTCAAGGTAGCCAAGAGCAAAAGGGAATGTGTCGCTTGCTGGCCTTTTAGACAAGATGCCGGCAACCAGTCCGAGCAAAAGTGAAAGGCAGTCCAATGCCATGTGTAAGGAATCTGACAGTAGCCCAAGTGACTTGGAGCGGAACGAGTAGAGTAATTGCACGAACATGAAGGCAGTGTTGAGTAGAAGGAACGAAAAAATAGTCCTTGTCTCTGGGTTCGTGGCAAGTTGAAGGAATAGCTTGGAGTTATCTGATGAGCTCCCATTAGTGCTCGAATTACTGCGGTTGTGCTGATGAGTATGATTATGTCCATGGGAATGAGCATGGTCATGGCTATGAGAATGGTTATGGTTTTCACAACTGTCATGATCCTGTTCTTCGCACAAGGGTGTGCCATTGTCGAGATGATCTGTTCCAGTATATTGACAGGTTTTGAATGACACGACGCCGCTGACCACAATAAACAGCAAAAGCGTCGTATCTGCAGCAAGAGCAGAGGGCAAAGTGTTAGACGATATGAATTGCAACACCATTGCTGCGAGTCCCAAGATCGGCGGGATGTAATTGGAGCTCAAAACTCTCCGTGCACTTGTCAAACTAGCTTCCCGCCAAATTTCCTTCCAACTAACAAATAGCAGCGCGAGACACCCGAAATAAACAAACATCATTGAATATTGTATCTCTAGACCCGATTGATCCATGTTAGGTAAAATTTCAAAGTGATCAGTCACCACTATGTGCAAAAAAGCTACCAGAATCACAGAAAAAGTGGCAAAATGAACAGGTCTTAACTGCTTTCCACGCATAATGTCTAAACCTAGAAATTTGACATCTTTCAGGTAGAGAGTCATTAATATTACAAGATAGCTTGCAATTGTCTTGAGGTAGGATGTGCTTCTTAAGTAGTCAGTGAATAAGCTCAAAATGGGAAGCACTGCATATAGGCCATCGAAAGAATTTACTCCACAAAGTAATTGCAACAAGAGAGCAGATAGCACAGACGTTTGAATATGTCCCAATAGCGAATTTAGTGAGAGACTCACGAAAGCTAGTCCAAAAACCGAATTCAGCCGCTCTATTGTACCCAAAGCACCACCCAAAGCGGCAACAGCTGAAGCACACAGTAGAGGGGTAATTAATTGCTCTATAAGAAGCTCTGTAAATCCAAATCCAGCCGATTCACTAGCATTCTTACCACTTCTGGTCACGATCAAATTACTGCTCAACAGCACCGTCGGATACGAGAGTATAACTGGAATCCGGGAAAGCACATCGTCGATGCCCATGTGGATAAATGCAAAGCAAGAAACTTGATGGCTTTTAAACTATAGCTGATGTGTCAAAGAAGGTATTTGGTTCAAGAACTGGAGCATGAGACCTGAGAGGTAGTGACATGGATAGTTGATGGGTGCGTACATAACGATCTTGAAATTGGATCATTTGATTCTAAACTGTCATCGCATTTCGTGAAGTCGTGCTTGCCCGAAGGTCCCTGGAATATCGATGAAAGGTGTGAGAACAAAGTGGGATTGTCAAGCGCTTCTCGAGTTTGTGTTGTTGCCAGCTTTGGCAATAAAACTTGGAAATTTCAAATCGATGGGATTATAAAATACAAAGAGATGTGGGCTGGTGGTATAGGGTACGGTAGATAAAAAGTTGTTGTTGAGGCAGACATGGAGGAGCATGCTAAGGAGTCCGGTACGAAACTATATCAGGGTCTTTGAGGTGAATGAGAGAAACGTCAATTCGTGCAGGATGAGATAAAGAGACTCTATCACGTGACACAAATCGAAGCCATATAGCCACTCACACACGCCCTCACATTCACACAAGTTGTACCCACTGCGCTATTAGGACTAGAGCCTTTCTTAATTTCCCAGCTTGTATCTGATCTCGTTGCAGTAGAAATAACTCTCACGCTCCCGTATAAAATTATACAGGACCACGAATTTTTGACTCCGCCAAAGAGGATTACGTAAGCTTCTGATCTGCTTGACTCCTTCTCGAAAGATCACTTTCTACTAGAGCTGACATCAAGGTGTCACAATTCTTTCGCCACGAGATTGGTCTCCGCGAAATCACCCCATCATAAAACGCATAACGTAGACCTATAATTCTCGCATTGTATCCTACATATGCATCATCCCAGAGGCTTCATTCAAGATAAATTCACCACCATCACGTGACTCCTCTCATCCTGTCCCATCAAATTATGTATTTCACACTATTAATTAACTATATTCTATATGAATGCTACTGAAAAACCGATTTAACCCAACATCGGACTCAGTTTACGATATCTCACGTTATTCAAAACCCACACGAGAATGCCACAATTTTGGAAATTCATACCACTAGGTTGCCCGGGCACGGCACTAGCGGATTACCCGACATCAATAATCACGATTCTCTCTTTCTTTTACCCAATAAAATATTAAAAATTAGAAAAATCCCACCAAAAAAAAAAAAAATGCCAATGTTTCTCGACATCAAAATCTCTCGATCCAGTCTCCAGTTTTCTTTCTTTCCAGTCCCACTTTTTCTGAAAATAGCTTCCTTCTTGAAATAATGTAACTTCTTTATTATTGCTCCTCTTAACTCTTAACTTATATCTCTTTCTTCTTGTTTCTCCTAATGCCTTGGACTCTTGAAGATATAGACAGTAGTCCTGTCAATACTATTTCAAGCCTAAAAGACTGAAAACACAGACCTTCCCAGGTTGGATAACTTTTGATAACTTTCTAGACCAGACTCTTGCATCTTTTTCGCAGCAAGAACAATCAACAGCTGTATTTAAGCATGGTTAATGTGGTATTGGGCTCCCAATGGGGTGACGAAGGTAAAGGTAAGCTTGTAGACTTGCTAGTGGGAAAATACGATATTGTTGCCCGTAGTGCAGGAGGTAATAACGCAGGACACACGATTGTGGTGAAAGGTGTGAAGTATGACTTCCATATGCTTCCATCGGGTCTAGTGAACCCAAATTGCCAAAATCTGATCGGAAACGGTGTGGTGATGCACATCCCATCTTTTTTCCAGGAATTGGAACAACTGGAGGCCAAGGGTCTATCAGACGCTCGCTCAAGACTGTTTGTGTCTTCCAGAGCGCACTTGGTGTTCGATTTCCACCAACGCACCGATAAGCTCAGAGAAGCCGAGCTTTCGGGCCATTCCAAGGACGGAAAGAACATCGGAACCACCGGAAAGGGTATCGGCCCCACCTATGCCACCAAGGCATCCAGATCCGGTCTCAGAGTGCACCATTTGGTCAACGACGAGCCAGAGGCCTGGGACGAGTTTGTGGCCAAGTACAAGCGTCTTGTGGAAACCAGACAACAGCGTTATGGGCCTTTCGAATACGACTCAGAAGGTGAGCTACAACGTTTCAAACAATACCGTGAAGAGCTTAGACCTTTCGTGGTCGACTCTGTCGTGTTTTTGAACGATGCCATGCGTGCCAACAAAAAAATTCTGGTCGAGGGTGCCAACGCTCTCATGTTGGACATCGATTTTGGTACTTATCCTTTCGTCACATCTTCCAACACCGGTATCGGTGGTGTCTGCACCGGTCTAGGTCTACCTCCAAAAGCCATCGACGAAATCTACGGTGTAGTCAAGGCCTATACTACCAGAGTCGGCGAGGGTCCTTTCCCAACCGAGCAACTAAATGAATTTGGTGAGAAATTGCAAGATATTGGTGCCGAATACGGTGTCACCACTGGTCGTAAGCGTCGTTGCGGTTGGTTGGACTTGGTGGTTCTCAAATACTCCACTTTGATTAACGGTTACACTAGTTTGAACATTACCAAACTGGATGTTTTGGACTCATTCAAAGACATTCAAGTGGGTGTTTCTTATTCTTTAAGAGGTAAGAAATTGGCCTTATTCCCCGAGGATCTCATCACCCTAGGAAAGGTTGACGTTGAATACGTCACTTTGCCAGGTTGGGAACAGGACATCACCAAGATCACCGAATACAATGATCTTCCTGAAAATGCCCAAAAATACTTGAAGTTCATCGAGGACTTCGTTGGTGTTCCTATTGAATGGGTGGGCACTGGTCCTGCTAGAGAAAGCATGCTCTACAAACAGGTTAAATAGAAAAGCTACAATGAGGCGATTCTTTATTCTATATACGTAACTAAACAAAGTAAAATCAGGTCTCTGATCAGATACATATGAGCGCATCAACTCTTATACATATTCATTTTGTCTTTCAAATATGCAATAGTCAAGGTGATACGCTTGATAAAATCGTGTCCAATATTTCTGTCCAGGCAATATGGCTAAAAGCTTCTCGGGCAACGCAAAAGCACGTCCGAAAAACTTGGACCGCGAACTGTCGATAAATGGAGCCTTATAGATACATTTCCAGTCGCTGCCTAGTTTAGTCGGATCCAGGACATCTCGTGAGCCGTCACTCGGTAGCATAATGTCAATGTAGTAATCGCAACTGTCCGCGGAAACTAGTTTAGAAGAATCGAAAACATTCTGATTGTTCATCCCATAAGGTATCTCTCTAATGCTGTTGAAAATGCTATGAGTCTCCTTGAAATCCCCGGGCAACAAACCGTCAAATCCGGACTTTACAAACCCTAGCCTTGAGTCTTCAGCTAGAAAGATGGACGCTGGAAAATGATACCATTCACGACCTACACATACGGTTTGAGGCCCACCGTTGTTGGGTAAGTGAGAATAGACATCTAATGGTGCTGTGTAATTCGAAACAAGTGCTAAGACTCGCATGGAGCTTTGCAAAACGATTGACACATGTAGGATCAAAAAACTTAGGTTGCGCAGATGTTTGGATGTCGATAGACGTTTCCAGACGTTCACAGCACCGACACTAGCAGCCAACGATACGGTAGCATAGATTGGATACAGAAACCTTTCCTCCTTATGAGGCTGAAGCAAAAAAACGGCCATCCAGATCAGAAGCGACCCCCATATCGACACTAGCCTTATGTTGGTAATGATTCCTATAGCACAGGTCCCTAGAGTAGGAAGCGGGAAGTTTAATAGTAGATTCAAAGGATAATAATACCAAGGTTCCACGCCAAAAATGTTTGGTCCGCTTTTTTCATCGGCAGCAATGACGTTGTACATCACGATGTTCCAGGCCACAGGCGTGAACTTTCCGTAGAAGGCCGAGTCTATAGCGAAGACACACACGGCGACCGCCACGAGCCGCGCAAAAGAAGCGACACCGGCACTGAGAACCCCCCAAATTGTGTGTGTAAAAATGTAGTGAATTACCAAAGGAGTACTCAAGATGAGAACAAACGGCCAGCCTAATATGCCGCTCACGAAGTTGAAGATCAATGCCTGCACAAACGCCTTTTCAGATCTATTAGATAAATAACGCAGTGCGTACTTCAAGAATCCCAGCATCGTGACCATGGCGAATGAAGATGGTAGTAGCTCCACGGACGCGTGAAACCATCCAGGGTTGAAAACTTGGAAAAATAGCCATAAAGTGGCCGTGTGAGACGAAAGCGTTGTTTCGAGCTCACAGAACAGAAGCCACTCCATCACGAAGCTGTAAAGGCCCAACAAAGATCGGGCAAGGTAGAATAAAGTGGAGGGAGTGAGTCCCAGGGCGCCGACAAACTTACGTATTGGCGACAGCGATGCATACAGTGGGAGAAGAAACGCCCAGGAACGAATGGAGTAGTCTGGAGAGTACTCCCAGGTCTGCTTGCCAAAGCCGCGCAGCAAAAAGTTCAGAGGTTCCCAGTAATTGAAAGTTTCATCACAGTCCGAAATAAGCGAATAGAAGGGCTGGACAAAAAGCCTAGAGACAAGCAGCAGAGCTACCAGGAGAAGTGTGGATGAAGACCGCATCGGAGGGTGTGAAGTGGAAGGAAAGCTAGTGTCAAACACAAAAGTGATTGGAAAACGCTAATCGACTAAAGGACTTCGTGTATCCGTCAAATCAATTGTCAATCAATTGTTGTTACCGTTCGGCCAAAACTCACGATTATTATACGGTTGACGAGCTCTTCGAAAGCCTGTTGGCGACTAAAAGCAAAAAAGGGATCAATCTCACACTGTGACTAGCGACAAAGCTTCGATCTTTCAGGGAAACGATGTACTATTTTGTTAATTTTCACTGATGCCAGGTCGACCGTCATTTAAACATATAGATTGATCCATTATAAGTGACGACAGTATAGCTTTAAAATCGCTAAAGAACAAGTGACGAGATAGCCACAGACAGCCATAGTCCCATGATCCAAGAGTGTTAAAAAAGAGCTTTGAGGTGAAAGTTTGACCTTAATGAGTGTTTTCGCATCTCTAAGCTTGATTTTGAATGTTTTATCGTTTCCATCAAATATAACCCCGAGAAAATCGAGAATAATACCAAAAAATCAGCAGGTTACTCCGATATGTTACGCTAACGATAGAACTCATCAGGCCGAGTCAACGCGGCTCGGTTTGAGATTTCATCGGAGCTTGCGATTCGTCAAGTTTATCACTTTTGGTTTTACTGTCATTTTATTTCATCACGAGACTGGTGAAATTAAGAGCTCGAGGCCATAATATCACACACTAATTAGGTGAACCCGACCCGAACCAACATCTTGACTTCAAGAAACCGTTATTGAATGCCCCCCTGAGCGTCTATCCAACACAAAGTCATGACACAGAGTAACGGACCGATCAAGGTCGACAGTAAAGCGGTTTCGCAGCAGTTGCTGGACCAATACGACACCTTTTTGTTTGATTGTGACGGTGTTTTATGGTTGGGAACCCACTTATTGCCTCACATTAAAGAGACTTTGAATTTGCTTTTGACCCAGGGAAAGAAACTATACTTTGTTACCAACAACTCGACCAAGTCTAGGGCTGCTTACGCCAAAAAATTCGCGTCGTTCGGTATCGATGTCACCGAAGATCAGATCTTTACTTCCGGATATGCCTCGGCCTTGTACGTGAGAGACACGTTGAAACTAGTGCCCGGAACAGATAAAATTTGGGTTTTCGGCGAAGAGGGGATTGTTGACGAGCTGAAACTTATGGGCTACGAATCCTTAGGTTGCAATGACCCTCGGTTGAATGAGCCCTTTGATATCGCCACATCGCCCTTTATTGCCCAAGGTCTTGACCCAGCGGTTAAAGCAGTGATCGCAGGTCTGGACACCAAAGTCAACTATCACCGTCTTGCAATCACGCTACAGTACCTGCAGCAGCCAGACGTGAAATTTGTGGCCACTAACATCGATTCCACCTATCCCAACAAAGGCCATATCCTGCCAGGAGCAGGGTCGATGATCAACTGTGTTGCTTTCGCCGCCGGCAGAGAGCCCGCAGCATGCGGGAAACCCAATCCAAACATGCTGAACGCAATTGTGACCGCCAAACAGCTCAATAGGTCCACATGCTGTATGGTGGGCGACAGGTTGAACACCGACATCCGGTTCGGCGTTGAGGGCAAACTCGGAGGCACTCTTCTGGTTTTGACAGGCATCGAAACCGAAGAAAATGCTCTGGATGTTTCAAGTGACCATCCTTTACCCAAGTATTACGCCGACAAGCTCGGAGACTTATATGAACTGTTAAATTAAACCTGGTAGTAATACCAAAATTCCAGCATGATAGATGCAATCTTATAGTCAGGTTTAGAAGGCAGGCACAGTGCTGTCGTTATTCAAACCTAGTTATTATCATATAATGCGCAATACATGATTTTTGATCCATTGGTTCTATTACTTAAACTCAACTGCTTCTTTCACTGTAATTCTCTTACCAGAAAAATCTGATAAAGATGAATCAGTCAAAGAACGAGCAGTTGATATCATGTCCCATTTGTAACTCGAAGATCAAATATCATGCTATCAACGAGCATCTTGATAAATGTACTGCTCGCAAGAATGATAATGCGAAAGGACCCACTTTGAACAGTTTGCTGAGAGGTAAACGGAAACAACCTGGATCCGACGACATTGAGATCATAGAACCGACTCGTGTCGACAGCACCAAACGGTCAAAATTAGAGGCTTCACCATCTGGAAAGCCTCTGGATTCAGACAAGAAATCGCTAGTCGACAATATCGACGATGTCAAGCAACTACAGAAAAATATACATCAACCGTTGAGCGAAAAGCTGCGACCTAAGGAACTGAGTGAGTATGTGGGTCAGCAGCATTTGATCTCGAGAGAGTCGGGAGTTCTTTACAAGTATGTGAAGGAAGGATCTATTCCTTCGATGATTCTGTGGGGACCGCCTGGCGTTGGGAAAACCACTTTGGCAAGACTTTTGACCAAGACCGTAAATACCAAATTTCCTCACGGATTGACGTATACGCTGGTTCAAACAAGTGCCACCAAGGCCTCTACCCAAGAACTTCGAAAAATCTTTGAAAACTCCAAGCGTGAATTTACGCTCACCAAGAGGATGACTGTGCTTTTCATAGACGAAATACACCGCTTCAATAAGGGTCAGCAAGATACACTGCTCCCACATGTTGAAGCTGGAGATGTGGTACTTTTAGGAGCCACCACGGAAAATCCAAGTTTTCAACTCAACAACGCATTGATGAGCAGATGTCAGATTTTTGTTCTGACGAAGCTTAACACTGCAGAAATGTGCATGGTTCTCTCGCGTGGAATCAGCATGTTAAACAAATGCCGCCATTTGGTGTGGAAAGTGGGTCATCCATTGCGATTGGGCAAAGATGTTCTCAATTTTGTTGTGGACATTTCCATGGGAGACACGCGACGGGCTCTCAACCTTTTGGAAATGATTGAAGTTTCCACAAGAGATAGTCCAAATGAGCTTGATGAAAAGTCTGTACGAGAAATTATCCAAGGAAAGTCTTCAGAGCTGCGAACATATTACGACCGACAAGGCGAAAATCATTACGACACGATATCTGCCTTCCACAAATCCATTCGTGGAAGTGATGAAAATGCTACGATTTATTACCTGGCACGTATGCTGCAAGGTGGTGAGGATCCTCTTTACATTGCACGTCGAATGATTCGAATTGCCTCCGAAGACATCGGAGTGTTGGATCATACTTTGCTGCCGTTAGCGGTGGCGGCACACGACGCGGTCATGAAAGTTGGATTACCAGAGGCTGATCTAGCGTTAGCACAGTGCTCGGTAGCATTGGCCAGGGCTCCAAAATCCGTACAGCTGTACCGTGCGTGGAAGACGGTAAATGCTAAACTACGGGAAAATCAAGATTCGTTTGGAAGTTGCGGTATCCCAATGCATCTGCGTAACGCCCCTACTAAGCTTATGACGGAATTGGGATACGCACGGGACTACAAGTACAATCCTGATTTCAAAGACGGTAAGGTTTCACAGCAATACTTTCCTGAAGAAATTGTGGCGAGAAGTGGGGAGCAGGAAACTAATTTCATGAGTGGTCCACATCTTGGAGAAGCGAACGACCCCGATCTCTAGGTGGTAATCTTATTTCGCGTAAGTAGGATTGTAGTGCATCTTTATTAAACAGTTCACGACAAACAATGCGATTATACAGAGTGGTTATTGACGGTCTTCACAAACAAACAGACTGTTTCAGGGAAGACAATTGGGAAAATAATTAGTGAGCCTTTTTCATGTAGAGATTTTCCCAAGCTCCTATCATAGCTCACTGTTGTAAAATGTAGAAAGCTCAGCTTTAGCAGCTTGGAACTCATTTCTGGCGTGATTCAGGTTTTCCCGAACGAGAGCCGCATAATGTGAGTCTGGCACGGTTTGACCCGCCACTGAACCCTCCCGTTTGCGGCCTAGGTTTTGTATGCGTTCACAAGCCCATGCAATGCGCTGCAGCCCCAACGCTGCAGAAGATCCACGCAAAAAATGGCCCAACGAGGCCAGCTGCTCGAGCTCGCACTTCCCATCGAGTTCCTGTTGGATCTGGTCGAAAGTCGTGGCTGCCTGGTCGAAATATTGGATTACCAAATTTTTGGAGAAATCGGGACTATCTTCGTCCATCGACACGATTTCATTGAAAGTGTCCCAATTGATGACCTTTTCTGGAATTATGTTGGTGCTCATGTTTTTGCACGGCTATAGTCGGGATGTCTCAGAGGCAGTTTTGCTTAGTGTTCAGTTTTACTCAGCAGTGATCACACTAGTTTGATGCCCAAGTATCTCTTGCAAAAGTTCACACCCAGAATCCTGCAAAACAACAAACAACGGTGATCTACGCGACCCAAATATTACTTGTCAAGATGTCTAGATAATGCTCGACGTACTGGAGGGATAATATCGAGGAAGACTGTTTTTTTCCAGTAGTTTAACTTTCTTTCGTTACTATTGATTACTGGTTAAGATTCAGTTTACTAACCGATTATGAGATCATCATCTATAAAGAGCTAGTTGATAGCGAAGAGAGAAACAGTACATAAAGCGGGGAGTAAAAACGAGTGAAACTTGACTAGATGATGTTGCTCGAGACAAGACTCGAGATCAAATGGTGAGAATACTAGAGTAGTAGTTTCAATGAGAACACTTTTGTCATTTTACCTTTTTTCTCGATTACCATCACTGGAATTCAATATATCAGATATTAATGATATCATTCAAGTGGAAAGAGCCTGGAAAATCACTGGAAAGAAAACATAGCGATGAGGTCGGGACCACAAACGTAGAGGTCGGGACCACACACGTAGAGGCTCACTCAAGACAGAAGGACATTGACCTCTGAGGTGTTACATTGTCGGCCTAGGGAATACACGGTGTAGAGCGATTTTATTCGTGTTTTGATCAATCTGCAATGAGATAGTCAGATGTACTGTTTTTTGAGCTTAACGCACACCTCACACCTCTCATTCTTCCTAAAAGGTCTCGAAAAGTGGTATAAAATGGGATAATAACGCCATAGCTAGAAAAAAAACTCTAGTAGTCCAAAGGCATTGTTTTTCGTGGGTTTCTAAACTCTGGAGAGCTGGCCATGCACCTTGAGGTTTATGACCACGATGTCGCTTCAACTAACGCTACAAACACCGGCTATCGATGAAGAGTGACACCCTAGCATCACTTACTACGTTACCCACGTTTTTCTGCACCGGTAATTTGAGCTTTTATCGAGCATAATAAGCATATATATATATATGTATATATCGCATAGGATGTTCGCGATGAGATGACCCTAAATGTGCTTTATCGACAGCGGTCAACCATGCCTTCGAGCGCTAGACAAGTATGGCTCGCGCTGCTGTCCTTCACTTTGATTGTGCTTTCTCTAGGCTACACATACGTTATTTTGATCATGCCAGAATCAAAATTACCGTCGATTGCCACAGAACGGACTATCAGTGCCAATGAAACAGAACGTTGGATTTTCGTGGGTGACGTACATGGGATGTACGATGAGTTCAAGGAGCTGATGTCGCTGGTGGATGCCGAAAGGCCCGGCACAAATGTGGTTCTCCTGGGAGACTTCATAGCGAAAGGCCCGCAATCGCACAAGATGGTCCAGTACCTGGAAAAAAACTCCGAAAACACCCATTGCATATTGGGGAACCACGAGATAAATGTGATGTTCGCGTATTTGAACAAGCGGGACCTGAAAAAACGTTTGTCCCGCAAAAATTCCAAATGGGATCCCGTAGTATTCGATACCGAAGACTACATCCCGCCGCACGATCAGGTCAATAACAAGCACAAGCTGCTAGCGCAGCAATTAGGAAGCGCGAAGCTTGCGTCCCTGGCCTCAATGTGCTCTGCAGAGCTTCGGATCCATCTGGAACCTTCCCATGAGACCCTCATCTCCGTCCACGCAGGACTGGCGCCCGACTTTGAAAACAAGCAGCCAAGTATCCGCGACATCACCACAATGAAATACATGCTGCCCAAGGACCACTCGAAAACTTCCAAATACAAGTTTGGTAAGTCACGTCGCTGGTACAAGCTCTGGACCGCAGAAAGTGCGCCGGAAAACGTGACGGTGCTTTATGGCCATGACGCCAGTAAGGGCCTCAATCTTCGAAAACACACCAAGGGCTTGGACTCTGGATGTGTCGCGGGTGGAAAACTGAGCGCGCTCGAGTATTTTTACCAGAACGGCAGATACCATAATCATTTGCATCATGTAAAATGCAGACAGTACATATAGCGAGGTTTGCGTCCCTATAGAGCAAACCCAAAGACATAGTTAATAACAGGAAGAGGTTTTTCATACTTATTTGTCTGCACAAATAATGGAATCAAATACGTTTAGTACAAGAATCGGTGGTATCCGTATGTTTCGATGGTGTATTTGATTCTACGACGCTATGGCACGAAACGATATGAGCTCCTGAGGGTAGTAAGCTCTTGGGAGTAGTGAGCTCTTGAGAGGTAGGTTCGTAAGGAAGATATGCCGTTGGTAGTTGATGCTACGTGAAACTGGAGAACAAAAAACGCCTGAGAAATCCTAAATTCTAGTAGTAAAGATCAAAAAAGGGGGCAATCATGAGGTTTCTTGTTGCAGATTATCGAAAAATGTGATTCTTCAAACAGACTCTTAAACCGTAACTCTGCTCTTCATGGATAACTTTACGCCAGGCTTTTTCGCGGGAGTCAAGTACGAGCATACTCTTCCCATTGACAGCTTGATAATGCAAACTGCCTCTTTCCAATCCGTACTATTTTTTCCCCCAGTGAATATTTCGAAAAAGGTCGTCATTCCTGTGTCTGAAGATTGTACTGGGGATAAGTTTCTCCAGCGAACGGCGACAAACGTACCGCTTACCTTGATTCAAAACTCATCAGACTTACTAAATACCATAGTCCCTGCCATCTTCTCCTAGAAAGGACTGGCCGGTATCTGACGCATCTTATTCTCATGATGTCGTACTTAGTGATCTCATCGCTGTCTAAATTGCGGCGCTTCAAAACCAATTCTTCTCCACTGTAGTTCACTTCTTCAGCAGCACAACAGAAGACTCTTTAAGCGTAGAACCGTCGGGTGAGAGCATCCAGATGTGTCTGCGACGCTGCCTCAATCAATTTTCTTAAATACAGAATCTGGCTCACTCGGGGTTCTTTTCGAAGCTTCCCGGCTGATTGGTTTTCCTACTACCAATACTACTATTATTTGTTTTTGTGTCAGCTGAAAAACCAATTTAGCCGCCCACCCAAAAAGCAGAGTTACCCGGCCGGTACAAGAATCATTTCACGTGATTGAAAGAATTCAATCACGTGCGACGAATGGTGAAAAGTAGTCACGCTTTTGACGATAGGGAGAAAACTGAAACCAACAACAACTAATTTTAACATCAGAACATCTCGTTCATTCTGAGAACAACAAAGATTACAGTTTTCGGTTTGGGTACTGGGTGTTAGAAGAGCGATCGACTAACTTCGCAGAAATACTCGGAGTTTTTTTCTTGATCGGGCCAAGGGCTTGCAGTAGCGCGCAGAGATAATTCTGTGACCAACTCTTATAGGGTAAACAGAGACAAACAACATCACTATGTCTGGACAGGACGACTTCGATACTCCCCTGACAACCAACTTCGTGGACGCATCCGATAATCTTGGTGGACCAACCAGTCAGTCTCGGGACGACAGGGATGAAAAGGAGCAGATACAGATTTTCCAAGATTACGGGTTCTACGTGGCGCACGATGACGGGCAGCAAGAACTTGAGCGCATGATTGTAAATCATGGCGGAACGGTACTTTCAGAACTTCCTTCTGGCACTTCCAGCAAAGAATTTGTGGTTTCGACTTCAAATACAACGGATTTGCCAACACTCTATCCGGACTACATCTCAAACTGCAGTAAACACAATGTGCTACTGAGACTCAACAGTTATATTGTTCCCTTTGCCGGTTTCCACGCAGACACGCAAAACGGGCGCGAACCGGTCGATCAATCAGACTTCTCGGGTGAAAGTTCTAAAGCACAGAATAAATTGTCCACTGATAAGCAAGGGATCGACCTATCAAATTTTGGCGACAAAACGAGCTCATCACAGGCTGCTGGGCCCTCTCTTGAGGAGGAGCACCCCCAGCGAGAAGGTGCAACACAACGGGCGGATCAGACTCCAGGTTCAGGTACTCAAGCTCATGCCGGGCCCGTCACTGTAACTGATCAAAGTACCGAGGCAGCTGAGACGTCAGAAGGCGTAGAGAAAATCGACAGGACGCCCAAAGACGAACCTGCCAAGGAACCTTATGTCGCAGCACACAGTAAGGCCAACTTTACCATTGAGGAAGATAACTTCATCCTAGACGTGGTTCGTAAAAATCCCTCTCGGAGAACAACCCACACTCTCTTTGATGAAATTTCGAGGTTCGTTCCAGCACACACTGGGAATTCGATAAGACACCGCTACCGCGTATATCTCGCCAAAAAGCTTGATTTTGTCTACGAGGTTGATAACCAGGGCAGACTTGTTAGAGACGGGAATGGTGATTTGATAAAGACAACAGTCTTACCAAAAGCTTTGAAAAAAAAATTTGTGGCCGAAGAGGACTACGATCTTGCTGTCAGCATCAAGCGTCAATTTTATCAAGATGTATATCAGACAGATCCAGACACTCGCAAGTCTTTGATCAGTGAAGACGATGCTCCCAACGAGGCCGCCAGGAGAACGCTTACAATGGATACCAATGTGAAACCTGGCACAGAGCCGAGCCTTGAAGATTTTAGGGTCGGTGAAAGGAGAGGACCTGTCCCACGGGAGTTTTTCAAACTTTTTGCTCAAAATCATCCCACTCATACAGAAAATGCTTGGCGCGATAGATTCAGGAAGTTCCTCTTATCGTATGGGATTGACAAATATATTGAGTACTACAGACACGAACTAGCTCAAGAACGCACTCCTGAAGCTATGAAAAACTTTACAAATAGGCCAAAGCGTACTGGTGTACGGACTCCGGGCAATTATAGCGGATTGCCTAAGAAGCAGAAAACTTCCACGGAGGAGGAATCCTCGCAATCTTTGTCCCAGAGAGCTCAACAAGCTGCAGCTTTGGTGGCAGCAAGCGGAAGGCCTATAGATCCTAATTCGGCTACAATGGGGGTGGGAGACATGGATCTACTGGACGAAGAGACTTTGAACTTTATATCTGGATTGAGGCGCGATTTGTCTAAAATTGAGTCTGCTGGGGGGACCGCCTTTGAATATCCGCAGGAAATAGCAGAATCTATCCGCAATGATTTTGCAGGTGAGGAAACAAGGTTTGATAATATTGATCCAGACACAATCGCATTTCCACCGCCGATTGCATCAAGCGATCTTTTCGTGCCCCAGTTTTTTGCATTCAAGTCAGCGACGGAGTTCTTCAATAAGATCAATGATATAATTTCGCGAGACTATGAAGCTTCTCAAGCAGAAAAGCTTGTCCAAGATCTATGCGAAGAGGCGGGTGTACGAAAAACTTTCAGCACTGGGATATTAACTGCGTTATCTGGCGATTTAATGGTATTCCCTCGCTACTTCCTGTGTATGTTCAGCATGAACGCCAATCCACCATTGAACGTACCCGGTATTTGGACTCGGGACGATGATGAGATACTCAAAGAAGCTAATGAAGATGGTCTTAAAAGATTAACCGAAAAACACGGTATGGGCAGAATTGAGATGCGCAGACGATTCATCGCAAGTGAGCTCGTATAACCATTTCCCAGCATAATTAATACTTACATATCTCCTAAAGTTACGTTAGCATCTCGATAAACTATCTTCACGGCTTGTACAAACTTGTAGTTCTAACGCCGTGTTTCCCTTCGTTCCAACAAGTTTCGCGCCAAGTAAAACGTGACTATCCTGCTCCCTTCCCACCGGGCTTCACAACCAATTAGTAGAACTGCTTCATTTAACGGAGTTCTTGTCTCTAGTAGGTTCTCTCTTTATTACCAGTTTCTTGGACAACAGTTGTTTTAAGTTATCCGTTACTAAAGAAGTTCGATTATCTGGCGAACGCTCCGCCTCCGAGGCAGGAGTCTCGGTTATTACATTTCCCTCACTTGTTAACAGAGTATACTCGTCAAGCTCTGCACTTCTTTCTAGTATATCCATGATCTTCTTGAATTTAACAAAGAGTAGCTCGCTTCTTATCATAAGATCGCTCCAATCCATGGTGTCCCTGAGTTCATTGAAAAACTTCAAGACCTGGTCAAACTGGTCGAGATTTTCCATAACTGGTAGGCTATTCTTTTGTAAAATGGCAAGCATAAAGAAAAGCTGAAACTGGGAGGAATAGAAATCCGTCAAGAATACTTCCCATATGTTGCATACATTGTCGAACTCAAACTCTCTCTTGAACCAGACCAGTAACATTCGAAAACAAAAGAAAAGGTTCGATGAATCACACTTCGCCAAATGATGGCTCATTTTCGGTAACATCAATTGACATAGATCTGTCAACGTTAGCATTTGGTCGCGAATACCAGATTGATCGCGCAAAAAGTTTCTCTCCATTCGATTCATAAAGCTGACGAAGGCCCAAAATGACAGTTCCTCATCCTTCAAAATATGATAAATGGGCGACAACAAATCACACATTCCCTGCACGTACCCCAAGTCATCGTTGTAGACATTATAACTGAGCAAAATACTGCGGAGTTTTTGAAGGTGAGGATTCCTTACAGTCCAAGAGTCATTGTCTTGCAGCTCATCTGACTGAGCTTGATCTTCATCGGTGCTAGAGGGTGCTTCACCGTCGTCTGTGTTGTATTTGTATAGCGGCAAGTCTCTGTCGTTTCGCTTTACATCCTTTTCGACGCGCAATACCTGATCTAGCCAGTATGATTCTTCATCAGCATCCAAGTGAGGTTCGCGGTACTCCCACTTACTTTTATAGTTCATCCGGTAGCCGTCACGCAAAGTTTCTTCCAAAATACGACGTTCTTCTGCAGAAGATGCCCATGGGAAAACTTCTAGCAAAAATAACCATATTTCTCGTCTCAACTCCTTGTCTGTGACCCCACCATGGAAAATGTAGTCTTTAACTTCATGAACCGTTATTGAAAGGCGACCTTCTGCGTCAAAAAAGGAGTCCCACTTAGCACGAGAAAGTGTATGGTTTCGTTGCATGGCTATGTTGAGTTCTTCCTCTGTTAGTTGAACGTCACCTCCATCACTCCCAAGCTCATTGTAAAGCAGCCGCCTGTAAGTATCATCTAGGCCATTTTTGGCCTGATACTTTTCCGCTTGTTCTTTCACACCCAACGCCCATTTGGCTAGATAAATCTTAGCGGAGTCAAAATCGTCTTGAATCTCTTGAACTTTGGGATTTTTGAGAATGTGCTTGACGTACGGGTTGTTGTTATGTTTGTCAACAAACTTGACCAAAGGGTGCTGAGTGAAGACAGTTGCGATGCGATTGGTAGACTTCGTGGTGAGATCAGCGAATTTGGACATAATGCTCCATTTTGCCTCATCAAATTTGTTCCATAATGACGATTCTTGACTAGAAACTTTACTAGCATCTCGTTTTTGTTTTGGATCTGACGGAGAGAAATTTCTAAGGTCGTCTAAAGTTGCATTGACCAGCCACACTGTGGGATCCACAAACGTTTGCTTGAGATCTGCAATATTCAGCAACGCATCGCGAAAGTCGTGAGCTCCCCAATAAATATCTGTACCACTAAATGGATCAAATGACTTTGAGAGCTCCTTCTTCTTTTCCTTCGTGGAAGGGCAGACGTCATCGTGAAAGAACAAGATCGGTATAGAGTCTTGCTCCTGAATGCTTCTGGAATTTATAGCCACGGAACCGTACCACCATCCGCTGGGGCTAGGCGGCCTAAACTGTATCGAATAAATCGAGCTGACCTTGATGGAAAATGCCCACGCAACGTACAAAGCTTGCGATACAATATCTTTCTTAATCCTACGCCTGTCACCGCCAGAGATCCGATCCAGATCCGATTTCATCAAATCATTGATCTGGTCCTTTTCTAAGTCCTTTTCAGGGATCCAGGTTACTGTAGCTTCCAGGGCTGGTTGTTGAGAATCCCTAGTTATAAGTAGAAACCCAGGTATGTTATCCTCAGCTTTCGAGCTGCAATGAACGAACACTTTCGACTTGCAAAAAACTAGCTCCGTGTGCATCCTAATCGACGTTCAAAAAGGTTCCGTGGGACTTGAATGGAGTGAGTTTGTGCGGGTTGTCCAAGATAAATCCGAGAAGTCATCTCGTATCCCTACAAATTGTCAATTTATATAATTGAGTAAAATAGTTCTAAGTGAACTTCAACACCAACAAGAACAAAAGATGAGAAGGGGTTAGTTTACAGTAATAAGATCCCTTCGTATGTGAATAAGAGATTTAATTCGTTTGATTGCGATTTTTTCCAGCGTTCTAGCCCTTCTGTAAGACCAGAAACGTTGTTATGAAATTTTGGGAAATGGTTTGGTTGAAGATCGGATCTTTTTGACCTAGTGTTGTCATTGATAAGAATAAATCGGGTTATTCAATCGTCCCAACTTGTGACTGTGAGGTCTTGACATCCTTCCAGCTCCCAGAGACTCAAACAGTGCCTTTTTCACTTGCCGATGCGGAGCTCAGATACATCTAGCCAGTGTCAATGTTAAAAATGATGGACATTTGGCATGTTGTTGTACACAGCAAGCGAGTTGAGCTTGCCTTTAAAGTAAACGAACGAGCGAGATAGACATTTTGAATGGGAACTCGATACCTGCCAAAATTCCGTCTTTATCGGAAAGAAAGTCACCTGAAGACTGTGAGAAGAAGCTGCAAGGTGGGTTCAACAAAGGCACATGGTAATGTACTACCAACGGTGTTGAATTGTGATCTTTCAAAATACCAGCAGCCTGATCTTACGTTGACTTTACTATGACTTGAAGACCGTTTCAGGTGATACCAGAATAAGCATTTGGAACCAATGCTATAATTATCGTCAAACCCTGGCCAAGGTACCAGTTAGGATACGTTGATCTGATCGGTTTTCAAGTCCTCAAATCAGTTGAACAAGACGATTTGGGTATGGATAGTGATCTTTCATCTGTGGAGCTGGATGCAGAGGGGTATGAAGACAGTCCCGAGCTTCCTGAAGACAGCCCTTTTGGCTCAGAACGAGAAGAGGACGATGAATATCAATACCTTCCTGAAAATGAAGAGGACGACGAGAAAGTACAATTGAGCAACAGCAGTCGTCCTAAAAGGGGGTCTGCAAGAGGTGTGGACGAAAATGACACAACAGGTCGTAGTTCAGGTCGAAAGAGGACTGTAGGAAACGCTTTTGAAGAGCCAGGATCAAGTCCGGTCAAAAAAACTCGTAAGAATGGTGGTGGGATCGACTTGCAGAACCTGGATGATGACGACGAAGATGATGAAGTGAATGAAGAGGAAGAAGTAGAGGAAGAAGAGGAAGAAGGCGATGCTGTCATCAACGCCAGTACCGGTGAGCAACCGAACGCAGAAACTCTTCAACAACAAGAACTCAAGAAAAACAGTCGCAGCAAAATAATGATGGAGCTACTGGACAACTCATCACGCAGGAACTCAAAGCTTTCGGAAAAAGAGTTGCAACTGCGTCGTGCGGAGAACGCTCGCAAACGTAAGAATTTGAGTGAGAAAAAGCTGGAAGAAGAAAAACAAGACACCATCAATAAGCTGCTGCGAAGACGTGCGGGCAGGACCCGAGGCCCTGTTCCAACTGACGGCAAAAACAAAACTGAGGATTACACAGAAGAAAATGCCGATTTCACGAAGCCCAGAAGGGCGTACAACTCTAAAGGTATGGTTCGTATAGTACGAAAGGCTGATGAAACGGTCTATGCAACTTTCTAATGTGTCGCGGGGACGCCGGGAAGCTTCTTATCGTGACGCTGTGCCTTCAAAGAAGGCTTATTCAACAGCGTTAATAGCAGTTTTTGGTCTACTGTGATCCACGTTGCTAGGACCTTGAAGGACGCTTTAAAGCTCCAGATTCGAAGTCAATCGAAACTTATACATCAATTGATCTAGTACAATGACCCTACAGGCCCAAACAGCCAGTAGAGACCATGTTTATGGCGTTAGATCTGTTATTTTTCGATGTACATAGTAAAATCAAGAATTTAATGAATTGAATGCTAGTAAATAATGGAGTGATTCAACAACTCCATCAACAAACTCCATAGATACTCGCTCCCTACAGCCTGGTGAGTCACTTCTCAAACTTGTGACAAACCTCAACACACTCGCTCAACAACACCTGGCTCTAACCCTGTACACTGGAAAATTTGTTACAGTAGCACGACGATTACCGAAATACAACTTTGCATGCACACTTTTACCTTCAATGATGCCCCAACCGCCCCTTGATAGTGCACAGCATTTGTATGGGTACCAGGGTCCAGCTAAAAACAAGCCTGCTAACTTTGGTCCTGTTTCCAACGGAAACGCTAACGGAAATGACATCATGATGGCCCCACGTATGGCCCATTCTTATAGCCATCCTAACATGGGCCAACAGCCTTTAAATTCTGGAAAGCCAGCTACGGATGGACCAGAAATAAACATGGCATCTATCACACAACTCCCGCAACAACTAATGGTCAGCCAGGTCGGACAACCTTCGCGACCCAGAAAGCATGTCCAACCGTCACCACAGCTCCAACAGCATTTACACCATAATCAACAAACACCTCAATCGATACCACCACCACAGGGACAAGCGCTGGCGCCAACTCTGCCTCTTAATGATTTCTCCAACTCTGCGTCAGCCGTACCATCACCATTTGCCACTTCTGTTCCTACACCCACTGACTCCACCTCAGTACCAGCGATGGCAATGCATGGAATACCAGCACCCGGACTGGCTCCGAGACAGGTTTCAAACGGATTTGGAGGTTCTGCTCCCTGTACGATGGCCGCACCTGTGATAGAAGGTCACACAAATTTGCATGCCATACCAGTGGGATCTGTACCTATAGCCACATCAGCTACGGGCCCTGGCCCACTTCCTACGTCACCATATCGTCAAAACTCACCGCTGCATTCCGCGTACACTATGCCTACGGCATCCCAGTCCCAAGTGCGGCAATACGTGCCTGTTAACGCAATGCCATATCCCATTCGAAAGTATCTTTCCAATATGGCTATACTACGCTTACATGAAATCATAAATTTGATTAACGTTTCAACCGGCAGAGTGGACGATTTTGACTACTGGAAACGTTTTACAAGTGATCTCTTTACGCCATACGGAATATTACGATATTCCACCAAAGGCGGTGAAGAGACTCGTCAATTTGAATTCACGACGCCCATTATTCCGCTTATATGTCAGTCGCTAGGATCTGTCGGTGTTGTTAGACTAGAAATCGTGCCACAACAGCTGAGAGCTCAGGTCTTAAGCAACGGTACCATATTTTTCGATTGTCCTCGCTGTACCGCGACTTACTACTATCCAGATGGTAGCTACATGACCAACTTTTCTCAGATCAAAGGAATATTTGACTCGAACTTGAAAATGATTTGGGTTGAAATCTCAAGCTACAGTTTCGTCCCTGGCATAGAGTGGAGCTCGCTCGAGCGATTGATAAGCCATGAACCGCTGTGTCATCAAATATTCCAGGAGTTGGGTCAATCTCATGAGACGCCTCAAGCTCCAGACCAAGAACATGATCAACAAAGTCCCATGGGATCAAACGGGCCCAAAGTACCAACCAACTTTGCAGCGATCACAAAGCTTCGATCCCAATTTGGAGTGTTTCATAACATATCAAGCTTTGGAGTCCAGGAAAGTTTTATGCGAGCGTTGCAAGTGAACGATGTCATATCTTATTTAAAAAACCTAAAAGTGTACCAAAAAGTGCACAAGCATCGAAGCCCGTTAGGAAGTTTAGAAGCGCTGATTACTTCTTCAAACGCAGAAAAAAGCACAGGCATACCAAAGGGCGCTCCGTCGAGTTATCAAAACAGCGGCCTTTCTCCGGCATCACAGTCTACAATGAGGGCCAAGACCACTCAGCCGGGTCGACCTGTTCCGAAAAAACGCAGGCAAAGTGATTTATCTCCTCTAAGCACTAACGACAAGGATTCGACACCGAAGCAGGGTACCCCAAATGCAGCAAGCGACAATACCAAAAAGTCAAAATATTGAACCCGGTATGAACTTGGCTCAAATCGATGGGTAAGATCTCCCTGTGGTGCCTTCAAATCGAAGCGTAGATCACTTTAGATTCCAAGCGGTCTCAATCTGTGAAGCCTATCTGTCTTTCTACTCTAAGCATCACAATCATGATTATTTAAAACCTCGCAACAGGCCACAGAAACAGTCAGAAACAATCAGAAGCAAACATAAACAAACAGTTAAGCCAACTCAAGGAAAGAAGCCACGGTCTTTTCATAGCTCAGTTCGTTTTTCCACGGACTATGTGCGTTCAAGCCTCCGTTAGCTCAATGTGTTGCAACGTCAGCGCATCAATGTTCAATATGAAGGAACCGGAGGACTTACAATCAAAAATGGATCGCCATTATTTACGGAAGCGAAGCGCAGAACTGTGCCGACAAATCTTGTAAGGTGAGTTGTTGGAGACAATTAATGTTGACTCTTAATGAGAAAATGTGGTCTTCCGCAACCTTATTAGAATACCAACTGAGTTGGTAGTCGAAACTTAAGAAGAAAACTGCATTTAGTCGGACTAGAATCTAATTCTTCTCGCAAAACAACGAAAGGGCCAGACGAAAATGGGCAGTCAGTAATTTTCCCAGAGATTATCGTTGGCGGTCACATTTATGATTTCATCAACTACTGAAGACAGCAGATTTGACGGTGTCCAAAAAATGTAACCGACACAAACTGTTAGGTTACAATTATGTGTAGCCAGGCCACCGCGGATCTTAAATATCAACGATGTAAACTGGTTTCGGTTCAAATCAGAGTGATGGTTACCAATGATGTACGATAGATATACCTCTACACTAAATTGAAACCCCAAATTTCGGGAATAACTCTATAAAAAGGCGTTGGATATCTAGAATCTTGAGCTGGAGACGCTAACATAAAATTGAAAGCCCTCAATGCCCTTGGAGAATAAACCTGGCGCACTTCCGATTTCTTTTGTCACGTGACCTGAATCAAGATGTCCGGTCGTCATCAGTAGTGCTCAAAGCACTGACTATAGTAACAACTTTTGATCAACAATTTCGTTCGAAGACAAGCGAGCAACGAGCACGATGGATCTTGGCGCTTCGATTGCTTGGCCTAAGGATGATCAAATAGTTAAGCACTCGAACAAGTATCAAACCCTGTATTTCATTACAAATATGTTCTACAATGCTGGTATTGCGACTAGTATATGCTTTATCATCGCAGCTATGGTCCTACAACCACTCTTACAGACTCAAACGGACCAAAGATCTGAACTCAGTGCCGCTTGTTTGCTGAAAATAAGAAAAATGGTTAGTTTCCTGGAATTGAAGATGCTAAAGAGTTCTGCAAGTGCCCTTGGCCACAATGAAAGGGCCCACATGAATGGTTCGACTACAATTGTTGATCGTTGTACGCAAACAGAAGAGCTTCGAGAATACTCAATTGAGACCAAAACCCCCTTTGGTTGGACTAAAATCATAAGCCGTTTGAACTATGCCCGTAATTTGTTAGTCAACTCTGCAGATGAACAGCCTGAGGGCTCATCTAAAAACAGATATCTCCCATTGCGTTTCCAGGTACAATCTTTCAATTCTTCACTCGCGGGTCTTGAAGGGCGCGAAAAAAATGACAGTGAAGCTTTGAACAAAGGTAGCATTAAGGGCATACGTGACATGAAAGGATGGATTATAAATGGTAGAGCTTTCTGAATCATGAAGAAAGCTGCTAAGTCTATTATGATGCTATAAAGTGTCGCCCTACTGCTCCACCAGTTTTGAAAGTAACTGCAGTTTCTTTTTGGCGTGCGTGCTTCCTGACAATTTTGATGAATCGTTTCCAGCTGGCCTGGTGGTTTTTTTGATGCCTTGTACCGTGAGATTCGCAGCTGAGCGTCCCGATCCAAGTATCAGCTTCTTAGATGGCGGTCCCTGTATGGTGTGATTTTCGTACAGCTGGGTGACCCGTTCGCTTCTGCGTTTCCATCGCTCTTGTATTTTGGACCTTTCCAATTCATCCGGGGCCCACTTGGACTTGAGAATCCGTCGTACCACCTCAGGAGATACCTTAAAATGGTCCCCTAATTGAGAGGCTGACATGTGGGGGAATTGTTGCTTTAGAAGCCTCAGACTTTCCATTTGTTCCCGCGACAGCTTTTTCTTCGGGTTCCACTTTTCGCCCTGAAATTTCCGTTTCAAAGATAGCTTCTGGCGTTTCCAGTCTGGCATTCGCGCGGCTTGTAATTCACTGATGTTTTGAGAGCTTTCTGCTTCAGTCAAGGAGCTTGAGTTGACCAACTTGATAATATCTCGAGCAGTTTTCGCTTTTTCGAATAAAGTGAAATCTGAGTGGAAATTTCTTCGTACTATTCTGCCACATCCAGTTGGCAAGTGGTGTGTTGCGGTAGAATTCCAGTGACATATGGCCTGTACGTGAGCCCCCAATCTCGAAGATCTAATGCGATTTAGCATCTACGGCATGTAGCTGCGTTTTGACTCCTAAAAATTATGGAAAAAGGTCCAAAAGCGATCAATAAGATGGTTTTAATAAGTGCGTCCTTAGATTCAATTGAAGGCAATGAGATAGATAGGCTCGAATGCGTTTGCAGGTTGCAAGTTCCTTTGACGGTCGTGTTGAAGTTTGGAGCGATGAGCTAACAACATCTTGATGAAATTTCACTACCTTCATACGAAATTGGATGATATTCAAAGTTGATCGAACTTCACATCTGACTCAAGGGAAACCACCGGAACCTCACACCGATTGCCAGCCCCAATCACCACTAATGAACATCATAAAGAAGTTCATGGATTCTGGAGTGAAGCCAGAACTTGTTTCAATACCAGCCGGTCAATTTTTCCTGTTAAGACCGAAGTCTTCACCGAAAGCCACCCTTGAATGCCTTTACAACGATGCTACTCTCGCTATCAGGGAAAGCGGAACACATAGGTTTGAGTTGGTGGTGAGTAAAGAGACGGATGATTCTGAACTAGCGTCTGGTGATGGGACTGAAGACTTCGAAGACGATGGCTTGAGTGTTCTCTCTGGCCAGTCCAAGAAGGAAGAAGAATGGAGCTTCAATCTTGACGAATCCCTGTTGTTTCACAAGTCGTGGAGTGAACAGGGAGACGTTGTATTTGTTTGGAAAAACAGTAAAGGAGACTTGGGTGAGAAATTCCAGTTTGTGGTGAATGCAGAAGTGCCTTTCTCGGATGTGGGTCATTTCCTACACACAGCTTATCTCTGCGAATTTGAGTTCAAGTATAAAAAATCAGCTAGTAAAGCTGTACGTGAGGATTTGCAACAATTTGATTTCTCGCATGGAACAGATGAAAACACTCTGACTGAAGATGGTGAAGGTGAAGATTCAGAAACTACCCGGTTACAAGCATCGATGAGAGTTCTTACAGTGCAGAGTAGCTCCGAAAGCGAAAGCGGAGAGGAATCTTTCAATGAACTTTTCGAAGATGCCCTAGACGGCTCGATCCCCAAGGAAAACCATAAAGATGTACTTCGCAAAAGCAAGGCGTCAGTAACCATTTTAGAGCATACCGCCAGTCTCTTTATCTACGACCCGGGTGTGCAGAAACTGGTACCTCAGGACAGTGGTTGCAAGGTGTCGATATTGGATTACGGTAACTTCGAGTATTGGCTGTCGGTAGTTAGCGATTCCATAAAACTGGGAGTTGATATCAGCCCCTCGGTGAATCCTTACTTCGAGAAGAGTTGTCGGAGTTTTATCTTTAACTATACGATGGAACATATAACAGTATCATATATGCTGGAGTTCGAATTGGATGACGTTTTCATGCAGTTCCAAAGAACATGGACTCAAGCCCTTTGGGAAGGTCTCAACCAAAAAAGCTGGGAGAGCATTAACGCTTACGAGAAAGACTGTATTGCCGGTGCCAGTGAAGAGGATCCGAGTAAGGAATTAAAGCTTTTTTTGGAAGAGGACGAGGATAGTGATACTAGCAACAGCGAATCATCGGAGGATGAAGAGTTCGAAGATGACAACCAGCAGGGTGATGCTGAATCTTTTGATGAAAATGCTGCTGAAGAACAGTACCGGACCTCAACTGCTCTTTCTGGCAACAAGTCATTGACCGTTTCCTTCAACAACGATCGGTCGTATGTCACCAGAGGCAAAAAAATTGGTGTTTTCAAAACTGACGAAGATGGACATGATCTGAACTTTGTCACTGCCATCAACAATGTAAGCGATGTTAAAGGCAAGGAGTTTGAACCAGAAAATCCTATGCTTTACACTGAAGATGAGGCCATGATCATCCAAGATAAGAATGACCCCTCTCGCATCTTCAAGCTGAATCTTGAGCGTGGTAAGGTTGTGGAAGAATATTCCGCTGGTGGCAAAGACATTTTAAAATACTCACACTCCAAAAAATTCGATCAGCTAACGAACGAGCAAACCTTTTTGGGAATTTCGGGGAAGAGTATTTTTAGGCTTGACCCGAGGATAAGCGGGGAAAACAAGGTTGTCACCGAGGAAAATAAGGACTACGCTACAAACTATGGCTTCAGCTCGCTTGCAACAAGTCAAGATGGTTATGTAGCGATCGGCTCTGGTAAGGGAGATATTAGATTATTCGATAAGCTTGGCATACGAGCGAAGACCTTGATTCCAGCACTGGGTGAACCTATCAAACACATCTGCATTTCTGCTGATGGGAAATGGTTACTAGCTACTTGTGATTCTTCTCTTCTTCTGGTAGACGTGACTATTAAGGAAGGGAAGAACGCTGGCAACGTAGGGTTTTTGAAGTCGTTTTCCAAAGACGAAATGCCCAAAATTCACATTTTAAAATTGCACCCAAAGACTGCAGCCTATATGAAAACATCTACGAAGCAACCTATTCAATTCACAAAGGCTTACTTCAACACAGGCATAAATCAAAAGGAGCAGACCATTGTGACTTCGACCGGACCGTTCGCGATAACCTGGTCGTTAAAGAAAGTCCTTCGTGGTGACAAAATGTCGTATCTCATTAAGAAATACAATTCGCTAATAATGGAGGACAATTTCAGATACGGTTCGGACAATAATGTCATTTTGGCCTTAAGGGACAACGTCAAAATGGCCAAAAAGAGCAAATTCAAAGCTCCTTCTGCTGAAATGAAGCACCAAAACAACTGGAATGAGTTTCTGGAGCTCTCGGAAAAAGCTGTCAAAAAATGAGAGCTTTGGTGGGCAAGTGAATTGTTCGATCCACAGCAAAGGTGGTGGGTGTCACCACAAATCGCACGAACAGGTAAATGAGAGATAATATACCCTGCTTCCCATAATTCGTGTATAACTTAGTATGTAATACAGGCGGTCCACATGATAACGAAATTAATAAATGTAAGCCTATAGTTGGTGCAATTGTTGTCGATACTGCAAATCAAAAATTACTTGTTGAAACGTCTCTGTAAACCAAAAACCGATCTTACTTCGTCCCAAAAGAGTACTCTATATGCCTTGAACTTTTGCAGTTTGGTAGGTCTAAAAATCTGATCTGCCGAAACCGAACTGGTGGATTTGTTCAACGGTTCTTGGAGTCCGTTGATCTTGTAGTAAATTCGACGTACGAAACGGTGAAAGCCAGGGCTTTCTAACAGCTTTTGATACAGTAGCTCTTCAATACTTCGGGGACCTCCTCTCATAGCTAAATGTGACTCTCAGTTCCACCTTTCCATCTGTTCACCGTTGATGTTTTCGAAGTCGATGACGTCGTCTATTGGTGTCTTAATGGAAATTTAACATACAAAACGAAACTAACTTGAACCTTAGCCAGCATGGTTCAGTTGACAGAAAAGAACAGCAACTCAGCCAACCGGTAGCGATGATTGCTGACGACCAATTGAATACGCTAGCTATTGCCTTTGGAGTCATCATGGTGACTTTAATTGTTGTGTACCATGCGATTTTATCCAGTACCAAACAAACAGCTGTTAAAGAGGCCTAAAAGTTGAGTTATGAAAGCTGGAGTGTAAAGAAGATGAATTAGGTATTTATTATCGACTATTTACGCTGTTCGATGGGTCTAAACGCACTGGATGCAAAATTAGAGACTGTTTTACTATCCAACCTTTAACTTTTATAACTTGCGTGTATCATTGGGGTTTCCCATGTGTACTTATAATCGAGAGTCAATCGTTTCTATATCTATCAATTTTGCTAAAATTCATGCGTCATGGCCACTAGTAGCCTCACCCAGAATTTCTCTACTGAGATATACTATTTTCTGAACGGCCTCACTGATTTCGGTAAACGTTCGTGCAAAAGCCATGCCGTGAATATGAGCCCAGTGAGATGTGTCTTCGTGGTTGGAGCTTTCATCTAGACCGTCGGGTTCCTCCGCTGCTGTAGAACCGCGAGATTCGTTCATCGAAGACTCAAGCTGGGAGCTCAGATCAAAAAGCTTTTTCCGCGACATGATCGTGTTGGGAAGGTAAGCGGGAACCCTATGAGTGGACAGAAAGCAGTTTGATATCATGTACAGCACAAAGATCACGGAGGCCACGCTATCACGGCGGTGAGATAGCAAGGCCCTCGATACATTACAGTCTCTGTCGACCTCCCAAACCTCGAAATACTGACCGGATAATCGAGCCTCTATCATCTTTTCGAGAAGAAACTCACACACATCTAGCAGCTGCTGGTAGACGTCTGCCTTGAACACAAAAATGTAAGTCGGTTCAGTGCGTGCTTTTCGCAGCATCTCTCGAACAGCTATCAAACTTTGGGACAGGCGTACCTCGCGAATATTAGAGTATTTCTTTGTGAGTTCGTTAGGCGCATCACCAGCATCTCTGTAAAGGTATCGATCCGTGACGATCTGGTAAGAGTGACTTATATGGCCGAGTAAAGATGCCACGGAAAGTCGAAGTTCATGTCGAGCCGTGAACGACCAAAGAAACCAGTTAATAGGAATGGATGGTATAATGCCACATAGAAGAGCGACTCCGGTTACCCACGTATTTTTCCATATAAAAGATTGATTCAATTGGGAGGTACCTTTGCTATAAGGTTCAAGGGCTATGACTATGAAGCACATGAACCCGGTGAAGCTTGACTTCCTGTTTCCATTTGCAAAGAAGTTAAAAGATAGGAAAAAACAGAAGATCGATGCAAAGGTCGCAATCACATATGGGCTTCCATAATGACGAGCCTGATTGGCACACCAGGCCCAAAAGATCCCGGCTATCGCCGAAGCTAACCGTCTGCCAAAAGAACCCCAATTTCCCGTATTTCTGCGATTAGCCAATATGAAAAACGATAATGGCGCCCACCAGCAGTCGTAGGTTTGATACCATTGAAACGAGGACTGCAGCCAAGTAGGTAGAGATAGGAAAGTTATTACGAATGCAACCTTCAGAGCCCACTTACTTTCAGGTGACGAGACCTGTGCACATTTGCGCCACATCTTGTAGCGCAAGGGATAAATAGTCGTACGGAGACTGAAGTCTTTGTGATCCACGGCCCTCACAATTGCAGGATTTTTTCCCTCTTGATCCATTAATTCCGCCGGAGCCTTGTGGTTTGACGTAAAACTGTTGCTGATTTGTTCAAATATGTCATCCACATCTTTCTTTGCTTGGTAATAGTGAAGAATAGTTTTGGCGCCTTGATCAATGCTGCATTCAGTAGGCAATCGTTTCAATGCCCTTCTTAGTGGGTAATGAGGGAAGGTGAGCTTCCAGCTCGGGTTTGAACTTATCTCCAAGACACATTCGGCAACAGGAATAAGGTTCTTAGCACTTTGCCTCACATATCTTAGGAAAACTAAGGAGTCGATAGACTGTGGATCAAAGAGCATTTCCTTCGTGAAATAAGTAGACTTGAGAAACTCGTTGTAACAAATGTCCAAGGTATGAATCTTTCTGCCAAGCCTGTTTACATGGTTTTGTAAAAGCTCTTTGGTTTCATTTTGATGCTCACCGGGACCCCAGGCGTAGGTGAAATCATGAAGTGACTTTTCTAAGGTCTCGAGCAAAGATACCATCTCTACCATTAGAACAATCATATCCTTCGAGAAAATTGATCTTAGCACAACACAAAAGGCGTCCTTGTCAGATAATTGAGAGACGTCTGTGACGCCCGATATTACCTTCGGAGATTCGGGAACAGGAGTTGCACCGAATGAATTGCTGCCAGTCCCTTTACTGATATTTTTAGTCCTTTCAGAGTAGTATGCTTCTAGTTCAAGCTTTGTGATTAGTTTGTGATCTACTGGTAAAGATCTGAAGGGCGCTGCGACATTGGTAAGACCATTACGGAATTTTAGTAACGATGTTTCGTTAATCCGGGACAATGTAATCTGGTTGAGGAATTCTCGCATGCCTTCCGAAACATCAAAGTCAACAGTTTTCCCAATCCTTTTCTGGAGTGTCTGTAGATTTTCGAGGTTGGCGCATTCTGTAGGGTCAAGAAATTCGACCAGCAATCGCTTGATTGTAGTGAGCGAAGACGAGAGCTTACCCATAATCTCTGCTTGACCAGCACGGGGAAACACTAGCACACAGACCAGGAACGATAAAATGAGACCGAAAAGATACGAAATTCCAAAATCCCAATATAGTTTCCAGCTCAACAGAAATTTGTGGCCAACCATGCTGACGGTGTGAAAATAAGCGATTGCAATACCGTAAGACATGGCAAGATAAAGCAGTCTTTGATTGGCAGCCATAACCCAAGAACACAAGTAGATTGCAATGAACAAGCTGCCAAATAAAATGCCACCTTGGTGATTGGCAGCTGGTTTTGTCGCGACGGAAATGTACCACGCTAGACTTGACCATCCCATTCCTAAAGCTGCGCCAAAAACAGACCAAATACTAATTTCTAGCTGAACGCCAACGTTCCTTGCCGGATGGTGAATTACAACTGCCAAAGGCAAAAAATACCTGTAGTCTTGACCAATCCATGATCCTGAAGGCCGCACCAGACACACACAAAATGCCAAGAAAAAAGCTATCCAAAATTTGAGCATTCTTTGCCAGTTCTTCTTAACTTTGTCTTGCTGCTCCAACAGCCACAAGTCAAGCATGGGCTTATGGTGCCTTGGATCCACTGGGGCATCTCCATGGTCAGAGTCCGCTTGAACCCTTTCTTGTTTGGTGAAAATAGGATCAAAAAATCCATTTCTCAGCTCTTCGATCCCGTAATCCTCCAAAAACTCCCATTGTTTTCCGTCAGTCAGCAAATTCAGCTTCAACTGTGACAAGGACGTTCGTGAAGCAGGTAAACTTCTTTTGGGCCCTTTCGAGCCTAAATTCAAAGCAGGGAAGAAAGAATCTTGTCTATAAGATCCCTTGGACACTTTAGGTTCTCCCATGACCACAATAAACCGACCTAAGACCCCAACTGGCCGTATGTTTAGCGACTCTTTCCCTGTAAGTCATCGGGCTATCGTTAAGGAATCATCAGTTTAATCACTTTGAACATAATTTGACATCTCGCCATAATCGAAACTATGAAACGGACATAGCCAGGACCTCATTCGAGGATTTCAACGATTAAACTTCGGAGGTGATGGCGTCAGAACAAATGCCGTGGTACTTGAACCAAAGTTCTCGCGCAGTTCTCGAGAAGTTCGGGTACATTCAGCAGCAGGAGGATTTGAGACTTCGAGAAGCTACATTGAATCCTGAGAGCTCAAAATGGACTCTGGGAGTTTCGGTGAATGGGGAAAACTACGATCGAAACAGATATATCAATATCATGCCTTATGAGCGTAACCGCGTAAAATTGCAAGTTGAAACGGGCAACGATTACATTAATGCATCTTACGTCAAAGTGCAAGTACCGGGCGAATCGCTCCGTTCAGGCCGCTATATTGCGACTCAGGGCCCCACAGAACATTCTTGGCCCCATTTCTGGCAAATGTGCTATCAGCAATGCCCTGGGGAGAACGCGGTGGTGGTGATGGTGACGCCATTGATGGAATACCATCGACTTAAATGCTTCGAATACTGGCCTCGCAAACCAGGATCGCGCGTCGTTTCTCCTCGAGACCAGGGGTCTGAGCTGACATTCGAGACAGGACTGGAAGTCGAATACGTGGATGCGGAGCGCGGAAACGACTATACCCTTACAACTTTGAAATTGGTTCCGACGGACCCACGTTTTCCCACGAAAACCGTACATCATTTTTACTTCGACCAATGGCGCGATTTGTCAAAGCCAGACGAGGTAGTACCGATTCTGGAGCTTTCCAAGCATTCGCACGGTCTCAGTTCACCTGAGAATCCAATTATTGTGCATTGTTCAGCAGGGGTTGGGAGAACAGGCACTTTCATAACACTGGACCATTTGTTCCACGATACGAGGGACTTCACACAGTCTCAGCCTGTTGAAGGTTACCAGCACGATTTGATCGAGCAAATTGTTCAGCAGCTTCGGTCACAACGGCTCAAAATGGTCCAAACCCCAGAGCAGTATCTTTTCATCTACCATGCTGCCGAGCTAATCAAGCGTTTGGCATCATCCGACGCGAGCATATAAGTCCACACAACGAACTAGAAGTTAGAGTGCTGGGTAGATTTATACCATAATTTGGGAGGATCTTCTTCTTCAAAAGCGTGCCCTAAAGCATTGTCAACTTCTTGTTCGCGAGTCATTAGAGCATGAATCGAACTGAGCAATAGAGCCAATTATGATTTCCCGAGCTCGTTCAAGCCATACTTGGCTTATATCACCAGTCAACCACTCAAAGATGCTATGAATGGAGTTGTCAGACGACAAGGTGATGACCCGTACTAAGGTACATTCCGGCGGTTCTAGCTATTCAAGCGTTAATATAAGTTTGTAAACAACTAACTTACCACTTCAAACAACAGATCAACCTTTGTAGAGCCTAGACATTATCCACGCCGAGACTCACAGGTCTGGAGAGTTCTAGACAGTACAATAATTCTGAAACTGCAAAATCCGAACCGCTAAGCACATTTTAACACATTTTTAGTGTCATTGATCAATTAGCCGCCGAGCTTCTGTAGGCAATATTAGAGGCTTATGAGCGCGCTCTTTCGTGACGGACAGTCTGTTCAGGCGTCTTATGAGCTGCTGACTAGAATAAACCTCAATAAATCTAGCCCTGGGAAGTCTATTCCGCGAAGTTCACCCGCAGAGGACGAGATTTTGGAACTGGCCAGTGCAGAAGAATTGGACGGTGTTTCATGTACAAAAACAAATGAAGATGTGTTAAGACAGCTTCAACTGCTTTTCAGGGATCAAGTGGAGATCGTTAATCTGCGTTTCCCTTGTTTACAAGGGTTAGAAATTAACCAGCGGACAAAAGTGATTGTGTCCAAAATTCGAATTTGCGAGTTTTTACAACAGGGAACAGCCGCAGCAATTGAAGTGCCATGTAGTCAATCAGGATATGACGTTTTCATCCGGAACCATTCTTACCATAGTGTTGTTGTAGAATGTCCGCTGGAGAAAACGTTTTTGCAGAGTTTGTGTGGACAAAATGTGTGTATGCTTTTGTCGCGAGAATTGATCCATTTGTTGCGAACCGACAATTTTGAGCTGGAAGCATCGCTTATGGCACTCAACTCGAGGTCGGTAACATTGGGCGGCCCGAGTTTTGATAGCTTGTTTGAAGATATGCAAAGACTGGTGAAAAATCCCTTTTACAGATTCCCACCCAGACCTTGGAAATCTGCCCTGGCAGGCAGTACACTTGCGTTCCAAGAGACGACTCCCAGAGTACTGGGAGCACGAAAAAGGGAAATGGTGACCCACGACATCAAACTCAACAAGGCGGAGATCACGTTTTTGATCGGACATTTGGGAACTACAATCCAGCGAATCCGAGAAGAATCTGGAGCGACAATCAAGATAATTCCAATCAGTTCACGACTCACACAAGCCCAGCAGAACCGTCCAAAGTCCGTGGAACAGCATTTAAGTATCACTGGTGAGATCGATGCCGTGACAAGAGCTGTATGTCTCATCGAAGCCCAATTGACGTTGAACAGAAAATAGTCATCGTCTGGAAAATCTAAAATGGGAACGTACGCAGACCGTTGATGAAGTGACCACGAATTCCCAAACACATTTGAGAAAATAATCATGAAACTGCAAACATATACTTGCAGCCCCAAAACCCTATCAACCAACTTTTAGCATCTATGGTGTGCATCCCACACACACAACTACTAACTCAACCGCCCATCAAAACCCAACTATGATCCCCTGTCATTCAAATCTCAACTGACGTTCCAGCCTTCTGGTCACCTGCCCTCCATCATCACCTGCGAACATACCAGTACGGCCCTGCGAATCTCCCGGTCCGCACAAGCAACTGAGCACGCATCCAAAAAGAAACACCAGCAGCCCGATGAGCACGCTAGATATTCTCCAGGCTGAAAAATCGTGAAGAGAAAAAAAATTTGACCAATGCCTTCTGAAAAAATTTTCCCAACTCGAGTTATAAAACTTTCCATTTCAATAGTGAAAAGTTACACCTTTTACCCACCTATTTGAACTTTTTCTGCATTGCTCATTCAAGCTCAATCCTCACATCACAACAATGGCTGAAGGTGTTTTTGCAGGTGCTGTCGGTATCGATTTGGGTACTACCTACTCATGTGTTGCGACTTACGAGTCGTCGGTTGAAATTATCGCCAACGAACAAGGTAACAGAGTTACTCCATCGTTCGTCGCCTTCACCCCAGAGGAGAGATTGATCGGTGACGCTGCTAAGAACCAGGCCGCTTTGAACCCAAAGAACACTGTTTTCGACGCCAAGCGTTTGATCGGTAGAAGATACGACGATGAGTCCGTTCAAAGCGACATGAAGACCTGGCCATTCAAGGTCATCGACGTCAACGACGCCCCAGTCATCGAAGTCGAATACTTGGGTGAGACCAAGACTTTCTCCCCTCAGGAGATCTCGTCGATGGTGTTGACCAAGATGAAGGAGACCGCCGAAGCCAAGATCGGTAAGAAGGTCGAGAAGGCTGTCATCACCGTGCCAGCTTACTTTAACGACGCCCAGAGACAGGCCACCAAGGACGCTGGTGCCATCTCCGGTTTGAACGTTCTACGTATCATCAACGAGCCCACCGCTGCCGCTATTGCCTACGGTCTAGGTGCCGGTAAGTCCGAGAAGGAAAGACACGTCTTGATTTTCGATTTGGGTGGTGGTACTTTCGATGTCTCGCTTCTACACATCGCCGGCGGTGTCTACACCGTCAAGTCGACTTCCGGTAACACCCACTTGGGTGGTCAGGATTTCGACACCAACATGTTGGATCACTTCAAGGGTGAGTTCAAGAAGAAGACCGGTTTGGACATCTCCAACGACGCCAGAGCCTTGAGAAGATTGAGAACTGCCGCCGAAAGAGCCAAGAGAACCTTGTCTTCCGTCACTCAGACCACCATCGAAGTCGACTCCTTGTTCGAAGGTGAGGACTTCGAGACCTCTATCACCAGAGCCAGATTCGAAGACATCAACGCCTCTCTATTCAAGTCTACTTTGGAACCAGTTGAACAGGTGTTGAAGGACGCCAAGATCTCCAAGTCTCAAATCGACGAAGTTGTTTTGGTCGGTGGTTCCACCAGAATTCCAAAGGTCCAAAAGTTGCTATCTGACTTCTTCGACGGTAAGCAATTGGAAAAATCCATCAACCCTGATGAAGCTGTTGCTTACGGTGCCGCCGTTCAAGGTGCTATCTTGACCGGTCAATCCACTTCTGATGACACCAAGGACTTGCTATTGTTGGATGTTGCCCCATTGTCTTTGGGTGTTGCCATGCAAGGTAATGTTTTCGCCCCAGTCGTGCCAAGAAACACTACCGTCCCAACCATCAAGAGAAGAACTTTCACCACTGTCGCTGACCACCAGACCACTGTCCAGTTCCCAGTCTACCAGGGTGAACGTGTCAACTGTAGTGAAAACACCTTGTTGGGTGAATTCGACTTGAAGGGAATCCCTCCTTTGCCAGCTGGTGAACCAGTCTTGGAAGCCATTTTCGAAGTTGACGCCAACGGTATCTTGAAGGTTACCGCCGTCGAAAAGTCTACTGGTAAGACCGCTAACATCACCATCTCCAACGCTGTTGGTAGATTGTCTTCTGACGAAATCGAGAAGATGGTTAACCAGGCCGAAGAATTCAAGGCTGCTGACGAAGCTTTCGCCAAGAAGCACGAAGCCAGACAGAGATTGGAATCTTACGTCGCCTCCATTGAGCAGACCGTCACTGACCCAATCTTGTCTTCCAAGATGAAGAGAGGTAACAAGACCAAGATCGAAGCCGCTTTGTCTGACGCTATGGCTGCCTTGGAAATCGAAGACTCCTCTGCTGACGACTTGAGAAAGGCTGAAGTCGGCTTGAAGAGAGTTGTCACCAAGGCTATGGCCACTCGTTAAGGTTATTGAAATATTGAGATGCATTTTTACCTTTCATTTTCACAATATTTTCTACTCAAAAATCAATCTTGATGAATTCATCCACGTCCTCATCGTCTAACCACCTGTGTATCTAGTCTTAAATATGGATAGGTTTTTAGCTTTTTTGCCCATATAAGTAATGTACAAAAAGCACTATATTCTAAAACAGCTTGAAGGTTTGTTCCTCTTAATCCGTGATGGTTGATATTTTTTACTGGAGGACATTGTCGATATTTCATTTTTCTTGAGAAGACACTGAAAAAAAGCCATATCAAACGAATTTGCGCATCTTTTGCTCGAGGTGATACCCAGATTCCCAGTTGTCTACAAATATGAACGGAAATTTGTATACAGCTGTCTCTGCAATATCAAACTGAGAACCAATCGTATTCGTTTTGTATGGACTATATTGAAAAGTAGCCACGCAAACAAACTAGGCTTTTTTTAATGATATCGGCTCATCTAGAAGTCGCAATGCACAAATCTCGGAAAGAATTGGAGCCAGAGCATCTTTTTTACTTACAATGCCAGTCGTGCTGAGACTATATTTTATGTGAGCATCACTTCGTACTATTTTGTCATCTGTCATCTGTCACTACTATTTAATGCAAGACCACTTATCGCGAAGAAAGGCGAACATGATCCCAATCGAGCATGCATGGGTCTTTGAAATATTTACTTGGAGCACCTATTGAGTTTGCTGCTCCGAAGAAGCCAAGAAGGACCATAGAATGTAACCAGAAACCCCCCCCCCCCCCCCCCCCC